TAAAATGAGTGGTTTTTTTAAATTCCGCAAAATAAAACATAATGATCTACATGTATTACAAAAAGATTAATTTTTACCCAATAAAAAATGACTCTACCCAGATAGCAGAGACATGTTTTAGAGACATCTTAAATACGTTTGTTCACGACGTTCGTGACGTTTTGAATATCTACGCTAATATCCAAAAGATGTTTTAAAGGCGTCTATATGACGTACTTTGTTACAAAACAAGGCGTCTTATAGGACATCTAATTTTGTACGTCTTTAAGACATCCAGTTTTGTACGTCTTTAAGACATCCAGTTTTGTACGTCTTGAAGACAAACCGTATTGGACGTGTTTAAGTCGTCTATTTACTTGATGGAAATTCATTTTAAAAAAATTAATGAATACTTGTCTACTATATTTAATACTGTTTATTATACATTATTAAACTATTAAAACTGACACAGAGTAAATATTATTTTACAGTGTTGGATAAAATAATTAAAAAAATGACTTCAAGTACTTGTTGCTATGAGAAACTATTCCAGTTTGGTCGATTTAAAAATTTCTTTTATGGTATTAATTTTAGCCCGTAGCATATAATTTTGTTGAGTTACTGTTTTAAGGTGTTTTTCTAAAAAATAATACAATATTGAAGTGAGGTTATGAAATTGAAACTTACCGTTTTTAATGATAAAGTTTACTAGTTCCGGTATACCACAGTTCCAATAATGGCAAATAAATAATATAAAAAGACAATATATATAAAAAAAAACACACACAACCACGAAAAAGTAATGACAATGTTCACAAACTGAGTCTAAAAATATTATACAATGGCTGTCCCGAGAAGAACACTACTCGATACGCGCGCGCGAGACTCCAATCAGCCAATAACAATGACGAATGACGATCTACATGCTCTGCAGGCAGCGTCAAGAACTCTGTCGTGACACCATATTCAAATATAGCGAAAAGAGTTGAACGTCCACATTACCGACATATTTAAAACGTCCCAAAAACATCCCAACAAAGATGTTTTAAACATGTCCTGAGCAGGGCGTCTTAAAACCGTCCGTTTTACGTACTAGGACGTTTGGACGAAAGTAAGATATGAACTGGACGTCTTTAAGATAGAGTGTGCTCTCTAGATATTATTAAATTAAGCTAGTAAGACAAATTATACATAAATGAAGATAAATGTATTACTGACCCTAAACTAATACTAATTTGGTACAATAACAAGAAGTTTTAGCGAACAACTCGTTTTTTATATCTTTTAAGTTTTTGTTTAAGAACTTTGATTTGTCTTGTTTTTTTCTTTATTCTTTTCTACCTGTTGTAAAAGTTATCTTCTAAGCTGTTTTATGCTAGGGCTTTCTAGGATAGTTTCCTTATTTGAAGTGCCTGGCTCAGCTTCCAAATGCAAAGCTCTTCTTTTTAAGTACTACAAACAATCAATTATTACGGTAATGTTTTGAATTATACACAAAAGGGTTGCTAAATTTTTAGTTCATAATATAATAATAAAAAGTAATTAAAAAAATATATATGTTTAATTATGTTTATTAGTATACGCACCTTCTTCGGCTGCATGTATTAAGAGAATTCAGGAAATATAGTGGGAATTGCTTCATTTAGTAAACGTCTTTTACAGTCTATCCCATAAAAAAAAAGTCTTTCAAAATGTTTTGAACACTATCTATCATTTGACGTAGGCATCCAATTTTCAATTTTTGTTGCCTGAATCCAAAGATTTTTTTGCTGGATCGACAGAAAATCTAAAATAAAACAACAAATAAACATTTCTGCAATTAAATATGAAGAAAAAGTAAATTAAGATTTAATAAAAGTTAATATTTAGAATTGTACGACCCGCCACTGGAAAAAATTACATGTTTGGCCATTTTAATATCATTATTTGCTTAAATATCAATAAAAAGCATAAAATAAACAAACTTGGTGGGTAAAATTTATTACTCTCCAATAGATAATCGACACAGAATACTACGTGTGCTCAATATACTTGTTACGCGTCCTCTCTTTATTACCTAGTCTACGTGGCAAACGCAGCAACGCAGTTCTCTCTGTGTGAAGAGTAGTTTGCCCTACGGCACTTAGGTATCAGTAGGCCCATTGTGCATTCTTCTAAATTGATAGACTCCTCTTAGCTCGTCAGTCAGCCTTCAGATTTGATGTAGTTGACAATGTCGCCGAGGGGTGCATCACTTATATTAGCCAGTGTTACCCAATACTTGCAATCCTAGAGGATATGCTTGATAGTCTCATCTTCTTATTCGCAACCACTGTAGAATGCTATGGAAGTGACAGTAGTACCTATTTATTGAAGTAAATTAAATGTTTTAGCTAGTTAATAAATTCCTAATTTGCTGCTAGGTTTTGATTACCGTTGCCCATATGTAAATAATCTTATAGATATCGAACTTTGGGGTTACTGTGATTAGTAGACATAATTATAGAAGTTTGAGAAGCAAAAATGGAATATAATAATGAAGAAAACTATGAAGAAAGTTTCTAAAGTAGGCCATATCGACAAAGACAGAGGATTCGAGTCATGTCCGTGATAACTAATCATACTCTGAATTAGACATTCCAACGACCCTGCTGATAAGTATATAGTATATAGTAAAAAAAATAATTACCTACATTTTTACTTCAAGGCATAAGCTTATGTTTATTTTGCAAAATATGGATGATCAATCTATGTAACTATTTCATTGACCTTGTCAAATCACCAAGCTTACAGGGTTGCCATAATTTTGCTATATCATAACCTGTCAAAACCCACTGGTAGCCATTTTGTTTGGAATGCCTAATTAAATCCAAATTGACACTTAAAAAGAAGAATAGTTTTAAGTTCCAACATGCGTAAATTTTTGAAGGTGTACCTTAGAAATATTTTTTGTGAATCACTCCATATTTTAATACTCATAACTTTAATTAGACATACAACATCATTTTACAAAATTCCTCAATACAAACAGAAATATTGTATCAACCGGTTGAAATTTAGAACTATTTTCTCACATTAAGTATTTTAAAAATCATTTAGGTATAATAGGCACTTGCATTTTAACATTGTTGTTAAAAAAACCAATCTAATCCACTTTATCAAACACGAAGTAGATTATTACATTTCTCAAGAGCACGCGTCCACTTAATCAATTTAAATTTAATGTTTGTACAGTCCAGTCGTCTTGAAGAGTTGGTTGATATTTTTAAGTTTACAGGTCAGGCAAGATGAACCAACAATGAATAAACAACGCAACGCAGCGCCTATTCCACTGATAAGTCCCGTTTTAAAAGAATATGGTTACATGTTGGAATCCAACTAGTTTTTTTGGTTATTGAAAAAATAATTATTATTGTTATATTACTTACAGTTATCTGCCTTGAAATTAGAAAGGTGTATGTGGAAGAAGAAAGAGTTAACTTCATCCTAAGGGATATATTATCGTTACTTTTACATCTCTGTATATCAGTAGAAGTGTAGGATTGATGACTCTTTTGTTTAACCAAAAATGGTATTACCTTGCCATTTTGATACGACACTGGAGAGCACTTTGTTCAAAAAGTTTTGTCTACACACTGGCTACAAACTTTTAAATTTCTTGCCTCTTCAAATTAAAGAAGATAGATAGTTTGAAAATAGATTTAGTATCTAATAATAATTTATGCATATTTTATGTCATAAAGAAATTTGACCCGTTATCTTAGTAACTGGAAAGCAAGAACCTCTTTGTTGACATAACAATATTTTAATTTTAATTATCAAGAAATAGTTTTTACGCGTACATAATTAACTGAAGAAGTAGCAATATATAACACATAAATAATACCAAGTGTCGAGATAACGAGGGACTATTTTTTGACAATTTATCAAATAAAAATTAAAACGACTTAACACCATTGACAGTTCCAGTTTATGTTTACGCAAATATTTTTAAATGCCCCAGAATTCTCTAGATTATTCCCTAATGTTCGTTTTATTATGACAATAAATTACGCATTAATTAAATAATAATGATAAAAATGGAAAATTAAATATCCACATTAGGATTAAATACTTATTTGTGGTATTGATATTAGAGAGTTATTGGAAGTAGTCTAAAGTTTAAGCGGTATAGGACTTCTTTATTTTTATTTTAGTGGGTATTTCATCTACAGAAAGTGAAACAGTCTTTTTGAAGATTATTACATACATATTTTTTTCTTCTAAAAAATAATGTCACTAGATCGTTTACGCGTACTTGTGCTTGCAATATTTTCTAATGCACTCGCTATTCTTACAAAATTCCCAATCAATTAAAATACATACGATACGGCTATGAATAAATAAAATCTGACTTATCTGTCAAGCGAAAAGGTTTATTACTTACAAAAAAAACCATGGAAATCTGATTAAATCTAAACGACCGATCATATGTATTCAAATTTTTATTTCATCTACAAATAAGCATTGAAGGATGAGGTATTTGAAGAAGTATTTTGTTTTGGGAAATTTAGACACATCATTTTCAAAATAATAACAAAATTTTTCTAAAAATTCTCACCTTTTTTGGTATTACCTTTAAGAATTAAGATTCAGCGTTATTTACATTAGGATGTTCTTAAATATCTACTGCTTGGCCAACTGAATTATTTAATAAAGTTAGGTAGGTTTATTAATTAGAAAAACAAAGTATTTTTGTTTTTGGTGTATTAGATAAATGTTAGAACTGTATAGGACCGAAATGTGTGTTGTAATAACTAATAACACAGTTTAAAGAGCAAAAAAGTAGATTGGCTGCCTAATTCCCCACTTCCTCATTAATTCTCCTCTGTCATCATGATTACTGCAAACCGCATGTTCCATTCACGGCAACACATATCGGATTCTGGCGTCAATTCTTCCGATTTCGTATTCGAATTTTTAATTTTTTATCATTCTATATCACACTTTTTTAAAAATACAAATAAGAGTAGAAACTAATGCTATATATTTTTTTGTTTCAGTGTGTAAAAGGATGCAAATTGTGGAGGAAAGCACTAACGTCAACTTGCAAGGAAGCATGTGTAAGTTTTTATTTATATTTGTTTTTGAACAATAATTGTAAGAAAATCACAAAATCTGTACCACATATGATTTATTGAAATTTAATTAGTGAAGCGACTAGTTTCGGCCGTTATGGCCATCCTCAGGCCTACAATATAAATAAATATGTTGAAAAAAACTTACATATACATATGTAAATATGTTGTTAAAATGCAGTTTTTTTTAAAGTAGGCTTTGTAAAATATCACGTATGTTAGAGTTTACAATTCTTCTTTTTAAATATCAGTTTATACTTAATTCATAGCCGTCCGTAGTTATCACGGATATGATTCGTATCCAATGATATATCAACTTAAGGATAAGTACTTTATAACTATTATTGATATACGAAATTGGTATCGCTAGGCGTGTCTTCTATGTCTACCAATATAGCGGAAAATCAGGTCCGGATTTACAAATTTTACTTGTACTATTTCTGGTTAAGTAAATCATTATTTTATTTCGAAACAATTAATTGCTTTTTAATATTTATGACCTAAATTTTTTATTAACATGAAAGTTATAAGCTTACTTTGCTAAATCATCTAACATATTTAGTTAGCAACAATCATCCATGTCAAAAACATTGTAGGAAAATGTGTGATTTCGAAAACATACGGAATTATATTTAAAATATAGATTCGAGAGACGCTAAATTGGTGGTTCCCACCTTATCAAGACTCAGGTCCTCAAAGGTAAACTCATAATGTAAAAAAATGAGAAAATAAATTATTTGATTTGGAACGAAAGACCGAAAGACTATAGTAGTATAATAAGGATGTTGAATTTTCAGGTTTATGAAGCATTGCCATTACTTAGATTAAACAACGTGATATTTAAAACCATTCTATATCGCCTTTTGATCAGGGTTTACATCTTGTTTGAACAATTTATCTAATAATAATTGGCCCCTTTACCCTTACCAAAATATTTGGACTCCTTATTTCTTATCTAAAAATATTTGGTCCCTTTTAAGTCTGTTCATGTAAAATGATATGATATTTTTACCCCTTTAGCCTGCTCATGTAAAAATATTTGTTTCCTTTATCTCTTAGACCTGTGTATGTAAAAATATTTGCACTCATTGCACCTATGCATAAAAATTTAAAATATTTTCAAAAAAGCGCAATATCTTTTCTCATTTTTAGATATTTACATATCTTTTAAAAATTATCGGTAATTATAAATTAGTTTTGTCTTGGTTTTGGGCTAATTTACTAAAAGAGCTAATCCAAGGTCTTGTAAATCACTAATTTTCATGCAATACATCTCATTAGCCCGACAAGCGTCCATTATTCCCATTATTGTCACTATATACCTCCAACTTTGGGAATAGCATTAAGAATGGTAAGCCATTCTGCAGATGATACTCAAATTAAATTTTCTTTCGATCATGATAATGCTTTAGAAGCAAGTAATCATATTAATGAAGATCTTGACAGACTAGTTAGACTTTCAAATATTCATCAACTTAATATTAATTCTTCTAAAAGTGTGGTAATGTTATTTGGTAAATACCGACATTAACTACAGAATGAAATGCAAATTCTAGTTGATGGGAATATATTATCATTTGCCTCATCTGCTCGCAACTTAGGTTTAGTAATTGATAATGACATAACGTTTAAACTTCACGTTAACAAGTGCATTCAAACAGCTTATATGAATCTTAAAATACTTTACCCACATCGACATATTCTTCCAACTTCAACAAAAATATTATTAACAGATTCCCTGATTCTGAGTAATTTTAACTTTTGTGATACAGTGTATGGGCCCTGTTTAGATAGCCCAGACTTAACTAGAATTCAGAGAGTACAGAAATCTTGTTTAAGATTTTCATATGGAATACGGAAATTCGACAGAGTCTTACATAAACTCAAGGATTTAAACTGGCTAGATATGCAATCCAGACGAGTCTTACACTCGGCAAATTTGTTTCATTCTATTATTTTAAATAAATCTCCTCCATTTTTTTTTTTATTTTTTTTTTTTTGTTTGCAAACAAATAAACATTCTAATTTTTTTTTTTAAATTGTTTCCCTCCCTATAGAATTGAATGTGTAACGACGCCCATGGTTAGTTACACACCTAGCACCAACTATAGCTTATAATTTCCATTGCCAAATATTTGTTTCAGCCATTACAAAACGGTACGACCGAACGACTGAAACCCAAATACCTCTATTGCGTAAGAGGCTGTAATTACGCCATGGACAAGTACGTCTCCAATCTCAAGCAACTCCTCGGTACACCACCTGTGCCCGCCCTGCTGGCTGACTCCCTGCGATCCAACTCCCTGAAGTTAGAATGGAACTTTCCTCCCGCCAAGATGATGGGTCTTAGCTGCCTGCTTCAATGGAGGTACGAGGAGCTGTCTACTTCAAAAACGGCTTGGCAGTCTTGCAGGAACACCACATGGAATCCCGAAACTAATGTTTTTTACGTAAACGATTTGCAACCTTACACCAAATATAGGGTAAGTTAAAAATAAAACTTGATGTGTCAATTTTAAAGTGGGTAACGTTACTATAAAAAAGCGCCATTGTAAAAAATGGAGAAGTCTCTGCTTAACGCTTGCCGTCAGTGACAATTTTAAAATTTATTTGAACGGAACCACGGTTCTACATTAATAGTGCTATCATTTCCTTTTTTTTATATTGTCTATAAAGTTAACGAGGAAGATTATTATAGGCTGAATTAAAATTAAAATAAAGATTATTAATTATTATTGTTAAACTCCAGGCCAATATTGGTGTGCCCTGATTTTACGCACTTCCGGTACAACAATTTTAAGGTTGTTAAATCGCTATTTGATGGCAAAGAAATATCCTGAGTGAAAGAGGGCCATTAGTTATGTGGCTGAATGCCCAGCTAGCACATAAACATCACATGTACGTTAATAAGCTGTAATTCCGAGATCTTTAAGATACCATTTGGTAACGCGAGACCGAGGCAGGAGGCAGAGACAAGCGACCGCTTAACGTAACCGAAATGCGCTCTCTTTACGTCTGAATCTTATTTAATTAAATGAAGCACATTTGAGCCGCGACAGCACTTTCAACGCGTAACGTAAGTGCATCGGTCGCTTGCCTCTGCCTCCGTCTCGCGTTTCCAAATGGTACCTTTAAACTCACATTTTATGTACTGTTAATGTAACTGTAACATCCATGCAACCACCGAATGTACGCAATTAGAAGAAAGTTCACACTAGCAGTTTTATAGTACTTTCCCCCAAAAGTTGTTCTAAAACGTTTTATAGATTTTATAATGGGAGTTAATTCTACAACATAGGTGAGTTCGCGCTACGCACTCTTTTCACTCTATTCACTCCTAAAGTACTTAAGGCGTTTGGGAACGGAAGGAGTTAGAATGAAAGTTCCTTTTTGACAGTTCGGAGATCATGGAGTGGAGTCAGGATCGGGCGTGCACATAAGGTGATTTAAATCGATAATAAGATAATTGTGACGGATTCTTTAGTAAAAAAGTTTTTTTTTTTGGTTCCCGTGAATATCATTAATATGGAAGAAACTTATACGGCTGTTACTGATAAGTACGATTAGATTTTAAGTACTGGTATGTCACATTGACAACTGACATTGCACTCCGAGAGTAAAAGGAGTAAAATCATATGCGCACTCCGTTTACGCCTAATTATTCCACCCTTCTTTGAAGTGCGCAGTCCGAACTCACCTAGTGTATCCACGGATGAACTTAACTATACTTGTCAAAATATTTATTTTAAATTCAACGAGAAATTCTTTATAATTTCATTTCTTTTGCTTGTTAAATAAATACGATTTAAGTAGTACATAGTGTGCAATTTTTTTTAATTTTGCAAATCCACAATTGTATTTTTTATTGGGTACAACAAAATCGAAGTTTCTCAAAGTGAAGCGTATTTATTTAACAAGCAAAATAAATTATAAAAAAAATTACCTTCCTCAACAAGTTTTTTAACAAGTTGCTCTTTTTATTTTGTTTATATCCAAATATAATTAAGCGTCTCATCTTTATTTATCGGGATTCCTAGATTAACATACTGTATACTAGATGATAGCCGAGTTCCCTGATTTCTTACCTATAGACGCAGGTTATTTGAAATGTAAAGAGATACATCATCCTATTTGAAACCAAACCTTTTAACTTTTTTTGTATTAAAAAAAATTTTTTTTTTAAATATGTATAAGAAATATTTTTATTCTATTAATAAAATTTAAGAATAAGTTTAAATTTATGCAAAGAAGGTAAAAAATTCTAATTTTTTTAGACAAATATGTAATCTAATTACATGAGGCTTGCAAATATTTTGAGGAGGCCATTTCAGTGTATTTTGCGTGGTCAAAACAAAGGTTTACAATTAGTTTGTAGACAAGACAATTAGGATTAAATGTAAAACATGTATTTCTACTGAAATGACATTATACATTACTCGTATACTTCGAATATGGCCAAAATTAATAATAATTTGTATTATTTTTTATTCGTTTATAATAATCGCCAATAATAACCAATATAACAAAATAATTCATAATTTAGTTTTGATAATTATATTTCATTGTTCTGAATCACTATATTGATTTATGGCATGCTTATATATACTAATATAGTATATATACCCATTCTGACCGAACTACTTGTCTACTATACCTATAAAACCTTACTTTTTCAGTTTCGCATAGCCATTATCCTCGACTCGCAAATCGGCCAGGACTATGGAGAGCTCGTAGTTTCGAGCGAAAGCGTCGTCATCAGTACGGCGGCGAACGGTCCACCTGCGTCGCCGCCCCAGAATGTACGCGCCAATCCCGTGGACTCGTCAAGTATAAGCATCAGCTGGGAACCCGGTCCCTTCCCGCACGGCCCCCTCCTTTCCTACGTACTCAATATCACCGACGATCATCGGTCGGAAGTCAAGGTGCGGGTTCGGTATCGAATTTTTGGCTGTGGTTGATTAGGGATATCGAAAAATATCTGAAGAGCTAATTGCGAACTTTAAAGTAGCTAGGAGCTCTAGGATTCTCTGTATCTGTAATGTGTGGAGGGTTGGTTACCCCACGGCACTTAGTCCTCATTAGGCCCATTGTGCATCCTCCTGAGAAGATAGGCACCTCCTAGCTCGTGAGCCAGCCTACAGATTTAATGTAGTTGACAACGTTGCCAAGAGGTGCTTCTCTTATATCGGCCGGTGGAGCTCTAGGATAAACAGGTGTTATTTTTCCTTGAGAGCTTCAGACTGAGAGAAAGGTCTACAAGATAAAAGCTACGGTTTTTTCTCGTTGTACCCAATCCAATCATATTTTTTATCTAAAAAAAAAGACAATCTTTTTCATTTTTTTTTTCACTTGTCCATTTAAAGCTCTTTAGTCACTAGTTAAAAAAAAGCGTTTCTTCATTTGTTTTTAAGTTTTTTTTTTTAATGTACCTTGGCACAAGCCACAATTTTATAATTAAAACTCAATGTGACTTTGATATAAAATAAAAATAGGAAACCAAATAGACAGCACGTCAAATATTAGATAGACCTCATGTCTCAATATTACCACCGGATTAGAATTTCAAAAAAATATTGAAAGCCCTGTTAACCACAGCCAAGTAGGTATATAAATTTCAACTCTTAAGTCTCAGTTCTTCGTTTACATTGTCTTCTTTCTTTACTTTTTTCTCATGCACTATGTATAACTTTCTGCTGATAATCTATAGATACTGCTTTTGCAATGTAAATACGAAACTAGATAATCTACTAAAGTTTTAAGTGATGTCAATAGGTTCTGCTGAATGAGAATGAATGTTATTTGTTTGTTCTCAAGAATTTAAATTTGTTTTTGTAGGTATGTAGATTAAAGGAACATTGTGAATGGTTAAAAAAATGACGCACCCGTTTGTGTACATAATTTAAAAAGTTTAAAACCAAGTAAATAGAATGATTGTTTGTTTATTTATTTTTCTCTAAGGCACCCTTTTTACCGCACCCTATATTACATAAACCTATATATGTTTATAACTGTTTAAGTGTTATACTAACAGCACGCACCTGCACGATACTACCTCTATGCTTATAAATAAATATGCTTCTTTCTTCCTCTTCTTTTAAAATACATCTATCACTTAAATAAACCCTTATCAAATAGCGGGTTTAATTGCGTTTAACTGACGTTTTCCATTAGTACTACACTTAATTGAAGTGAAAAAAAGTATGACGGAATCTATCGCAAAATTATTTAATGCATGACATCCACTCAATTAATTAAAATGCTACTCCGTCTATGGAAACCACTGTGATATAAATATTGGAATTCTAGCTTTATGGAAAATACGTAATTTTCAATTAATTTAATCTCATGAAGGTCTATGACAATTAATTGATATTACTCTTGATTCGACTTTTACGTTTAATTTTTCCATATTGCTTTAACCTTGGTCAGTTAAACGCATTTTTATTCGCATTCAATGAAACCGTACTTATTAAAATAAATTTTCGATTTAGGATATTCCTCCCGACAAGTCAGACATAGTAGTTGGAGATTTGAAAGCGATGAGCAATTATTCGGTGGAATTACGAATGAGAAATAAGGACGGCTCCGGACCTCCTGCCACCACGACTGTTTCTACACCAGCCGAACGTCAAAGTTAGTAGATATTAAAACGATAAAATTATATAATACATACAAACCCCACGTTCATGTTTCTGATTTTCAATATGATAAAATTTTATTGCTATATCATTGCTATTTTATCGCTAGGTTAACGCTATTTTATTTTTATAATATTATTTTAATATTTTCTATTTTATTCTAAATTTATTCCTAATTTCTTCTTAATTTAATCTTAATTTAATCTTAATTTAATCTTAATTTAATCTTAATTTAATCTTAATTTAATCTTAATTTAATCTTAATTTAATCTTAATTTAATCTTAATTTAATCTTAATTTAATCTTAATTTAATCTTAATTTAATCTTAATTTAATCTTAATTTAATCTTAATTTAATCTTAATTTAATCTTAATTTAATCTTAATTTAATCTTAATTTAATCTTAATTTAATCTTAATTTAATCTTAATTTAATCTTAATTTAATCTTAATTTAATCTTAATTTAATCTTAATTTAATCTTAATTTAATCTTAATTTAATCCTAATTTAATCCCACTGTATATCCAATTTATTCCTAATTTATTCCTAATTTATTCCTAATTTATTCCTAATTTATTCCTAATTTATTCCTAATTTATTCCTAATTTATTCCTAATTTATTCCTAATTTATTCCTAATTTATTCCTAATTTATTCCTAATTTATTCCTAATTTATTCCTAATTTATTCCTAATTTATTCCTAATTTATTCCTAATTTATTCCTAATTTATTCCTAATTTATTCCTAATTTATTCCTAATTTATTCCTAATTTATTCCTAATTTATTCCTAATTTATTCCTAATTTATTCCTAATTTATTCCTAATTTATTCCTAATTTATTCCTAATTTATTCCTAATTTATTCCTAATTTATTCCTAATTTATTCCTAATTTATTCCTAATTTATTCCTAATTTATTCCTAATTTATTCCTAATTTATTCCTAATTTATTCCTAATTTATTCCTAATTTATTCCTAATTTATTCCTAATTTATTCCTAATTTATTCCTAATTTATTCCTAATTTATTCCTAATTTATTCCTAATTTATTCCTAATTTATTCCTAATTTGTTCCTAATTTATTCCTAATTTATTCCTAATTTATTCCTAATTTATTCCTAATTTGTTCCTAATTTATTCCTAATTTATTCCTAATTTATTCCTAATTTATTCCTAATTTATTCCTAATTTATTCCTAATTTATTCCTAATTTATTCCTAATTTATTCCTAATTTATTCCTAATTTATTCCTAATTTATTCCTAATTTATTCCTAATTTATTCCTAATTTATTCCTAATTTATTCCTAATTTATTCCTAATTTATTCCTAATTTATTCCTAATTTATTCCTAATTTATTCCTAATTTATTCCTAATTTATTCCTAATTTATTCCTAATTTATTCCTAATTTATTCCTAATTTATTCCTAATTTATTCCTAATTTATTCCTAATTTATTCCTAATTTATTCCTAATTTATTCCTAATTTATTCCTAATTTATTCCTAATTTATTCCTAATTTATTCCTAATTTATTCCTAATTTATTCCTAATTTATTCCTAATTTATTCCTAATTTATTCCTAATTTATTCCTAATTTATTCCTAATTTATTCCTAATTTATTCCTAATTTATTCCTAATTTATTCCTAATTTATTTCTAATTTATTTATAATTTATTGCTAATTTATTTCTAATTATCGCTAATTTATCGCTATTTATCTTTCATTTATTGCTTATTTATCGCTAGTTTATCGTTAATTTATCGCTAATTGATCGCTAACTAATCGCTAATTTATCGCCAATTTATTTATATTTTCATTGCTTTTTTTATCGCTTAGTTATTGACAATTTATCGCTAATTTATTGTTAATTTATCGCTAATTTATTGCTAATTTATTTCCATTTTATTTATAATTTGTTGCAAATCATTTCTAATTTATTGCAAATCATTTCTAATTTATTGCTAATCATTTCTAATTTATTGCTAATCTATTGCTAATTTATTGTTAATGTATAGCTAATTTAATGCCAATTTAACGCTAATTTAATAATATTTTATTGCTACTTTATAGCCAATTTATCGCGAATTTGTTGCTAATTTATTGCTAATGTGTAGCTAATTTATTGCTAATTTAACGCTAATTTATTAATATTTTATTCCTAATTTATAGCCACTTTATTGCTGATTTGTTGCTAATTTATTGCTAATTTATTGATAATTTATTACTAATTTATTACTAATTATTGTTACTTTCTTTCTAATTTATCGTTAATTTATCACTAAAGTTGAATGTTGGCAATTAGTTAATTGCTTAAAATTAAGATTTAGATTTTTTTTGAAATTTTGAACACTTGGTCGCTTTGCTATTTTTCACAAATGTTTCATTGAAGGTAATGAGTAAAAAATTAAGTAAAAAATCACTAATTCGTTTTGTGTGTATAAAAAACTAAAATGTTATTTTAATACTAAATAAACAATTAATTGTTCTAGTTACTAATATCCAACAACCTCATTTAATTTTGGCAACAAATTCTACAATCTTCGAAATAAATCATATAATACTAGAAGTGGAGCCCAAAATATTGTACAACAGCAGCAAAATTGAACTAAAAGGTAAGTTAAAAAAATATACTTCGAAATAATTATGAACTAATAAGTTGAAGGTGTCAAAATTTGAGGACAAATTTTCAATTCATTGTTCTTATGTTTTCGTTTAATATTACACCATGATAGTGTTTCGGCAAAACTTTGATTAAACTCGATATTTCTGTTAAAAACTTTTGACACTCCACTGAACAAAAATAGCGGAAATGTAGAAGTTAAAGCAATATAAATAAAAAACTAATGTTTTATAGGCATTGGATTCCACTACAATAAAAAATTTCTCTTCATAACCGACAGTGATGGTTTTGTTTCAAAAATTCATCTATACCAAGACGCCAATGTATGTACACATATTCTTGAGCCACAAAATTTGGATTTCAAACCACTAGATCTTACTGTGGATTGGTTAAACGATCAACTGTATATTTTAGGAGAAATAAAATTCAACACTGCCTATATTATAAAAAGATGCAACTTGGACGGTAGCAATTTAGTTGTGGTTTACGCTGGTTTAAGCCAAAAACCTTCTTCCATTCAAATAGATCCACTAAATGGGTGAGCTAGTTCTTCTTTTACTTCAATTTCATGTTTAGATATTTTTTTTCCCCGCTAAGTAATGAAATATTTTTTTTTTTATAAAGGTACCTGTTTTGGGTTATTCAAGATTATAATAATGGCGGATTTTTTCGACTTGACATCAACGATATTAGCAATGGTATTCCGCCTGATAGAAAAATTAAGAAAATACTAAATGAAACCGAATTAGGTGCCTTCACTTTTGAGTATCACAATTTTAATGTTCTGGTGTCCTACCAGAGGCTTAATACGATAATTTCAGTAACTTTAGATGGGTAAGTCTGCATCAATCTATACTAAACCTTGTTACTTAATAAGACGTTGGTACGTGAGTTCGATTACCACCAGGAATTATTTTTTTTTATCCGGCTTTTTTACTGTCTCTGGTACGTACATATTATTTTCTAATTTTGACGTATAAAGTGCCAAAACGATCTACTTTATGCAACCAGTTATTGAACATTATAATTTGAGGTTGGTGCCAATTTGTAACCTAATTAAATTAATGACTGAATTTGTGTGAAATATAGTAACTTTAATTTCATCAGACCCTCAGACTAGCTCATGTTAGGATCATGGAGTTCGAGCTTAGAATTTCCTAACAAACCAATGGCATCATCATTAATTAAAAAGACAGGAATGTGTTCTAAAAAAGGTTAAGGACGCCATGTATTTAGATCGTTAATAAATACAAATTAGGCCATTAATTTGCTAGTTAAAAGTAAGGAATAAATTCAGAGAGTGAAACTAAATTATAGTGACTTTAATTTTAATAGCAAACACTTAACAATTTTTTTGAGTGAAAGAGTTATATGGTTACTTTAAATCTCAATAAATAAAAGATAGTGATTTTAACGATTTTCTTTGGTAAAACAAATGTTCGGATTACTGGCTGACACTTAGCTGACTTGGGTTGACGGTCGAAGAGTTATGGCCTTCACTGGGCCGTTGATAAAAAGATACTTCTGTTATGTTTCCCCTGGAGACTTCCTCTTAATACTGGCTGGCTGGTATCCACCTTCTCCTGGCCGGTATCACTTTTTACACGGCTCAATTGCTGAGAAGATACTACTTTTATTATATAGGCCGGTCACTTCTTTTATAGCCGCTTTACTCTTTATGTATTTGCCGCTCTCTTCTTAAAATTTAGGGCGCACACTTCTCTTCTTTAGATATAAGCCGGTCACCTCTCCTCTTTTACATATAGGACTCTCCTCTTTTCATATAGGCCTCTCCTCTTTCCATAAAGAAAAAAACACGGTGTCAGTCACTAGTAAAAAAAAAACAATCCATCTCTTAACTCGTGTTACACAAAGGAAAGTACAAAATAAGTATATTTAATATACAACAATTATTAAAATTGCAGCACAAAATAAATACATTTAATAAAGAACAATTATTAAAATTGCAGCGATTGATTAGATTGGCAACAGTATTCAGTTACCTTGTTAAAAGAAGGAATAGAACAAAAAAATCTAGATATATAAAAAAACTAAAATGGCCACTTTTAATGGCATGCAGTATAAAAACGAAAGAGCATTTTAACGTTAATCAACCCAAAACAATTCGTGGAACTCACGAAATAATCTACAAACGAAATGTTGAACCTGTACTCACTGATGAAACAGTTCTAATCAAATATATTAAATAATTACCTTTTGTCATCAAGCAAGCATTCACGAAAACGAAGTTGATATTTTAAAGTCACACCACGAAAAGGACGAGAATATTCAATAAGCTGCCTTAAAAAGGTAAATTGCATTGTTAGTCCATTTAAAATAACGGTAAAAGGTCGAGAAACTTGACGAGACCACTTGTCCCCTACGTATTTTGAGGCGCTGATTACGAAAATGAGGGTTAAAACTAGCAGCAATGGTTGGAACACCCCTAAAATTGCAAAAAACACCCATAAATAGGGGTGTTTTTCGACTATACTTGTTGTTTTGCAAACTAACTCATCTCATATGCTTTTTGGGGCGCTGATTACGAAAATCGGAGTTAAAACTTGCAGCAATGGTGGAACCACCCCTAAAATTGCAAAAAAAAACACCCCCAATTAGGGGTGTTTTTTGACTGTACTTGTTGTTTTGCAAACTAACTCATCTCATATGTTTTTTGGGTCGCTGAATTCGAAAATCGGGGTGTCGAGACTGGAAAATTTGTGTGACACCCCCATATGCCAGAAACACCCTTCCCAACCGTTGGACAAGTGGTCTCGTCAATTGCGGGGTTTCTCGACCTTTTACCGTTATTTTAAATGGACTATGTCCGATCGTGCGCAAAATGCAATTTATTGATTTTTACGAAGGACGGGTGGGGTGGTTGAACACAAACGAGATATTCGCACCAGCAGCATGAAGAAATATTTTTCCCAGGAGGGTATAATTATTAAATGTAGGTAATATTGCGGAAATAAAACTGAAACGTTATTTATAACGTTACATTATGTAACCAGTTACGAAATGTCTTCTTTTGTGTAACTAGTAAATATTTGCGAGACAAGCAGAACGAGGTCCCATAACATGAATGAGTTACATAAAACGGCATTTCGTAACGTGTTACATACAATATTTTTTCTAATTTTGACTATATTATTTATAAAATTATGTTTTGGTAAAAAATTACTGATATCTAGGCAACCAATAATACAACTTTCTTCTACGTTAGTTGGATATGATTAACTTCATACTTTTATTGACAAAAAGAAAATCATTTTCATTTATTTTCAACTATTGTAGTGTGTTTATATTACTTGTTAAAGTTATTTAGAGTTCAAAAGTAGGTTATTTTATCGTTTATTATGTTTTTTGCTAATTTATAATGGAAAATAGGGACAAAAACAACATTATTACTAGGTTTTTCGATTTTTCGACTAGATTATTTATAAAATTATGTTTTGGTTAAAATTACTGATATCTAGGCCACTAGTAATACAATTTTCTTCTACTGTTAGTTACAGTTATTGACGAAAAGTAAATCATATTCATTTATTTTCAACGACTTATGTGTGTATTTATATTTCTTATTAAAGTTATTTTGAGTTATTTTGTAGTGTATTGTGTTGTTTATTTTTTTTTTGCTGATTTAGAATAGAAAATAAGAACAAAAACAACATTATTACTAGGTTGTAAGTTCAACCAAATTCTATGTTTATAAGTAAACCTGCCCTTCTTTGATATAAACTTTCAATAATAAGTATATTATTGATTTTAAAACCTTTGTTTTTTGTTGGTATACTGAAAAATATTTCAAAAACGATAATAAGCAAAGAGATTTCATAAAGAATCAGGCAACAATTAAAAAAAAATAGTATTATGCGATAGCATACTGCTGAGCTAATTTTCTTGAGTTGCAATTTTAAAATTGCTCTATTTGCCGACTCCTCAATATCAATATGAACATCCAAATCAACACTTATATTAATTAGTACCTACCTACTTTTATTATCGACAAATTTTAAACAGTATAATATACCAAACAGAAGGTATATGTATAGCAAATATCAGATATCGACATACTTATTTTTTATGACAAGAACTCGCAATCAAAATCAATAATTTGTTAGTAATCATAACAATATTAAATCAGTTACCATCTCGTAATAAGCTTGGTGATTATAAAAATTATTTACCTGCCAAGAGACGTCAAAGTATGCAATTTAGATTTCACATGAAAAAAATCTAGGGAACAAGAATAAAAATTGTTATAACTTTTTGGAGACGCCATATGTATTACCTTAAAAATTTGTGTGGTTATTGATGATACTAACGTTCGTTTAACACTACCAACAAAAAACAAAATTTTACAATAAGCAGTGTAACCTCCCTGTCCAGTAATTACAGCTCGGCATCTGCTGGGCATGCTGAAAATGAGATTGTTATTTTCCATTTCCAGTCTTCGTCCCATTGAATCCCACAAATGTTCAATGGGATTAAGGTATGGTAACCGCGCAGGCCATGGCAAAACATTGATATGCTTAATTTCTAGAAATTCACGCACGAGCCGTGCTGTGTGTGGACGGAAATTGTCGTGCATTAGCTGGAAATTCGGCCCAAATTATGCAGCATATGGAAGCACAACAGGTTCCAAAATACTGTCACGATAACTGGTAGCATTCAAAAATCCGTCTAATAAAACGAGATCAGTCCTTCCTCCGACACGCATACCGCCCCACACCATTATTGTACCACCCTGGTAGCTGTAGACTTCCTGGGCTGCGGCAAGACGTTCCAGATCTCCAGGTCGTCTTCACACACGAAGTCGACGTGAATCCGGATGAAAACCGAATCGGGATTCGCCTGTAAAATGTACCGTAGACCATTTTTGATGTTCCCAGTGTTGATGTTCTTGGGTCCATCGTAGTCTTTGTGCGCGATTACCTTTTGTTAACGGAGGAACACGGAGCGGTCTGCGAGCATAAAGGTTGAACTGGTGCAACCTATTTCTCACAGTCTGGCTGCTCTCAGCAATATGGTGTGTGCGGTATAACTGCTGTGACAGTTCGATCTCGTAATGCCTGTAATCGAATAAAACGATCATGTAGAGGATCAGTTGCTCTTGTACGACCAGTATGTCGTTTTCTAACATCCCCGGTCTCACGGTATCTTGTCATCAATCGACAAATCACACTAGCTGATGTGTTAAGGACCTCCGCTACTGCTCTATAATTTTGGCCCCCTTCAACCATCCCTACTGCTCGCAATTGTTCGTCGCGGTTGAAATATCGTCTTTCCATTATGAACAACTAAACTAAACACTAATTCGAATACCAAAAATCTCGTTTTGTACTTCGTAGAAGCAAAAACCAAAACAAACTAATACGCTATTTTTATCGATAAAAGAACAATACTTTTTACGCACATTTTATCAATTGCTAAACCTTCAAAATCATGTACATTGTAAACAAAAAGGTATCAAAAATATCTACAGAAATTTTCAATATAATACCTGGTGTCTCAAAAATGTTATAACAATTTTAATCCTTGTTCCCTAGATTTTTTTGATGTGTTATTTTATTATAAAAATGAGACAGTTATATAAAAGTTATATAAACTTGTTAAAACTGATTTTCTTCCAAATTGGCAATTTTAACACTCATTATAAATATCTATAGGTACTAACCATATCGTGTACGTTTTTAGTCAAGATTACAAAAACATTCGACCGTCAGTATCGGCAGCGAAACTAACCAGAGTGGTGTCTTTAGCAATGGAGAACAGAATATTCTATTGGACAGACGGAATTGACGTGTACTTTGAGGAGTACAATCAGCCACGTTACTACCACAACACTATGACCGAACAAAAATATGGCCATTACAAAAAAGTCTTTATCAACTCTCCGAGTTTCCAGCCTTGGCCTACACCCATTAACCCTCCTACTAACGTCCAAGCTATCTTCGGAAGGGATATTGCAAAGACTAGATGGCAGCCTCCTCATTTGGTTGGTGTACAAGGTAAATATATTTTCAGTTTAACTTTTGGTCCTACAATCTTAAGCATACTATATGCTTTTACTGTTCTTAGGTAAGGGTGCTTGGCAGAATTGGTCTTACGAAATTTCAATCAAAGAAGTCAACACCGACGTTACTGTACTCTACAAAGACATAAACAACACTTTCTTCACAATAACCAACTTAAAAGAAAACACCGAGTACATTCTGAAAGTGGCTGCTTATACCAAGTCTGGACGAGGACCATGGTCTTCAGACTTCCGTGGAATAACACTAAATTCTACGAAAACCCCAATGCTCCTCTGGTCAGCTTCAGAAGGACTTCTACGATCTAACGCAGCTGGCGAAAATCTGGAAATACTATTAGACAAAAGCCAAATGGAAGATCATCATTTTACTGATATCGCTTGGTTTAAGGACCAGATCTTTATGGTTACAAATTCTTCTTTTGTGTATCGGTATAATACGACTTCTAAAAAACAACAAAAATTAATGGATTTGGATTCTGTTGGTAGCATTGCTGTTGACTGGATTGGAATGAAGTTGTACTGGTCTAATCCTAAACAGCAATTGGTAAGTGTTAAACACGATTTATTAACGGTTTTATCGCTGATGCTGGTCTATTAAAAATCGATTGTATTTCTAGATACTTCGTGGAAATTTAAATGGAACAGAACAAGAACCTCTTTTGACGGTTCTAGCGAAAGAATTAAACATCGATTCGGTTAAGGCTTACCTCTATTGGTCGACGGGAATAAAAGTAGAATGCGCCCATCTAAATGGTGTTGAGAAATTCGAATACCATGATGTTCAATATTTTTCTGGAAAGCAAAGTAAGTTAAATAATTTATTTATGTTATGTCGTTAAGGGGATTCTTACTTTTGAAAATAGGCTTAAATTTTAAGGAATTATAACTGATCTAGTATTCGGATGTTATTGAAAAAAATATATGTTATATAAACAACTGAAACTTAGATTGCTCTTCATTCAAAATTTTCAAAAAATAAATAGAAGACACATTAAAAATATTGAAAGTCGGCTTGAACTCGTCCAACTTCAAAAAATTATTACGCGTATGTTTTTATAAATATCAAAAAAACAAAAGAAGAGCAGACTTTATTTATGTTCTTAATATGCTTTTAAACTTTCAATTAATTTGATGCGTTAGAATTGCCACAATTCCATTATAAAAATGCATTGTTTTTAATGCAAAATCTTCTACCCTTCTATCCTTCGCATGCTCTTTTTTGTCATGGAGACGCGGCGGTCAGCAACAAGAAGTGATCCTGGGGATTGGGCGCCATGAGTGCACGTGTTTCTGTGTGTCTATAATCTTTTTTGTAGCTCAAAGAACTTTTGAACTTTGAATTACTTTAAATTTGGTACAAAATTCATCTGAAAATGGTAAAAAAATTTAAAAAATAAATAGAAAACAAAATCAGTTTGATCTTTATATAATTTTGATAAAGGGACTTTTCGGGATCGTTAAATTTCTAAAATTAAAAATACATTGTGTCTCGAAAGGTGTCTTTTACATAAAACTATGAAAATGTAGCTAAATTTATCTGTTTAGACTAAATTTCAAGTCAAGAAAAAATTATTGGATTTTTTTTTAATTGATTTGGAAAGAATCGTATTTTTTGTTGTTTTTACACTTAAGTGGCAGTCCGATTGACTTTTAGTAAAAAAAACTGTACCTTTACTCTATATGTCGCTTAATACAAGCTTAATACCTACTTAATTTCGGATAGGCTAAATCCTGATTTTTTTACATAAGAAAGTTACTAATCTGCTGCTTCTTCATTCTTATGGACCTTGTGTAAATATTTTTTGAGTTTTTTGAAATTAGGTATAATGATAGAGATTTCACTAACAATCCAAGTAGTGGAACTCATTGTGATATACTTAACAAAATAATTCTTAGAATACTAAGGGCCAATTTCATAATCAAATTAAAGGAAAACTTCAATGTTAAAAGGACACTTTAATTTCATAAAATAAAATTGAAGAAGTACACTTTAAAGCTTCCTTTAACTAAATACCCTATTCTGCTTTAGAAGCTTTAAAGCGTCCTTTTTCTGATAACGCTTGAAAGTTTTTCGTTTTTATTGAGAATTTTTAATGACATCGCGCCAGTTGTTTGGTTAAATTTGAACAAATAATATAACTATATTTTGAAATTATTGAATATTGATTTCTGTGGCTAATATTCCGGTTAATGTTAGAATTAAACAAAGATCAACAATATCTACCAACATGGTAAAATTTTGTTAAAGCACGTTTTAGTAAAAGTACATTAGGAAAACCATTATGAAATGACATTTTTTAAAGGAGGCTTTAAAGTGAACTTTAAATAGAAGCTTCCTTTTTTTAAATCTGCCTTTAGGGTTCGATTATGAAATTGGCCCTAATATGGATGAATTAAAGTATCTACCTATTTATCGTGTGTTATCAAATTGGGGTGGCAAAAAACTGATCGAAAAACATTTGATCGAATTGTAAATTTGATCAAAAATACATTTTATTGAACAACATTTGATCGAATTTATATTTTATCGAAAGGACAATAGATATAAAATTCATTACATCAAAAGGACAGTATAACGAAAATCAACTTTAAAAATAATAAAAAATAAAAAAAATCAAACGAAATCATGCAACCGTCCGTCTAATCCCGATTACCGGGGAATCTAAACTCAGCGTATTTCGTCAAATTTTTCGATATTCTCAAACAATAGCTGGTTCATTTAAAAAACAACTAATTTACCTAACCTGTGCAGCCTGGGGCCATCGAAGGTTGTTTTACAAAAAAAAAAACAAAAGTGAGAAAAATATACATAACTTAACTAATTTACCTAACCTGTGCGACCTGGAGTCATTTAAATTTTACTGATTGCTCTCAGACAGATTAGGTAAATTAAGTTTTTTTTTATAAAAACTCAATTAATTTATCTAACGTGCGCGGCCTGAAGCCGTCGAGGGTTGCTTCACAAAAAAATATATACTAAAATGAGAAAATCAAACATTCTTAACCAATTTACCTAACCTGTCCGGCCTGAAGCCATTTAAATCCATCTCATTTTTCTCGCACAGGTTAGGTAAATTAAGTTTTTTTAGTTTTTCTAGTTTTATGTATATTTGGTTTTTCGATCAATTGCTTTTTCTGTCAAATCTATTCTTGATCAATTTTCTTTTCGATCATTATTCTTTTTAATCATTGTTCTTTTCGATCATTTTTCATTTCGATCAATTGATATTCGATCAAATGTTTTATCGATCAAATGTATTCGATCAGTTTTGTGCCACCCATCAAATAAAATATGAAGACTTAAAAATAGTTTAAAGTGAACTTAACTTACGTTTAAATGCAATAATATAATTTTTCTGGGTATGCTAAATCGGTAAATCGTACTGAAAATTTAAAAAACAGCATACCTAGCTGAATAAACTCGCGTATCGCGTATAATTTGTAATTGCTGAGGTGGGAGGTGTTTGTGTGAATGCGTCTTGTTTGTTTTCATTTACGCCGTGACTAGCAGTAGTATTTTATAAACCTTAAGGCGGGTACAGATCTGAGCACGTACGCGTATGAGGCAAGCCGAGGACGCATGCGCATGCAGATGTGGACGGGCTTCCGAGGCGCGGCGAATTGCCTCGTTGTGTCTGCCGTACGGCCTCGCTCCGATCCGTTTCATAGCGGTACATCAAAGGGAGGTAATGCGCAGTTCGTGCTCAGTCTGGACGGTGAATTTGTACCATACAGCACCGTACAGATTATAGCGAGTTTTTAGTATTATTTTGCAAGGAATGGAACCAGGAAAACGTTTTGCTTCTTCTGGATTTAAATAATCAGCGTGATATCTTAAGATAGCAAAACGCCAGTTCTATAACAACACAATAAAAAAAGGATATCCTTGGCAGGAAATCAGCCATCGATTCCCCTCCTTTTTTCTTTAATATGTCGGATAAAATTATAAAGCATGCACTTAAGTCCGCAACGTCATCCTCATCCTTCATTTTTGTTTTAATTTTACGAATTTTCTGGGTATACAGTTGCGTGCTCGCGAATTTACTGGATCAGTGGCGAACAGTGCCTCGTGCGTCCATCATTCGTGTATACAAAATGCGTCGCACGAGGCATTTGGTTCGGCCTCGGCTTGCCTCATTCGCGTACGTGCTCAGATCTGTACCCGCCTTTAGAAGCAAATTTCACATACATAAACAAATAAAAATAATAATGCCGCCACCAGAAAATTTTAATACATACCTGGCTACACCGACCGGCATAAACACCAACGGCCTGAACACAGCTCACCTACTCTGTCAAGAGGAGATCGATGTACAAATAAAACGCGTACGACATGCGCACTACAAATGATTAGTGTTGTCCCCGATACGCGAGTACTGAAGAATCTTTAAATACGGCCACTCAAAACAGAGAAATACCCTTTAATAGGCGGCCCTAATAGACTAGTTAATTATAGCATTTGACAAAGCGACATTCTTGAGAGTAACCAGCTCGTCAACTGTCATCGGTCCCAACCAATATTGCAGCACAGTTGATTGCAGCACATCAGCAAGCGACGTTCATGTGAATAACGAATTTGTCAACTTTTCATCTATTTAACTAAAATATATCTTCACGTCGGTTTCACTGCGTTACATGTTACCAAATGAAAATGAAAATTAGAAATGTACCGTCTAGAAAAAAGTAAGAATGCCCTTAAGAGATGTCACTAAGGTGAATAAGAGATAATTTTGAGGTCTGTAATGATTTTTTAATTATGTCTTTCCAAGGGAGCTTATGATTTGAAGTGGCTCCAAGTTGGACAGATCACCATCTTATGTATGCTCCCAAGAATCGTACTGTTTTGTTGCACATTCTATCATAAAGGTTACGTCCTCCTCACAGAATATCTACTCACTATCTTCTACTAGTCGAAATTTACTAGTGTCCTTTGAATCGAAATGCCCGGTAAGGATAAAGATTACGTTACTATGTGTAGCTTATTCTTGCTGAGATAAAGTAGAAATCCAGAAGTATATCTTAGTCCCAAGAGGTAATTCCAATTGTTGGTTCTTCTAATGCCAAATTATCTATTCTAATATTGTGTTACTGTAGATACAGTAGAACGTCTCTGGTTCCACAAATGCTTCCTTTGCAAAACTATCTGCAAGCTCGTTACCCTGATAATATCTTACCTGTGATATTTTTAGCGATGTTGAACAGAGTACATATCCCAATGTCGTAAATTTTTTCCTAGAACATACTTGGGTTTATACCCAAATTTACTTGGTTTCAGGTCCATAGATTACTAATCCAGTTGTTTCTATAGTTTTGGTTTTGATTATCCTTATACTACTAAATGACATGCTTTCTGGTCTCATTGATTTTTAGTTCCATTCTTCCTTACACCCGAGCTCTGAGGTTTTGAAGTTTTTCACTAAGTATTTCTTTTTCATTTCATCCCAGGTATCTTCGATCCTCTAGCTTATGGATTTCTTGTTGAAGCAATATTACATCATCTAAATTTACTTTTATTTATATATACTTTAAGTTAAATGTAGTTAATGTCACTGAAAAAATATAGTCAATAAAAAGTAATTCAGGAAGGTACATCTTTTTATTCTGCCATTAAAGATAACTAGGCTACTATAAGACAAGAAAGAAATAATGTTCTAAGACTTCTGGATTACTCCGTTCCAGATCATTCTATATCTTGTCTTTTTTGCAATGTTCTCTATCATTAAATGTAGAGGTGTAAAGTGGGGTAAGGTTTAAGATCCTCCATTGCGACCATAGGACTGGTCGAAAGTATGTGCTTTCCATAGCTATATGGTTGTTTTCAATTTCAGTAATGGGTTTAACGTTGGATTTTGAACAAAAATTCGTTTACTGGATAGTACGAGGCTCGGAAGGTTCCATATTGTATAAAGCTAGGATGATGGGCTACTGGGAAAACGAGGTACCATCTGTGGAAGTAATTTCCAGTCTGCAAAAACCGAATATTCAAGGATCGTTGAGTTATTTCCACAAGAGACTGTTGTGGTTACAAGACGATAAAAATGCAGCTATCAGTGATTTATCTGGGAAAAATATCGCCACTATTAACGGAAAGTATATGCAGGGATTGAATATGGTTTATGTAGCAGATTCGTCATTATACATGTTACCAGGTAAATAAGAAACGTAAACGATATACCGTATATCCCAATTTAAGTATATCATAGTTACAATACAAATCTATTCTTTTTGTAGATCCTTGGCTACAAATTAACGTTATACCAAGTATGGTGGAAGAAAATTCAGTAAGGGTAGATGGTTCCTGCGAATCCTTTAACATTACTTGGAATCCTGTGATAAATGTAAATTATGGTACTGTTTTTTATGAGCTGCAAGTTGCCAACCCCTTAAAATTCAATGATATTACGGTAAGTATTGTTTAAATCAAAACCAAATCATAACTATTCAGGATGTGACTCATTAGTTTACATTGTGTTAGCCTTTTGGCGGGCTTGTGTATTTTTTCGTTTTTTTAATTAATTTTAGAAATATTTTAGCATTATAAAAGTGTTTTTGTATTCCGTTTAGTGATTTAATATATAAAAATGATTCGTTTACATAAATATCTGTGTAATCATTGCATGAAAGACCTTAAACACAAAAATATTAATATCAAAGCTTACCATAATAAATCAGACGGCTTCGAATAATCAATATTAAATTAAAAAACAGTGGATTACTCTGTTAGTTATACGTCTTTCAGTATCGAAACTCAGAAATAATGACAATGTCAAAAACGTCAGTGGTGGACAGAAATGGGACTGTAGAGATGGGAGAAAAATAACGGTATCAATAATTAATTATTGTAAAGACTTATTCAGCTGTGGTTGTCAACACTGGAACATGCGTACATACAAATATATTTTAAAAATTAAGAGGAAAAGGGAGAGAAAAATCGTTTACGGTCCTAAAACGAAGGCTATAACAGTAATCCATTCTCACAATCCCAAGGCAAACGTAAACCAAAGAAAAATTGAAAAAGCTAACTTGAAAAATGTGCCCCAGTCAAAAATTGAACTGCCTTACAAATTAGGCTACCGGAATTTATACCTACAATGACTAAATTTGCAATTTGATTCCTAATCTAATCAGTACGCACATTTTCACGCTGTGCATTGCGTGTACTACTTTTTCATACCAATGCTTAGAAGAAAATTGAGAGACCTAAGTGGAAATGTGTGTATCTATTAAATCTTCAAACTGCCAATTCTGTCATTGTAGCTGTAAGCTATTGTGGACTAATTGGTAAAGTCAGTGAGCTGTAAACTCTAGAATCCTGGTTCGATTCCTCATTTTTCATGTCTGTTTTTTCAATTCTCAATGTTTCGTTTTCACCTTTGAGTTGTGAAAAATTACGTAAGTGAATTGAAGCATTCATTTTTACCTGTATTTTAAAAATGTCCTACACAAAGCATTGCTTACCTTGAATCCCCAATGAGTTAATTTTTCATTTTGATAGTAATAATTTTTTTATTACAGATAGTAACAACTACAGAACCTACTATTAAATATTGGTTGGACGTTACCCCGTTTACTCCCATAAACGTCTCCATCAGGGCCTTTACATACTGGGCTTCATCCCCTTTGCTCCACACTCAAGTTATTTCACCCTCGTCCACGCCGTCGGCTCCTTTGAATCTGCGAACTTTCGTGGAATACGAAGTTCATTCGTCCTTCGAAAACAATTATGCAACAGTCACTGTCAGATGGGATGCTCCTTTGACTCCTAATGGAGTGCTCCAAGGGTACAAGCTTAGGTGCTGGTACATGGAGAACGAGAACGTACAAATGGATCTGTGCGACAACGTTATCAATAAAGAAAATGAGACGGAATATAGACTACCGGTTCTTCAAAATTCTGGAGAATATTTTTTCGAGGTAAGCGTGGATTTTGTTGTAGATTTATTATTTTTGTGATGGTAGGAGAGCCCGCGACCAAGATTTTCGACCTCGTAACGACACGTGAATTTTAATTTTTTCGATAGTTTGTTAATATAAGAAAAACTTCCATTGCGACGGACATCTTTGTCATTGATAAAGGGTATAATATACGTTTGTTTTTACAATGATTTTGCATTAAATACTTTAGATCGGGAACCACCACGTTTAAAGCATATTATTTAAATTTTAAAACATTAATGATAAAAAAAGGGAAGCTATCATTACTAATTAAATTTACTCTATATGCTTTAAATACGGTAAGTCCCATGCAACATCATGCCATGCTTTCCATAAGCCCTAACATCCGCCAAAGGCTTTACTGTTTATAAAAGAAAAATATGGAATCTACGTCATAGTATCAAGCCTAAATTTTATATATGTTGCTCGCGGTAGTATTTTAAGACCTTTTGTAAGCAGCCAAACCAATCCGAAAGCCCAAACATCTGCCCAGACACGAAAAAAGTTTCGTTGTTGAATTAAATAAGCTGGGGTAAGATGTACTACGCTCATGTATCTCTCTTTCTTATCTGTGTATTTTGGCCGTGGACTCTCCTACTATAACTTTAATTTAATTTTACAGGTGCAAGCGTTCACCAAAATTGGTCTAGGAGTGAAGTCTTCCCCGACTTCGGTCAATACAGCAATAGAGCATCCAATTCCAACACTTTTAATAGCATTCCAAGAATCAATCTATGTATATGACATAGATATTAACCAAACCACGCCTTTGGTAGTTGGTATTACCGATCCCAAGCAAATAACCTACCTTTTAAAAGAAAAGAAAATAATATGGATCGATAAAAAAGGTGAAATATTCTTACTAAATTTATTCGACAACGCTCAAAGTAAAATCTTCGATATCAATGGTCAAGCTGACAGCATAGCAATTGACTGGTTAGGAAGGTGTTTGTATTACACTCAAAAATTAAAAGACCAAAGTAAATCGGCCGTTTTCAAGCTGGATCTTAGTTTGGACAAACTAGAAAGCAAGAAGGTTTTAGAAAGTACCGAAGGACCAATTACAAAACTCGAAGTGTCTCCTTTCACGAGAAGTTTGTATTGGATAGAAACTTCGTCCACTCTCAAACATACACTTATGCAAAGCGATATTAGCGGCGAAGACAAGAGGCAATTTTTCTCAGATCACAAGAACGGAAATAAACTTTACAACTGTCCGTACAGACCGGAAATAGGCCCATTTTTCGCTATCGATCACTCCGACGTCGGTGTTAGACCGAAGATTATTTTCTGGGATATATACAGTCAAAGTATTATGTGGGCTGATAAATATTCCGAATCTTGTGGACTGCTGGCCGATTCTAATGAAGTGCGGAATGACTTTCCGTTAGAGCATTTAGAAGCGGATTTTTCTGCTCTGTATTGGACGCATAATGGAATACTACATGATTTGAGCAGAAATGATAAACTAATTTCAAAAGAGGTTTGTATATTTTTAGTAATATTATACAGGGTGGCAAAAATGTAATAATACTTTATGGGAATTACACGTTTTAGATTGGTTGAATATGAAAAAAATTGCGTATTTAAACAAAAATTAAAATATGAGGTCCGGTTTCCATAATATTTGACAAAAATGAAATTGGCACTTTCATTTAGGGAGAAAAAAAATACCACGCTTTTTTGTTGAACGTTAAGTACTGCTTAACAAAGCTTAGTCATATTTTCAAACCGTATTCACAAAGCATTTTTAAATATTTAGCTAGGTGTAAATCTTTGAAAATAGAAACGTCAATTTAAAAAAGTAGAGGAGGACGAAAGCGTAATTTTTCAATCACACTTTAAATCGTTACCCTAATTAATAAAATTCAAATAAATGATGTTATATTTCCTCAAATCGTTAACTAAATATTCGTAATTTTTTTCTATAAAGCGTTTAAGAAATCGACAGAAAAATATGTAATGATTGTCAGTTTACCATTAATAAAATAATCAAATAACAGTTTGTGAAGTATCGTCCAACTCTATTGAACATTCATTATAATGATTATAACTTTAAGGTTATAAATGTGGTTAAATTTAAAAATGGAGGGAAATAATTCCAAACTCAAATATAACCAAGATTTAAAATAAAGAAAAAATAAAATTCAAAGCGATGTGTCACAATAATACGAGCGGCCGTTTCGCTCCTAAAAACAACTACTCATTTGGCTAATGCCTTACCAGGCATTGAATAACATCAAAATAAAAACATATGTGATAGAAAATAATGTTCAACGCTCTACCTTTTTGTTTAATATGTTATGTTGGGAATGGGGTGTTAATACACTGCGACCTAAAAGATCTATTGTTTCCCCTTCTATCGCTAATGCACCAAGGAAATGTCTCAATGCCTATAACGATCCTTCCAATCTTATCTTCTCAAGGAAGTGTAGGATTTGGAGTGGCTTCAAGTTAGGTAAATCTCCCTCTTCTATTTGATATCCTCCTAGGTATAGTGCCCTTGGATTCTGGAGTGCTGCACATTCAGTTAGAATGTGAATGGAGGTGTCGTCCTCCTCCTCACAGAATCTGCACTCACTATCCTCTACTACTTTCAGTTTACTAAGGTGTTCTTTTAGTCGGCAATGCCGGGTAAGAATCCCTGTTACAATACGTAGCCTGTTCTTGCTCAATAATCGGTCCTTCTACTGCTCAATTCTTTTTTAATCTTTCCTAATACTATGTTACTGCTGATACCACAGAGGGTGTTTAAGTCCCTTTCCTTGCAAGATTATCTGCAATCTCGTTACCCTGTACCCCGTTATGTCCCAAGTGAGAGTAACTCTATTTTTCTCGCCTAGCTCATTCAATTGTTCTAGGCATATCCAGACCATTTTTGAGCTGATTACGTAAGAGCTCAGCGCTTTGATGGCTGCTTGGCTATCGGACATGATGATAACCTCCTGTCTATGATAGTTTCTCTCGATATTAAACTGGATACACTTCTCGATGGCGTAAATTTCCGCCTTGGGTATTTCCCCAAGCTTTCAGAGTGCTTGGTTCTCGGCCCATATACTCCTATTCCAGTTCCTTCTATGGTTTTGGAACCGTCCGTATATCACTGAATAGCATGTTTTTCCGTTGCAAGCGGGATGGATTCTTGGCTCCATTCTTTCTTGCTCTGTGGTTTTGAAGTTTTTCACAAAAGTATACTTCTTTAGCATTTCATCCTGGGGCATGTCCCAGGTATCTTTAATAAAAAGAACATCATTATTGGACCAGTTTCGTCCGTATTTGAACTTGTGAGCAAGAAATAGACATCTCGATTTAGATCTCTAATGAATTCTGTAAAGGCATCAAATTCTCTCAGCTATATGAATGGAGGTTGCGAGAAAATAATGTTACAAACTGTCTGAATGTATTTCTGTTTGGCACTGGTTTCAAAACTTGGAAAATGCCCTTTAGACAATATGTCCACCAAGGGCGGCTCTAGAGGGGTTACAGGGGGCCATTCCATCTAGGGTGCCGAAGACTCCGTAAATACTGGTGAGGCCAAAAAGGCCAGACTGTCCTTTCTGTCAACTATCGACAGTCTATTTAAACACAAAATTTACGTGACCATTTTACTTTTTAGAACGTCTACTCTACTCAAGTAATATCCTAAATGTTTGTTTTATTTCAATACGTGTGTTTTCTTTTTGAACATTAAGTTAAAACACTAAAAACTACTTTTTAGAATTTTTGTGAAATTCTTTATATTGTACCAATAATAATGCCAATTATTACAATATCCCTGAACAACAATATGTTAGCATCAATTGCGAGTGTCTACTCATTTTATACCGAACAAAAGTTTTGTTGTGTTCATATAATATAAAGTTCTATCTTTATAATATTTCAACTGTTAGATTTTATTTCTATAATACAATTTTCTCTAAAAACATTAATAAGAAGAAAGTCCTATAAGTTTTTTCTAGCTCGTGTTAGATTTTGTTTTTTGTTTTCTCTTGTTTTTGTTTTTTTTTGTTTTTTCTTTTGTTGTTTTCTTTTTATTTTTTGTTTTTGATTTTTTATTTTGTTTTTTGTTCTTTTTTCATTTTTTTTGTTTTTCATTTTTTTTTGTTTTTTATTTCTTTTGTTTTTTATTTCTTTTGTTTTTATTTTTTACATTATATTATTTTGTGTACACCAATTATTTGTATAAGTACTTTTAATTGCAATTTGTTAAAACAAACTACTGCAATCACTTGCTAACAAATTATTTTCGTTTGTCCCTCTAAAATAACTTAGTAATCGACAAGTAAAGAACCCAAAATATAAACAATTTATAACACAAGCACTTAAAGACAATTAATTTATGGAAAGAATAATGATTTTTATTTCTGCTGGGTGGACAAACGAAAATAAGGACTAGACAAATGAAAATATCGTGAAGAGAAAGGATTGGAATAGTAGTTAGTTTTAATAAATTGCTATTAGAAGAACTTACATTAATAATTGTTCATATTTTGGGCTTTATTTATTAATAATTTTTATTGGGTGGACAAACGAAAATTGGGCCTAGACAAACGAAAATAATGTGTGGACAAACGATTGCATTAGTAAGTTTTAATTAATTACCATTAGAAGTACTTCTTATAATAATTGTTAATATTTTGAGTTTTTTTATTTGATAATGCCTTATTTCTTTTGGATGGACAAACGAAAATAAGGCATGAACAAATGAAAATAAGCATGAACAAACAAAAATAATGTGTGGACAAACGATTGCGTATTTAATTCGTATGAAATGTATTAAGGTGATTACAGCACCCCTTACAATTTTCGCATATCACAAAAATTAATTTTGTTAAAAAATTAAAATGTTGGTATAATAAATTAAGAAATATTATCTAGAATATGCATATATTTTAAAGTTTTAAATCCTTTCAGTTTCCGAGAAATTTCTCGAGTTAATCGATAGCACGATATTAATGGTCTGAGTTTATGTTCATTTTGCCTCTGACAATAAAGACCTTTACCTTAAGTGCCCTAATCCTTCGCGGATTTAAAATATAATTCCAAAATATTTCAGTACAAAATATATAAAATGACACCTTGGCACGCAATGTTTGGTTTTTGCGAAGATCTATTAAGATATTATGTAGATATATCTTGAGTTCACAAATTTCTACCTCACCTTTTGATGCATCCTCTTGGTTAATGAACGGTAGAAATATACATTTATGGTCACCATCTGTAACGAAGTTTCGGCACCTGCACAAACGCTGTTTTTCGGGTAGTGTGATAATATTTGATAGAAACAAAATCAAACCTTCAAATTTTAACATATTATAATGAAAATAAATGCATTCCTCAACAGCACTATTCTTAGTATAATCCCTAAATTTGAGCTCTTAATGTCTTGTTAATGATTTTTTAGAAGTCGCCAAAATTAGTGGCTAAAACCCCTCGTTAAGTGCTCTCTTCTGGTGTAAACTTCCGTTGTAAGAAACGAATGATGACTGAGAGTGTACGATACGATAGTTACAGGCGCATTACACCAGAAGGCAGCACTTAGCGTTTTGGCAAATAATTTTTGACGAATTTTAAAAAATCAATAACAAGACATTAAGAGCTTAAATTTGGGGATTAATTATATTAAGAATAGTACTGTTGAGGAATGCATTTATTTTCATAGTGATATTTCAAAATTTAAAACTCTTTGATTTTTTTTTCTCGGAAACTGAAACGATTTAAAACTTTAAACTATATGCATATCTAGATAACATTGCGTGCCAAGGTGTTATTTTACATGATTTGTATATATTTTGTACTGAAATAAACTATTTTAAGCCCTTTTTGTTTCAATCAGTTTTTGGAGTTCTATTTTAAATGCGCGAAGGATGGGGCACTTAAGTTAACGTCTTTATTGTTAGAGGTGAAATGAACATAAACTCAGACAATTGATATCGTGCTATCGATTAACTCGAGAAATTTGCGGAGTTTTAAATTTTTCTTTACAACTCACTTTACGGATATTTGCTGAAAATAAAAATAACAATTGAGAATGTCAAAAGGAGAGGATATTTCTGTAGCTTAAAGGTGAATAATTTTATCTCCAATTTTATAGATTTGGATAAAATCAAAACTTTAAAATATATGCATATTCTAGATAATATTTCCTAATTTATTTGGCCAAAATTTTCATTTTTTAACAAAATTACTCTTTGAGATATCCTTGTTTGAAAATTATTAGGGGGTGCTGTATTCACCTTAAGGTTGTCCCTAAAGGCCATGTGCAATATTTTTTTATTTTTTAAATATCTCGGATTTGGGGGGGGTGGACAAACGAAACTTGGTTGGACAAATCGTGGACAATCGAATGCCACTTTGAAATTATCAAAAAGTTTTAATGGTGGTGCTGATGTGATACTTGGTTCAAATTTTTAATTTTGCTATAACTTTTTTTTGTAGAGTGGACATACGAAAATTTGATTGGACAATCTTGGACAAACGAATATCAACTTATTTTTATAAAAAGTCACATTACTGCCTTGAACTAGGTCATAAGCCGACCCTCTCCAAACTATGTTGAAAAGCTAAGTTGTTAAATGGTCTAAAAACATTCAGGAAGGAAATTAACATAACCATACTTACAAATATTCCTAAAGTTGTAATAAATAAATTAGATACATAGTTGGATATAGAAAATTTCAAAAATGGTTAAAAATGACTAACTTATTAATTAAAAAAATAGTTAAGGGTGGCTCTTTAAATCCGAAACATTCCTTTAAAATGTAGCATTGCTTATATTAAGCGGTATTTGGCCAATAAAAAAGCTTAATAAACTATTTTTCTATCTCTATAAAAACAAAGGCCTTAATTAAATGAAACGAAAATATTGGAAACCTGACCTATTATTTTAATTTTGAAATATTCAATGAATTCGTTTTGAAAATTTACATCCTTTTCCACATTTAATGAACTCTGTATCTATGACGGTTAACGAAATCTCAATTTAATTACAATTTTGTCACCCCATATTAATAAACTTTTCCTCCTGCATGCTTGATTTCCAAATACACTTTTCTCTAGTCTAAAACATAGCAAATACTTCTAAATAGGTGCTAATTATTATTTATTACAGATTACAGACATGAAAATTTACGGTCAACACGTCCAACCATATCCACCACAGAGATGTCTAAGTCCGAAACAGCACAACAATTACACAGTCACCCTAGCAACAAAATCGTTCAATTTTTTGAAGATTCGACTGCCTGAACCGCTGATTCACAAAGAATGTCTAAACATTTCGATTGCTAGTGTAAAATACATGGTTTATTACGCTAAGTATGTCGATGGATCTGACTGCGATCAAAGTACTAACTGCACAGTGCTGGTTACTACCAACAAAACCTATGTTCTGGCCGATTTGAAGCCTTATACCAAGTACCTGATGCGTGTAGCTGTTAGTAACGATTACACCATGAAAAATGAAATTATCATTGGACCGCCTAGCGTGTTTCAGACAGCTGCAGGAGGTAATTAAACTTCATGTAATATATACTGTTGTTTTTTTATTTTTATAGGTATTGGTATTTTCTTCTTGTAATAGAGTTTCTTTAATCCATCGCTTCCTTAACGTGGGTCACAATAGTCGTTTTCTTTTCACTGTTGGGATCCATTGACCATATCCTATTACAACATAAGACCTCTTGTGTTCCAGATCTTCGGATTCACCCTGGGCCCACCGACTTTAGAGTCTCACCCAGTTCACCCATGGCCTTCATCAAAAGGTGTGGCTTGTGAACTATAAGTTAGACATGAGCCACAATAGATTCATTTGGGTGTCAATTATAGGCGATGAGTTCATCCCACTCATTTTCAACCTATTAGAATATTAGTCATTTTTTAAAATGTATATTCAATGTTCTTGTGTGGAGGTATCTATTTGACGAAGGAATATGACCGAAAGCACTCAGCCTAATTTTAATAAACAACATTTTACGCATTTATGTACTTGCTTTTTTCATTCACTTATATTCTATTAGCATCTTTTGTTGTTAATGGGTTCTACTGTTCCTTCTAACTTTACGTCTTGGACATGTTCCAATCACATTGTCCCAGTTCTTCGTCGTCAGTAATTCATTTTAAAGTAATACTTTTTTCCACTTTCCTTTTTATTTTAATGGTAATTTTCTTACTGTCTTCTTACTTCTTTTACCACTGCTATCAACCAGTAGGTAATGTTTCTAAAACACAAGCTTGACTACTTTCAAATAATAACTGAAACGTTTAAAAAGTTGGTTTTTTTTTCGCGCTCTCAGAGTATTCGGATTTTTTGAATACCTGAACTATTTGGTCTATAAATTTTAACATCTTTTATATAGTATGGCACGAATTAAAAGAATAAAGTTATTATTATACTCTTATATACCTATGGAGGAAAATTCTAAAACTAGTCGATTATTATATTTAAAAACGCGGTTCTGTTCAATAATTTTTTGTATACGTTATATATAAATGTCTTTAAATTGTATCTCCATTCATCAACCATAGATAACAGTAACGTTAAGTATTTAAATGTTGTGTACTGACAAAAAAATTAATTATTAATTATTTGTAAAATACATTTACAGCAAATGTTTAAAATGACGATCTTCAATTATAATATAGCGAGACAGACGAGCAATAAACTTTTCTCGAAATGTGACTATAACTTTCGGATTTATTTGTACAATCTCCATTTGGATGCGTTCTTTTAGTTCATTTGGATTTTGTGGACTATTTTGGAATAATTTAATGTTTAAGTATGCCAATGAAAAGTAACCTAGATGAGTTAAATCAGGAGACCTCGGCGGAGGTAGTAGTCTTATTTTGAAAAAGATGGTTCACTTTTTGTGAGTATTTGAGTATGATCCAATGTGGATTTTTAGTTGCCCAATTCTGACAAGTCCAAGAATATACCTTCATCAAAAAACAATACTCCTTTTAAAAGTATCGGATGACTCTGTTATTTTTTGGCATTATTAACATTATAACCACTTGTCAATTGAGTATGTAATATTTGTATTACTTTTTTGTATTTTTATAGCTACATGTTTTGACAGTACCTATACACAACACTCAATTAATTTGGGCGGGTTGATTCAAAATCACTTTACTGATTGAGGTAAATGGCTCATAGACTTTTGGATCCAAAAAGTATATTCAGTATTCACTATTCAAGTATTGCGATCCTTAAGGTAAATTTAAACTAATAGGTACAATAAAATTTCGAATAAAACCAATTTATCTTCAAGACAGTCCTAAGGCCACCATAAAGCAGCTTCTAGTCAAAAAGGGCCCATCGTAAAAGAGCCTTCAAGACTAACTTAAAACCATTTAGTTTTAGTTTTATATTCTTCTAGAGTTCTTCAAGGCAACTTTAAAATGTATTAACTGACGTTTTGCATTTAAAATATAAACTCCTGGACAAAATTATTTGATATCAAGCATGACGCGACGCATGAATGCAGTGACAGGAAGTAGAGGAGGGCCTACGCGGTATTAGGATTGACCCAGATGCATTTATTCTCTTTTCTCAGCAAAAACAAATTTTAATGGAAAAAATAAGGCCAATTAAGGTCATGTACAGGTCATATTCGGCTAATTTTTAGGTATTCATCATTATTTCAATATAACTTAGTTTTATGTTGTGTTTATATTGTAAATATTTAGCTTAATTAAAGTGGTGCGTTCAACAAAAGCTTGCGGTATATTCTCCCATTCTTCAATAGCGACCTCTATGAGTTGGTTGTGATTAGAAACAGGGGGTCTATGACTTCGAATCCTCTTTTGGAGATAGTCCCATAGATGTTCTATAGGATTCATATCCGTACTGTTATGTGGCCACTCTAATAAAGGAATATTAATATCATGTAAGTAACCAATAACCTGTCTAGCCACGTGGGGACGAGCGTTGTCCTGCATGAACAAAAAATTGGGCCCAACAAATGGAGCAAAAGGCATTACATGTTCGACAATAATGTTGTCTAAGTAATATTGGGCATTCATAGACATCGTACGTATAGGGACCAACTCCGTACGAGCATCGAAGCAAATTCCTCCCCAAAACATTTTAGAGCCACCACCAAAATGCACTTTAGGAGAGATATTACAGCTGGCAAACCTTTCTCCTTGTCTTCGCCAGACATGCTGGAGCTTTAAGTCTAACTCTAGTTTCATCGGAGAACAGAAACCGTTTCCAATCATTGTTGTTTCAATTCTGATGTAGTCTTGCAAAATTTAATCTCTGAACTTTGTGTTCTCTGGCAAGCAAGGGGTTTTTGGCTGGTCTTCTGTTGCTTAATACTGCTTCATGTAAGCGTCTTCTAACCGTTCGAGACGATATAGCGATATTTCGAACATCTGCTAATTCATTTTTAAGCAGATTGCTGGTTACTCTCCTATCTCTAAGAGCACGTTGTCTCAAAAAACGATCATCAATTTGATTAGTGCAACGTTTTCGCCCTTATCCTGGTCTTCGATGGTACGAACCCGTTTCATTATGTCGCTTCACTATGCTACTGATGCTGGAATGATGTCTTCCTAACAAACCAGCAACATATCGCATTGAATATCCTTCATTCAGGAGAGTCGATGCTCGCACTGCCTCCTCCAGTGACAGATTTCTTTGACGGTTCATTTTTTTTACTTGATATTCTCCCAAATGAAGTTCCAAACATGCATTTAATAAAAACAATTACAATCAACAGCTTGCTTCTAACAGAAACTTTGCTTTAATCAGCACTTTTTAAGAAAATGTTAACACGGTTTTAGTCTAAAACGAGGTTTAATACGAATTACTGTCAAAACAAGGTATTATGTGACACTAGCTAACTTAAAATACAACTGTCATTGTCAAAAAAGGTCCTTGGCCTACTTGTCGTACAGTAAGTTATCAATAAATAAAGATTATCGAGCAAAATATAAGTGGTGCGTTAAGTGGTGCGTTAATTTTGTCCAGGAGATTATTTGCTACTGACTATAAATTAGCTTAAGAATCTTTATAATAACTAATGTTAAAAGTATTATAAAACCAGTCTAACATCAATAGGACAAAATCAAAACGTTTTTTTTATATTTGTTTAAGGAGTGCATTAAATTATTTGCATAATAAAAAGTGGTCTTCAAGAACTTTTAGTTTGTTAAGATAAACTTAAAAACTAACATCGTTTTTTTGAACAAATTAAAGCACTTTTAAAACCTAAATAAATTTAAAATGTCTTAAAATTGTTTCTTGGGTAAATTGTTACACAATAGATGTCGAATATTTGTGATAGGCAGTCATTAGGTATACCGACATGCTTAATAGTAAGAAATTGGCAACACTGCAATTAAATAAACTTACACAATTAAGCAATCCAACGTCCTGTTAGAATGGGCGAAAATGAACGATGCTTGGCAAAAACAATAAAGTTTGTTGACCTGACTCTTGCATTAATATTTGACTGTTACTGTAAATCATACAATTAATATTCATATATTTTTAATAAATACTAATTTATCCCATTTTTCAACTAAGCACCGAAAAACTTAAACACTCCAAAAAAATAATACACAATCTTAGACTGGTAGCCTCACTAGAAGAGTTTTGTCACTTTTCTTGTTTTTGCCAAGCGTCCACCATTTAAAGTCACGTGATTTGGATTGCTTAGTAGGAGTTGCGTATAAGCGACATTAGAAATAGACGTCCTTAGACCGTTAATAAAAAATATGTATAAAATTAGGGAGGTAGGTACCTACTGTGATAAATAGACTTGCTTGTCTGATTCACACAAAATAAAATTAACCGAAGATAAAATTTAACTGAGCGGTTAGCTGTATGCACAATGGTTCTTAACTAGGCCAGTTGGCCCTAACTATCTGTTGAAGAATTTGACTAACCAACCCCAATTCTTTATTTAACAATGATGATATCACGATTACACAGATGACGTTACATATAAAAACATATCTCATCTATCTCGAGTTTGATTATAAAAATCCACCACTTTCGGGGTTTTTCTCCACAGTTGCCAATTCATGAAATAATTAATTTATTTCTTTCATTTGCATCACACTGTATATATTACTTTTAGTACCAACAAAATCTAGAAACGTATCTGCCACGGTACTCAGTCCAAACCTGGCGTTGGTATCTTGGTTACCGCCGGAGGAACTAAACGGCATTAATGTGTATTATCAAATCCACTACCAAACGGAAAGCAGTACATTAGGAATTCGACAAAAAGGGGAGCTTAACGTCAACAATTCAAACGTGTTCAACGCTTCTTTGACGACACTATCCCCCAATGAAACATATACGATTTGGGTGAGAAGTTACTGCGAAACCAACAAGATGTTCTCAGAAAGCGATCGGGTCCAAATAACCACTTACCCGGAGCCTAGTTCCTTGATTTTGGACAACAAAACTGCATACGACATGCATCTTTCGTGGGCACCCACACAACACATCAAACGGTACAAAATCGAATGTTCTTTGTTGACCAACAGCGAATGGAGGGAAGTCGATAAGTCCAAAAAGAAAAACGGCAGCTTGTTAATTGGGATTTTCGATCTCAAACCGAAGACTCACTACAAATTTAGATTAAGGTTGTGGTATGATGGTAATAATGACGAATACGTTTGGCCAAAGGACTCGAGGTTTACATTTGAAACGCTAGGTAAGTTATTTAATGATTTAAAAAAAAATTAAGTACATTGTAAAACATCTTTTGTTCTTACAGGCGACAGGCCTAGTCCCCCTGGCATACCAATCATCCAATACGTAAAACCGAACATATACAAGGTACTATGGGAAGCATCTAAAGATAATGGAGCTTCAATCGAAATGTACAAACTAGAGGGTAAAATATTACGTGTCTACAGAAACAAACGAAGCACTAACAGAACCGCTCCGTACTTCAATACGGCTCCTTCGATTGAATTGGATGATGTAGAACAATGGACCACTTATTATAACGGAACAAGTAAGTTCATTCAGCCTTCAATACTACGTTGGGCGCCAATTTGCAACGTTACATGTTTTTTTGTTTTTTTTTTTTTAGATACCTCGTGGATAATAAATGGACTCAATGAAAAAAACAAATACGCTTTTAGAGTATCAGCTTTAAATTCGTATGGTTGGAGTAATGTCAGCGAAGAAAGCAACGAATTTGACTTGACAAGGATGGCTGATAAGCAAAGTCCCATGAAATTAATTCTCATCGCCACTTTAGTTCCCGTTTCTATATGCCTCTTTTTCATGACGATATTCATATACTGTGAGTATAAATGCTTAAATATTCAACTTTTACTGGTTTTGAAATGTTTATTTAAATCGTTGGCAATTAAAATTTTGTATTTGTAGTGACGTGTTCTGGAATAAAGAGCAAACAGAAGAAGTTACAACAAGGTATACCTACAGCTCCTAATGTTCGAGATGTCGAGCTGGCCACGTTAAGGGAAATGCCCAAAAGGGGCGTCCACAGTACCAACTTGCTCTATTTTCCTGAACAGCCCACTGCGGAAGAATTGGGACTTCTAGCTCACATAAGAAGGTAAGGAAATTAAAAATATTTATCTAAAATTTATAAATTAACACCTAAAACATCAAAAATAAAAGTTTTGCAATAACAGTTGCGGACAAGAGTACCTATAGCTGATCGTCATGTTTACCGTATTCGGTGATAGATCTGGATAAAAGTTTATATTTTTTTAGAGAACAAATAACGTTAACAAAATTCCTGGGAAGCGGTGCGTTTGGAGAAGTCTTCGAAGGAAAAGCCAAAGGTATTAATAATGCAACAGCGGAAACCAGAGTAGCTGTCAAGGTATGTCACTAACAATAAAAGACTGCGTTCGACGATATTTATGATCTATTTTTCAGACATTAAAAAAAGGGGCGACGGATCAGATAACGTGCGAATTTCTTCAAGAAGCCAAATTGATGAGCCACTTCAAACACGAGCATATCCTTCAACTTCTCGGTGTATGCTTAGACAATGATCCGCACTTCATTATCATGGAGCTGATGGAAGGAGGAGATTTACTTAATTATTTAAGAGATTCTCGAAATCCATCGGTAAGTGAACTCTATTATTTTATACTTTTGTCTCTTTTTTCTTATTTTAATATAAACTTTTTCATAAGTTTTTACATTTTTCTAGGACATTTTAGTTTTCTAATTCCCTGCTATATGAGTTATTATCCTCCTTTTCAGGGTGGTCTGCCCTGATTACAATAAGTAACCTAATGTGTCATGTGCGCGTGTGGGACCTGTGTGGCAGGTTGTGTTCCCCAAAAATATCGCCAATTTTGCTATTTCCAACCTCATAAATGGACAAGTCCAAGTATAAGGTGGGGAATATGATTTAGGAAAACCACAAAAACCTAAATCACGATATTGTACAAATAGTATGAATTTCTAATTATATGATTAGCAAGGGTCTATCTAATGTTTAGGGGGGCTGATTCCAGCAGATCCTGGAGTTCAGCGGTGAGGGGAGGTCTTGGGAGTCTGAAAGAAGTATCACATTTGGTTGCTGCATTTTCCGTTTTGGTTTTCAAAAAAGTGGGAGTTGGTTTGGGCGCCATGGAGTTCGTAGTGTGTCTTGTGAGTGTGTGTTGATGCCTTTCAGCGTGCGAATGACGTATTGTTTCCTGAGGGTTTGAAAACGTGTGAGGATGAAGGTGTTGGAGATGTTTTCGAAAACTTCTCCGCTGGGGGAGTAAAAGGGGAGATATTGGCAACGTCTCTCGAGTCTGGTGAATTTGTGGAACAAATGTGTGGGAAGTACGCCGTAGGGTACAGCTCTGTATTCGACAACGGGGCGGATAAAGGAATTGTAAGTGTGAATAAGGATGTTTGTGTTGCAACGCTTCATTCGTCCGCACATAGCCCCAAGGAGACTGGCTCGTTTTTGCATCTTATCAAGAGAGCGTTGGACATCAGAGGACCAGTTAAGTGTACGAGAAAATCGTACCCCCAAATAGTCAACTTCAGTCTGTTAAGCGAGTCTGACTCCCAAGAGATTTACATTTACGAGTTGGGGGTTCTGGGAGGTTCTTTGAGAATTTGGGTGTTTAAAGACGATGAATTGTGTTTTCTGTGGCCCGATTCCATTTACAGAAGAATGCTGAAACATCTTCTTGAAACCATCTTTCCCACCCTCGCCCTTCTCCTAAACTCCTGTCTCTCTCTCTCTCTTATTTTCCACTTGCCTGGAAATCCGCCAGCACCATTTTGATCCCCAAACCAGGCAAAGACCCTAAATCCATAAATTCATACAGACCTATCTCTTTCATATCAGTCCTAGGGAAACTCCTCTGCTCAAGGAAAGAATCTGGGAGTTTTGTGAAGAAAGAAACATCATCCCTCAATCCCAACATGGTTTCAGACCTCACCGCTCCACACAGGACGCAATCTCCTCCCTTCACACTACTGCGGTTACTGCAGTAAATTCTCAACGAATTTCTTCAGCCGTTCTCTTAGATGTTCAAAAAGCCTTCGACCAAGTCTGGCATGCCGGACTAGTCAAAAAGCTTAAGAACATAGGTCTCCTACCCCAAATCTCCAAACACATACACTCTTACCTCACATACCTATAAGACACGTTCACCCCACTCGCGGGTGTCCCACAGGGCTCCGTCCTGGCCCCTCTCCTCTACCTCATATACACACACGATATTCCCCCCAAACTACCTTACGTCCAGATGCCTCCTATATGCCGACGATACAGCTCTAATCTCGGCCGGTAGCCAAAAATTCTAACCAACTAAATACTCGAACCCAAAATCTGTTGAACCAGTATACTCTTACTTGTGTATCAGATGGAGGGTCTCATTAAATCCACAGAAAACACACTTTTGTCATTTCTGTGCTGTGGTTTTATAGTCCACTTTGACCTCCATTAGTGTTCACCTCCAAACGGAGGTCCATTCGCAATTCAAATTAATTTCCCAATCCTGTCATTTGTCACTATACGTAAAGCGAATTGTTTATTTACATTATTACCGCTACAAGTTTTGTGTACTTTTTTTATGTAAGCATTATATTAGTGTTTTTGTATTTCGTTTAATGATTTATTGTGTAATTTATCGTAATTTATCATAATTTATCGTAATTTATCGTAATTTATCGTAATTTATCGTAATTTAATGTAATTTATCGTAATTTATCGTAATTTATCGTAATTTATCGTAATTTATCGTAATTTATCGTAATTTATCGTAATTTATCGTAATTTATCGTAATTTATCGTAATTTATCGTAATTTATCGTAATTTATCGTAATTTATCGTAATTTATCGTAATTTATCGTAATTTATCGTAATTTATCGTAATTTATCGTAATTTATCGTAATTTATCGTAATTTATCGTAATTTATCGTAATGTATCGTAATTTATCGTAATTTATCGTAATTTAATTTATCGTAATTTATCGTAATTTATCGTAATTAATTTATTGCGATTATAATTGATTACTGCATGTGCTGGTTGAACATCGATTTGTAAATTTCAGACTTCTGTACAGTTGCTGACCTTAATCGAGCTACTCAAAATGTGCGTAGACGTTTCGAAAGGCTGTAGATATTTAGAAGAAATGCATTTTGTACACAGAGATTTGGCATGTCGAAATTGCTTAGTCTCATCTTACGAACCCGATTCAAGAATCGTTAAAATCGGCGATTTTGGACTCGCAAGAGATGTATACAAAAACGACTATTACAGAAAGGTTAGAATTATTATTATGTTATTGTTTTAAAAAAAGAATACGATAGTTCGTAATAATAACAAATTCTGGTTGTTTCATTTGACATAATCATTTTATAAGTCGTTCACTTTACCAAACTGAAAATTGCATTTTCAGGAAGGGGAAGCACTTCTTCCGGTCAGATGGATGGCTCCGGAATCGCTAACAGATGGCGTATTTACTAGCCAATCTGACGTATGGGCATTTGGAGTTCTATTATGGGAGATAATGACGCTGGGCCAACAACCGTATCCGGCGCGTGCAAATCTTGAGGTTTTACATTATGTGCGAAGAGGTGGAAGATTAGGAAAACCAATAGACTGCCCTGAAGAATTGTAAGTAAATACCATAAAAGAGGGCGCATTAATTATTAATAGCATCCCAAATAGATATATTTAATTCGTAAATATTATCATTTTAAGGCACAATTTAATGTTGAAATGCTGGGAGTTTGATCCGGAAAAGAGGCCGACTTTTAAGTACTGCTTCGAAGTACTAGAGGCGCTACATAGGCGGACATTACGTAATCCTACGACGGGCGCCCATGAGGGTCAATATATCAGTACTGTACCTGACCGTAAGTGTCTAAATACTTCATAAATCTAATCTGTCTTTTCATTTGCTATGTGATTGCATGTAAATAATTAATTAAATAATAAGAAAACTGAAGCTAACAACATTTATCTTACAGTGGATAATCTCATCTGGCAATTATTTATCACTTATTAAGAGCCAATTTACAGTTCGCAATTTTCCTTGCGGAAATTCCTATAGCAAAAGAATTTATTTAAAAAATACAATTAATACAAATTCATTAATAATTAAATCAAAGAAAGTGTAGTGCATGAGAAAAATCGGTTGAGATCCGAAAAATTGAAATGCAATTTTGAAAATATGAAAATGAATAATCCCTAATTGCCTATACGAAATTATGAAAAATAGACCCCCATATCCCCAAAATAAAAGCAAACCTAAGCAAATTGAAAAAGCTAAGGATTAAAGAAAGAAAATAATAATTCTTCCCTTAACGTAACTTAACATGAAACATGACTTGCACCAATGAATGTTCAGTCCAGTGATGTAGCGTAAGGGGAACCTCGGGTGGCACTTTGATAGGGGCGGAAAACTCTAGAAAAAATTACTTACTAATTAAGAATATTTAATAATGTTTTTTACCACAATAATTAAAGCAAATTTTGAAAATATGTGTCCAAAGTATCCCGGATTTACTATGTAAGTATTTTTTCTTAAATATAAAAAACAAAAAAGAAACTACCCAAGGTTTGCTTGGTTATATTTCATATTATAGTTAGATAGAAACTATTACCAATTTTTGGCGAAGAGGATATATTTTGACGATCTCTATGAAACTATTTACAATAATCATAATTAAAGTGGTTTAAATAGACAGAATTAAAATCTACAAATATCCACCAATAAAGCCATTAATAACATTAATTAATGACATTAAAATTTTATGAACAGCATTAAATTTCTAATATCCACTAACAAAGCTTTTTCTCGGGCCAGTCATGCTCCATTCTTTTATCAAGTCCAAAGAACTACCACCTAGGATACGCAGACCACCTTGCAATTATCGTCAGGGGACGATTTGCAGGCACAGTCTCGAAGCGATCTCTAACAGCTCTAAACATAGTGAACAACTGGTGCAAAAAGGAACAATTGTCCATTAACGCACAAAAAACAACAGTTGTACTTTTCACAAAAAAACGGGTACTAAACAGGACTAAGACCACTAGTACTAAACAACATAGTTATTTCATTCGTCACAGAAGCCAAATACCTCGGAGTCATATATGACCAAAGGCTGACGTGGAATCAACATCTCAAAAAACTCACACGCAAAGCTACAATAGTAGCTGTAGAAGAATATGTGGCTAAAATTGGGGTCTAAACCCCAAAATGACCATATGGTTATACATAAGGGTGATAAGACCCATGATAACCTATGACGCAATGGCGTCGGTAACCAAAACTGCGCAGGCAAGTGCAATAGGCCAACTCACTGGCATTAAGCGGCTCGCCTGTCTTAAGTGCTACTGGGGCCATGCGCACTACGTCAACTCCAGCAATGAAGGTATTAATAAGTCTCACGCCACTGCACATCTTTATACAAGGAGAAACCAGGTCAGCTATTCATGCAGGGACAAAACCCAATTAGCCAACTACATAGCGCCGACCACACAAGGCTATATCAGTAAGTAAAAAGGGATGATATTCTAGCTATGCCTACTGATAGAGCCATAACCACATACAAATCTGAAAGAAATGTTCAAATTCAAATACCAGCCTGAGAATCCTGGAAACAGGGACTTCCCGTATAGGCTGGACTCGTTTGGTCAGACAGTTCAAAAACCAAGGAAGGAGCCGGTGCTAGAATCTATGGACCCAAGTCGAAAACAACGATTTCGCTGAGTTTAGGAAAATATGCAACATTGTTCCAGGCTGAACTAATAGACATACAACACTGTGCAAGAGAAATACTAAATCAGCAAGTATCAGGCAAAACTATTGCCATATACTCTGATAGCCAAGCAGCTCTAAAGGCAATTTTCTCGCCAGAAATCAAACCACGAGTGGTGAAAGACTGTATAGAAGACCTGGCAGAGCTAAGTAGTCAAAACAAGATGATCCTAGCCTGGGTGCCAGGCCATAAGGGATATCAGGACAACGAAAAGGCCGACAAATTAGCCCGAGCTCAGATAAGGCCGTGACAGACTCCGAACCCTTCTGTGGAGTTGCGAAGGCATTGTGCAAGGCATCCAAATAATGAATGCAAAAAGAGTCAGGAATGTTGAAACAACTATTCAAGACTGAGACAGGCCAAACAGTTCACCAAGGAACCATCGGGCAAGTTCACGAAAGATCTACTGGAACAAAAGCGTCAAATCGTTAGGATAACAATAGGTCTTCTTACCGGACACTGTCGCCTTAAAAGTCACATGAGTGTTATCAATCCAGCAGAAGAAGCAACTTTGTGCAGGTTCTGTGAAGAAGAAGAAGAGGAAAAATAATTCCACGTTCTGTGCCATTGTGAAGGCCTGGCTGGAATGAAGTTTCTAACATTGGACGAAGAAAAGCCAAATGCATGCAACTACATGCGGGAGCCACTGTCAAAGCTACTAAGTCTAATAAAAAAGACCAAGTTAGACGATGTATTCTAAAACAAACGGAGTCCCACAATAGATCTGAAAAGGTCGCAGTGGACAAGGACAATTAACGTCCAACTCCCAATCTAATCTAATCCCTCTGCCTTTTTATACCTTTCCACGACCCCACTTTTCCTTAAAACCAGGAATATTTGAGGAAGGGGACAACCCCCTTTAACCATGTATATGGACGCCTATGGATACAGATAGCAGGTCTGAATCATTCATTTTGGAATATACTAGAAAATTCGAGTAAATGGTGAGAGTGCTACAATGAATTTTGAGGATTTTTCTGGAACGCCTTCCCAATTGTGTAAATACGCGTTTTCAGTTATGAACAGTCAGTTAAAGTTGAGTCATAACAGTGAGAACATCGATAAAGTAAATGTGATATAAATGAGTATAAGTGAATTGTTAAATAAATTAGAAGTGTGAAATATAGATAGTGCTTAAGTGCAAATAAATTAATTAGTACGTAGTGTAAATAAATTATAACTAAACTGTTTTAAATTAACAAACTATTTTTAAAATAAACAATTATTGACAAGTAATATTATTGTCTTTGGATAATAATTGATTATTACACTTTCAAAAGATGCTTTTACCATTAAATTTATTTTTTTAACTTTAAGTTTTGGAGAAAAAGAAATTTTATTGAAAATGTTATGGGCGAGGGGTGACAAATGTGGCAGAACCCTACGTTACGCCACTGGTTCAACGTTAGTGGGCAGACGTACAAGACGAATTGCCAACTGTAAAGTGGTTCTAAGAGTAAAAAAGTAATTTAGGCTGTATAGTTTCAAATGAAAGCCCCCTGTATATTTTATAATTAAAACTCTTTAAGTATTACGTAAATCTGAATGTTTTTGTTATAACAATTTTTTTATAGCCAAAAATAGGGTATATGAGGTTATCTGATATTAATAAAAGTATATTTTTCAATATTTCAACATGTCACTTTTAAAATTGATTTCTTATCATTAAATTATAAGAATAACTACTTCCGGAACTTACATCACGTTATCCAGTTTTCTATTAACACTCATTTAGCATGTACCTACATAGAATATAGCATGTAACTAATCTTCATATTTTCATTGAATGCTTTACAGTGTTTGCTGGGATATCGAATGCAGCTTATTTTCGTGATGAAAATCATAATAGCTCAGGTAATATCGATACATCAAATTCCAGGTCATATTTTTAAGTTAAATAGTATGTTTTGTGTACATTTATTCATTTTTCTATCATAAGGCGACGAAAATTTAAAATTAGGTACAAATTATATTGGAAAATCGTTATCATAAAAGATGCAAGGTTACTTGAACTACCTAGGATAAAGCTTGCAAGCTACCGAAAAAGCTAACCGCGAGACTAGTGTGCATTCACGTTCTCGCGGCAGTTAAACAGTAATGTATCCGGTCACGTCGTAGATGTGTTACCACTGGACTGAATGACGATGAATGGGAAGAAGTAGGGCATCTCCAAATAGTGGCACAATAAGCCTAATCCGCTTCAGTGCTGTCATTCGAACCCCAAGGTCCTACATATTTTCTTGTCATTTCGCTTTTATACTGTGTGTGTATATTGAAAAAGAACCCACACATACTGTAAATTGAATTTGAAATGTGTAAAGTTTGTGGAAGAGGTGGTTTATTTTATTGAAAACGTGCAACTTTTGTCTCATTATAACAATCTAGTATCTTTTGATAACGAGGTCCTAATAGTACACTTTTAAATTTCGCCAACCAATTTTTGTTCATAAAATATATTTTAAAACTATAATAAAACTTAAAAAAATGACCTACCCATTCATTTGACTAATCATCTTATCAAAATCATTCAATAGATTATGAAACAATGTCTCTCTCCAGGAAACTCGTGGAAGAGTGACGGCGAGGAAGAGTCCGCCAAAGAAATTACGCCGTTCTTGGATAAAGAAGAAAATGCCACGGCGAAAGAGATACCCAAATATCTAGAAGTTATTTTAGGACCTGAACATATTCTAGAAAATGACGGTTATGAAATACCTAACCAGATGATGCAGAAAGCTAACGAGAATGTATCCAGTGCCAGCGAAGAGAAGAGTCAAAAAGACGAAGTTTTATCTACTTAAATATTTTCCAAAGCTAGCTCCTAAAATAAGTGTCCATACCACAGCGTGGTATAGCAACGGGTATCCCGACTTCCTACGCTTACTCTTAGGGGTTTTTAATCGTTTATTATTTACTTAAATATTGAAACTAAAACATGTGTGTATTACTTGTTGCTAATATCCGTCTAAACCATTTATGTAATATGTTGCCCACCTTTTATTCAATTGGCAACATTGATAAGTAGGAAAACCCTTTTTAAATAGATGTTTTCATCAATGAAATAGTTTTCATTTGATTTTCATTGGAAGACATACTGCTGTTGCAAGGTCATTGCAAGATCTTTCGCCGTCTATCAGTTTACATAGCAAGTAATAGAAGGAGGATTTTATTTCAAAGGAAACTCTAAATTTGTTGTTTGGGAAATATATCTAAGCATAAATTTCTTCTTTTTTCCTTGTCTTCTCTTATTGTTGTATAGAATCACTTTTTCACTATCTACCCAGTACGATTTTAAAAGTTTTATTTTACAAAAGAGGCTCAACACGCACTTCTTGACAAGCCAGATAGTCTTTAGACAATCCTAGAGAAAAACTGAGCATATACAGCTAAAGAAGAAGACAAGGACAAAAGAAGAAATGTATGCTGACGCCGTAACCTTAGACAGATTGTCGAAAAGATAATTTAGAGTTTCTTTGGATATAAAATCATTGAGTTCCGGATTTGAACTGCTTTTACTCCATATCTAACTTCACATCACTGAATTGCAATGGTTTAGCATGGACTAAAGTTAGTTATGGAGTGAAAAGAGTAAACGGAGAACAACTTCCGAACTTAACAAATCATACTTCTATTACTTGCTTTGTAAACTGATAGTGTAAAGCTCTTGCAATGACCTTCAACTGCAATATGTCTTCCGATGTAATAATTTATTGAGCTTAGGAAGATATATTTCTGTATTTTTTGCTGAACAATAGTTAGATTCAAATAGAACTGGCAAAAACCGAATATTCATATTCCTTATACTTTTCAAGTAATAAGCGATTAAAACCCGGGAAAGTTAAGTCAAATGGCTTGTATAAGATAACTATTTCTACTGTCACAACCAAAAATAGTTTTTAAATAATGAAAAATCTCCCCAATACGCCATAAAAGTGTGACGTAATTTTGGTTCCATTGACAGTTAATTCTAACCAAACTTTTAACAATATTTGACTTTATACGTTTTTATTGTTTTTATTTTTTTATTAAATATTTTTTGCAGGTCATAAAAAGTAGTTTAATATGTAATGTAATAAATGATTTTATACTTATACTATCTACTTACTCTAGAAATATATTTATAAAAGTTTAGAAACCATATAATATAGATAAACAAAACGCACTCAAAAAATAAATACTGCCATTGTAATTATCAGTGGAACCAAAATTACGTCATCACTAATATTATTATTGATGAAGGTTTTTCTGAAGTTTTTGTGCTTACACCTACCCTAACAATTATTGAGTGGTTAAACAGAAAAAGTGGTATCAACTAAAATTTAAATAATCCCAGTTTATGCAATAGTCTAAAGGTGTATTCAAATAAATCATAAAGACACAGAAAAATGTCTAGATGTATGTATTTTCAATTTTGAAAAAAAATATTTTTAAACTACCTACTTGAGCTATATACCGTATAGAGGTGTGTCGTTCGCGAACGATTCGTTCAAAAAGAACGAATCAGTGCACTGACTCGAATGAATTAATTCCCTGTTTTTAAAAGATTCGAATCTTTTTTGAGTCAATTGTTCGACGGCTCTGTGATCGATCAAGAACGCCCAATTCCGAGTTTGGTTGTTTCGTTCATTCGGATCTGATTCGAAGATTCGGTATTTTAAATCAGCATCGGCAAATCGGTCGCTTTTGTTCTACGTTCTACAGCATAATACAAGAACTCGAACTTACAGGCGGTGGCGGTATGTGTCTGTAATGTTTTTCTCACTTTACCAGAGGTGTATTAAACTTAGGTAAACAATTTATGCGCGTTGTCTGATAAATAAATTTAAATCAAAGTAAATAAGTAAAGCAATAAATGACGAATCATATATCTATAATTTTTCGCTAGTTTTGGCTATATTTAGCATTAAAAAAAATTGTGTTACTGTTGTTTATCTTAACGGACAAGGATGAACCTACTATTATAGTATTTAAATTTCCATCTGTCTTCTTTTTATGAAATATTAATTCGCTATACTTTAAAATATCAAATTAAAATAAAACCGGTATTAATTATTTTACTTAAGCATCTCACCACTCAAATCATTACATTCTTTCTTACGCATTACAGACTGAACGCCACTCGACGACCTAGTAAATAGGTAGTTCTCAAATTCGTAAACGTTCGGTTTGATTTCCTTCGACGGATCGGCGGAATAACATCGTTCGTGGTTCGCTAAAGTGAATCACTTGAGAACGAATCTTTTTAGGTGAATGAATCAAATGAATTAATTCAATAAAAAGATTCGAACTTCCCACCTCTAATACCGTACTCTATTTAATGCTGTTTTAAGTCATTAATTTTTTAGTTATTTGTAAATTTTTTATTGTTTAATATTTAAAAGAATTGACGTGTCCAAATAGAAAAACTTTTAGTTCATATGGGTTCGTATCAAATTTAAGAAAACCTTTGGCATCTTTACATTTTTTTATAATTTTAAATATAGTTTCAGTAGTACAGGTATTAATTTTCTGGAGTAATGTTTGCATTTAATATTCAATTAATAATAAATTTATTATTTAAGGATAAAACAAGTCCGCCATCCATTAGTATCTTCGAATTTAGTTTGTCTTTTCGAATTTAGCTTACTGAATATTTAAAATGATAATACTCTTCCTATAATTCACTACCTCACAAAGTAATTTCAACCCCAAAAACTAACTGAGCTTGTCCGGGGAAGGGACGGCTATTATTATTTGCCGTGGCGCTCCGGGGCGACTTACAAAATAATTTACTTGCACGTGAGGAAAACCTCATCCATCATCATCGAAACGATAACGCACGGTGATTTATAATCTAGATATCATATCAACAGAAATTAAATTCAAGAGATATCAGGGGATAACTAACCAAAGAAATGAAATTACTCCTAATACGTCACCCATCAAATCCTATAACGAATCACAAGTGAGGATAACTGTATTTTCTTCGCCTAGCTCATTGAGTTTTCCAAAACTTTTAGAGTGCATTGTGCTAGGCCCATACACTCCTATTCCAGTTCCTTCTATGGTTTTGAAACCATCCCTATACCACTGAATAGCATATCTTTTGGTTGCAAGTACGATGGATTCTTGGCTATACATTCTTACTTGCAACCCAGCTCTGTGGTTTTGAAGTTTTTGACGAAACTGTACTTCTTTTTCATTTCATCCTTTTTTTTAGTTGATGGAAAACCGCTTAGCGTCAACCGCTGGGATCGCCTTTCGGCATTTCATCAGGGTGAGGACTTCGTGATTTGGGTTTAAATATTTTTCTATTTCACCTTTTCCTTATATTCCTCCCATTTAGTGGAAGTCCCTTTATTCCTCATCTTTGCTTTTCATTATTTTCCTAATGTTTTCCGCTATTTCATTTCATCCTGCGGCATATCCCAAGTATCTTCGTTCCTAAAGCTAGTAGACTTTCGTCTGATTACTCCGTTCCTGATCATTCTCTATCATTAAATTTAGAGGGGTGCGGTTTAAGATCACCTTCAATGCGTCCGTAGAACAGGTTCTCATTGCACCGGTGATGCAAACACAATCTAGTCTTTGTACTTTTGAGATACATATTAGCTCTCGTAGTAACTAAACTAGTTCTGTCACTCCAGGGTATGATAATTAGTCTCACTATTGCTGTATACATCCATCGCAATGTGTTCGGGTTACATCCACGTCTTTTACCCACAATGTTTCTGCAAACTATTAGGGACTTTTATGGCCTTATTTACTAATTCCTTCTCATGTATGTCCTAGAGAAGTTTGTTGTCCAGGGTTTAGCATAGATATTTGACTTCTTTTTCTATATCTAGCCCGTCTAATTTAACGGTTTCGAGATTTAGTTTTCTGTTCCTTGACAAGGCTACTGGTGGTTTTCGTGGGGTTTATACTACCTTACAGCACCATCTTATGGTAAGTTCTAGTCCTCTATGGACTATATTACACATGATATTTCCCTTGCCTCAGTTGCCTCTAGCAAATATGACTAGGTCAGTCAATCTGCATAGAAGTTCGTCTACGGTTAGGCTCCACATTAGTGGGGATAGAACTCCTCCTTGTGTACATCCTCTGGTGCAGATGGAGATGGTGTCCTCCTCTTTCTGTGTCTCTGCAGTTTTCGTAGATAACAGCTGAGCCATCCATCTGAAGTGCTCTTCATGTTCATGTGGCGTATTATTGTCAATCGCTCCTTCTATGTCAAGGAAGGCACACACGACCGTTTCTTTGTTTGTCAGTGCATCCTGGATTACGTCAGTCAGTTGAACCAGGGTAGTTTCTGCAGATCTTCTTGCTCGGTACGCGTGCAGGCTATCGAACCTATAAAACATATTTTTCAGAAACCCATCGTTTCCGCCGCTACAGCGCATGCGTGAGTCTTTTCTTTTCAAAAAATTTTTAGCAAAACTGTCCTTTTGTTTAAAAAAATATAGATGCAACATTATGGATTGTAGAATTTACCTAAAAATACTTTCTTTGTTTACGAACAATACGAAAAAATGGACAGGAACTTTCTAGCATGCGCTGTAGCGGCAGAAACGATGGATTTTTGGAAAATCTGATAGGATTTAATGAGTAATTTCCACTCTACAACTTTGCTTTAATGAACTTTTCCACCAAAAGTGCGTGTTTACATGTAAAATGTGAAAAACATTTGTTTTTTTTGGCGCGCTCTAGTGGCAATAATATGAAGTTGGGCAAAAAATGTATTGGGACATAATCGATAGAAAGTTCAGTAAAAATTTTTCAAGGAAACGCGTCGTTTTTGAGTAAAATACAAAAAACTGAGAAAAAACGCCGAAAAATGTATATACAATATGTCCCCCTGGGTTGGAATCATATGGAAAACTTTTTTATTATTAATTTTAAGAAAAACAGTTATTCTTCATAAAAAGTTCTGAATTATCTTAAACCTAGAATACCGTCATCAGATATCAAATTTTTCAAGCCGTATACAAGGTTTGTCAAAAAATATGAATTTTGCTCAAGAGTAAAGTACGTTTATTTTTGACAGAATCGAACATTTTTATTAATAAAATTGCTAATACTCCTGCACTATGGAGTATTAGACTACTAGTACAATCCATAACCTGCATAGAACACTAGGCTAATGCACTTAGATGTTGAAGCCGTACACCAAAGAAAAAAAAATTCTTTACAAACATCAAGAAAAGGAAAGCGTATCATGTTTATAGTAGAGAAGAAAGAGAAAAAATTATGGATTACCGTAATTAGGTGGATCATTGCAAAATCTAGAAAAAATCTGATTTTTCAGATGTGTAATTGCATATTTGAATGTAATTTTCAATTCTAATCAACTTTTATTAATGAAAATTTTTGATTTTGTCAAAAATAAACGTACTTTACTCTTGAGCAAAATTCATATTTTTTGACAAACCTCGTATAAGGCTTGAAAAATTTGATATCTGATGAGTGTATTCTAGGTTTTAGATAATGCAGAACTTTTTATGAAGATTAACTTTTTTTCTTAAAATTAATAATAAAAAAGTTTTCCATATGATTCCAACCCAGGGCGACATACTGTGTGAATATATAATACTTTCATCCGATCATTCTTATCTCTGTGCTTAGTAAATTTTGTCAAAAGAAGTCAAAACCTTCATGTTATCTGGATCTCAATGCTGTACTAAACATTTTGGGTTCAAGACAATTTTTTGTCTAATTCCGGTGGACTATTAATTAGATTCATCTTTAATTAATTTAAAATGCCTTGATCTATATATTCTGGTTTAGAAACTGAAGGTTTTTGACATCTACAATGTTATTCACATCATGGTTGGTTAAATACATTCTAGCGATATGATGGTAAAATGGCGACTTTTAATTTTGTATAATAAAGAATGATCTCTGAAAATAAATACCACTGTTTATCTGAAACTAATTATAATAGTTATTTATGTACCAAGTCAGCAAAGTGATTCTTTATCGAACTAGTCTGAAATTATGAGCTGAACGAGAGAAGCGAGCCAGACGGGTAGCAGACGAATTTGATAAAGGCACTTTGCTGACATGGTCCATACAAACTTTTATCGCCAACCGTAAATAATTAATAAAAAATGAGATATAACATCAAATTTTAATCTGACAAAGTAAACAAACAGCGAATACAAAAACAAATCAGTTACAGACTATTTCTGTTAGACGGTCATAGCTATGTTGATAAATATTAGCAGCAGATAAAATATTTGATTTTTACAGTAAGATAAAGCGTTTGTTTACTTCCGCAAATCGCTTGGCGATAAATCATTTAAATCAGGCTGTAATAAATTTTTAAATATAAAACGCTACGACTGTTAAAATTGAGTTTACTTCTCTTTGGCAGGGCTACGATCTTCAATATATCTTAGACACAGCATATATAGTTTCCTATGCGGTGTCTTGGATATATCATTTTTAAAATTTTAAGTGGCCGTAAAAACCAAATTAGTAAACTGAATTCAATTTTGGACTTGAATTTAGATATTTAAGCGTCTATAGTAACAAGTGATTTTACGTTTATGAATTATTGAGTACCTTAGTTTTTAATTTTTGAATTTTAATTGTATAGAGCTGTAAGCTTTTTGTTTTATATTTTCTTTTTGCCAAGAAAATCATATCAATTGACAATGTACAAATTATTAAAGCAATGAAAGGTATTGTTTTAGAAACAATAATACTGTCATTACAATTACGTTAAGTTAGTTCTATTAAGTTTTGAAAATGCGGAGCAACACTTTTATTTAAAGTCTTGCCTAGTATTTTTGTTAAGTGCCTTTATTTCAGTATTGTTTATATGAAAAGGTGGGATCAATTTTATTTAAAATATACATATATTTATTGTACATACTTTGTAAATAACAGAAATATGTGATTTTAATATTTAAGATCTTAATTTGTAGGTTACAGATTTATAAATAAAGAGATATAATTAAAGCATATTTTTTTATGTATTGCCAGTTTTCTGGCCTGGAGCAGTTGCCAGATTACTATATTATTTTTGACATCAGATGGAGGCAGGCGAAATTCAAACTAGAACTGGATCCAACCTCGAATGAGGGAGGCAGTCTGTGCCATTTTTTACAATTTACTTAAATTTTACATTTTAATTCAACATACTTATTTTTCTGTGGACACATAGTGGTAAGACACCTAGCATTTCTATAAAAAACGTTTTGTTATACCTTAAATTATTATTGCAGATTGTACCTACCGTACCTACTCACAAAAATTTTTTTTTGCCTGATGACCTTTTAGGTCGAAAGCGCTTGCAACCTAATACATTTATGTGGTCGACAGACTTTGAGCTTTTTACTTCCCTTTAAAATTAGTTTGATTCCAATAGTGTTGCATCCAGCTCTGCTTTGATTTTGGTTGGGGTTAAAAGCCTTTCAAATTAAAGTGCTTTATCGCTGCTCTAAACTTAAGTTTTTTCCATTGTTTACAAGATCACATCACATGACATTCCATTGGCTTAACATCAAAAACAGACGGATCGTTCTGTACTGACATATTTATTTAACCTATTAAAAGATCATTCTACAGAATTGTAAAGAATATTTCTCCGAATTCCCGCCATCTGTGTTAGCCCACATAGTTACTGAACAACCCTCGTAATTTAGTCTACATAAACAAAACGTAATCAAAAAAATTAAATGAGTACACTGTCTCAGTCACTTTTCATCGGAACTCAAATTACATCATCATTAATAATATAGCATATTTCGAAATAAAACAGATCCATCTTAAATATTTCTTTAATTTTAACTTCATCAAAAAAGTTAGGTACTTGAAAATGTTGTTTAATAAAAAAATTTTAAGAAATTTTTATTAGACACTTAATAAATTATAATTACAAAATGTCAAAATTAATTTTCTTCCTGCTCCTCCTCCTTCTTCACTTTCACCTCAACTTCATCTTCTTGTTCCAATTTAACGTCATCGTCCAAAGCTTCGTCCTTGCTATTTTCATGCAACAAAACATACTCTCTTGAACTAAACCCAAATTTAATAACGTCCTTCTCAATCAGTTCATAGTATTTTTTTGGTTCTATTTTTTTGTTATTTATAAAAGTTCCATTCGCAGAATCTAGATCAATAAGATATGGTCTTACCCTTTTACCTATAAAAAAATAGAATTATGTTTATTCAGAACATCTAAAATTCTACAAAATCATAATTTTTGGTTACTTACCAACTGAGCCGTTCTCTCTAGTAAAAGGCACTAATCTATACTGAAGAGCAGCGTGTTGTTTTGAACAAGATGGATGGTCTACAGGCAGATCCACCACCTTCCTTTCTCTTCCAATAAGGTAAGCACTTTCCCTATGTATATATAAAGTCTGTAATGCCTTTTCACCCTTGAAAGGATACAATCTCCACCGTCTTCGCGGTTTTCTAGCTTCAGGAGGTTCACTGTACTTGACCACGACCCCTCTGTATGTATTAGTCTCTTCTGTCAATTTACCAGAAAGTCCAAAATTCGGTTTTTCTTTATCTTGTACCTCCTTTTTATTTTTGTTTTGCTGTGAATCATCCTGTTTACCCCACTTTGCACTGGCATGATCGAATGAGCTGCTTCTCCTACGTCTAAAAATAAAGACATTGGATGATTATATCACTGAAACAAACAAAAACAATGAGAAAAACTTATAAAACGATAACTCATATAATTAATTTTTAAAAATATATAGATTAACCCACTGAATTATTCTCTCGTCAAATATTCTTTACAATTTTCGTGCCTGTTATATTGTTTCGTTCTTATTTGAAATAATGTTCTATACAGGGTGTTTCTACTTTTTTACAGGCTGTAACTAAGGAACTACTTAACATTTTTTTCGAAAATTGGGAAATGTCAATTAGACTTTCAGTACTATCATTTGAGGTAAGTATACTTGAGATCAGAGACTTCATCAGTAGCTCTGTGACATCAGTACATTGAAAAAAATTATGGATGAGGGGATGAAAGTTAGCTCAAATGAAATTTTTATTACAAATTAAACAGTGTATCACAGTGATGGGGGCATTTGGAACTAAAAACCCCTTCCATTTAAGCTAATAGATTTAGTTATAACAAATAATGACTCAATTTCAGCTGAGGTTATCAAAACACCAAGAATTTCAGATCATTTTATGCTTTTAACAAATGTGCTATTAAATAGTGATGGGCGATCTGTTTTTGAAATTGAAAGCAGAGGTAAGGACTTAAATTTTGATTTAATTAATAACAAACTTTCAACATTAGCAAATATTTATGACATTAATGCAAAAGATGATAATTTTGTAACAAATATTTTAAATGTATTAGATTCTGTATTAAATTCTGTTAAAAAAAAAATGATGGAATGAAAATGTAAAAGCTGCCACAAGGTATACAGATACCTTGCATATAAAAATTATTCACAAGAAAAAACAGAAAATAATTGGAATGAATACAAAATGCATAGAAATAGGGCCGTTAACGTATAGAACAGAAAAAGTAAACACATAGAGAAAAATATTTACGAAAGTAGGGGAAATTCAAAGGAAATGTGGAAATATCTAGAATGTCTGATTCCAAAAAATACTTTTGACATGCCAAATGCTCTTAATAAATTTTACATAGACAGTATACAATCGATTGCTAGTATGATTGATCATACAATACCAGATTATCAAATTTTAGACAGACACAATGGACATTTTCTTGGAAAATTTTAACTATGTACGGTGGATTCTTTAAGAATGAAAGAATGAAAAATAAAAGTAGCACAGATGACATTAACATTAATATTTTAAAAACTTCCCAACTTCTCAGAACCACTTTTAAATTTGATAAATTCGTCATTAGAAATTTCAAAAATACCTAATGCTCTAAAAATTGCTATGGTAGTGCCTGTTCCAAAGACAAAAAACGCAAATAAAGCTAAAGATTTAAGGCCTATTAGTATGTTAAGTTATATCGAAAAAATCATTAAGGTCGTTTAGAACAAAATAAACTTATTGCTAGAATACAATTGGGTTTCAGAAGCAAACATAACTGTGAATCAGCTATCCAGTGTGTTTTATATGATTGGAAATATAAATTTGATAAAAACTATCTAATAACATTGACAGTTTTTATAGATCTTCAATGGGCATTCAGACTGTTGATCAAAACCGTTTGATAAAAAAATTTAAAAGTATGGGTATAGTAGAACAAGCATTGGAGTGGTGTGTGAAGTAAGAGGAAACAAAAGTTAAAAGTAAATAACATTTTGTCAGAGGAAATTAACTATATCAGAGGTGTTCCGCAGGGAAGTATATTGGGTCCCTTGTTGTTTTTAGTGTATATCAATGACATTGTTGATTTCAAGGGTCAATGTGACATTCGCCTGTTTGCTGATAATGCCCTAATATATTTTTCTTGTAAGGATTCAGATACCTTGATAAGAGTTGTTAATAAAACACTGCAACATGTTTATAAATGGTGTTGCAATAATTTGTTGACAATTAACACAAATTAAACAAAATGTATGCTGATAAGTAGCAACTATAACTATACACAGTTTGTTGATGAACAATATAACATAATTGGAGGCAATTCTATACAGTTAGAAAAATTCAAATACTTAGGGGCAATGATTGACAAGCAGAAGAGATTCATAGAACATACCAACACTGTTATCAAAACTATTGCATTTAAGTTAAATAGGAATTTAGAGAAGCGAGAGTAAAAAAATTCTTATGTAAAATACTCTACATTTACAGATTTTCTACTGTTTATGTGCAACCATTTGGAATTCTATAGCAGTTACAACCGAATTTCGATTTTCGTTCAAGGACAAACTCATCTGAGTCAGACTCATTCAAGTTTAGTTCCACATTTATAAACCTCTCCTGGCTAAGATACTCAGCTGAGCACTTCATTAAACGAAAATCGAACTTCTGATATATCAGGAAAATTTAGAGATGGACAGTAACAAATTATAAAAGTAACATACAGTTACGGATTTGTTATTGTCCATCTTTAAATTCCAGTGCAACTTTATAACCACCTGGGACTCTAGTGCAGTTATAGCTGACCTTCATCTAAGCACAATTTATAATTAAATATGGACTGAGATATGGACCTTGAATTCAGTTTATAAATAAGGACCTCCAGGCAGGAGAAAAAGATAAAAAAGAAAAAGATAAGAAAAAAAAAAGAATAAAAAAGGTAAAATAAAAATAAGGACATTCAAAACAAGAAGTGGGAGGAGATGAAATCTTCATTTCATATTCCCAAATGGCTATTGACAGTAGTTAGCCCAATGTATCTAGATATTGTTAAATCTTGTGGCATAATTCACAAAGAGTCAAAAATGTATGTATTCCTGTCATAATTTATATACATTATGCACTTTTAGAATTGTTTTATTATTATAATAATAATAATAATAATATTAGTTTAACACATTGATCTCCATGTCGGCTATATATTTATTTAGTCTTTATTTGACAAATGTACAACATCTGCCCAAAGAAGGTGAAGATTAGCTAGCAAGCTACTCTTAAACTTTTAACCTTCTTTGGTAACAATATAAATATAAATACATATTCAAAACATATTAAAAAACAATCAGAAGAAAACAACATTCTTTAAACAAAAACATTTATAATATAATCAAAGAGAAGGAAAACAATAATATTATTGTGTACTGAGTAGGTTTTCTTTTATGTTTAGCTTAAAAATATTTAGAGAGGCATTCCAATTTAAGTGGTAAAACCTATTATGTAATTTAGCAGCATTATATGAAAAAGATCTTTCAAACATACAAAAATAGTGCTAAGGCATTGTAAGAGTATTATGCCTAATATTTCGATCATGAACTGAATTTCTAAATATCAATTTTTCAAACAGATAAATGGGGGTTTTCGTTTTTAACAACCTTTATAAAAAGGTAATAAAGTTCAACTGAAATAAATTTTCAAGTTTTAACCACTTAAGTTATGTGAAATAGGCAGATATGTGATCAAACTACCTCAAATTGTAAATAAACCTGCAGCAGCCATTTTGGATACCTTGTAACTGCTTCCTGGATGCTTGATCTAGACATGGATAATAAATGAGTAAACAATAATTCAAGTGTGATAATACTAAGGATTTGATGAGTTTTTTGCATATTTTAAAATTGAGAATGTGAAATTTTATGTAACATGATTGAATCAAATTTTTTGTATGGCTTTTAAATCTAATTGTCAACTATCAAGCCTACATTTTTGGCTTCATTTGATATGTGGCAGATGACGCTATTGTCAGTTAGGCCAGATCAGCCATGTGGCCAACAATATTAGTTTTAAAGAAGGCCACATTGTCACTATTTGAGTGACGAATGAAAATTTACATGAAATGTGAATAGCGTGGTGCTCTATAATATTATTGATGACAAATAGTTGGCTCCACAAAAAAAATATAGCATACATTGTAAAATAAATTTTATGTGGCTCTACATGTATAAGTTTTAATAGGTGGCAATCAATGTGTTAGGCAGAAAATAAATATTTAAATTCATTAGTTATTAACACATTGATTATTGATGTAGTAAATAAAAATATTCATCATTACCTATTATCATTTCTCCTTTGTCTATCTTCTCCATCTCTTCTGTATCCCTCAGTATTCCTGGGATTCCTGTAATCATCTTTCCTATTCCTATCTCTACTATCATTTCTCTCTCTATCATCATTCCTTTCTCTATCATTATTTCTCTCTCTATCATTATTTCTGTTTCTTTCCTCTCGTCTATCTCTGCTATCATATCTTTCCCTTTCTTCATATCTATTTCTTTCATCATATTTATCTTTATTCTCATATCTTTCTTTTTCGTCATACTTGTCTCTGTCTTTACCAGAGCTCTTTTGGTCTCTACTATCTTCTCTTCTGTCTTTATTATGTACCTCTTTATCAGATCTTTCTCTGGAGTGATAATCTTTTTTAGGTCTATCTTCATCTACATTTCTTTCTTGTGGTTTTATTTTATCCTTGTGCCTATGAGTATGATGTGTATCTTTGTCACTTGGATGTTTAGGTTTGTGTCCCCTCTCCTGGTCTGTTTTCTTAGATTCAGCTTCTCGTTTCTTTGCATTTCGTTGGGCTTTTCTAAAATAGTCAAATATTTTGCATTAAGCAATTAATTGAAAAGAATATTTAGATAAACCTAAATATTATTAGGCAAAAAAATAATAACAGGTCTTGTAGTGTGTTGCAAAAAGTGGCAGCTTTTTCGAAAAATAAACCAATATCAATATGAATAAATTTGTTATTTAAACTTACAAAACGTAATACAAAAGTAGATGTAACATATTTCTGCCTAACTTTTAAAATTTTATTTTATTTAGGATTGTTTTGGCAAATGCTGTCTTTTTTTGACATATTTACAATTTTCCAGGGTGGAAAAGAAATGAAAAACAAAAATCTGGCAATATCATAGGGCGAAAGCTGCCTATATGCATAATTTTGTTGACTGAACCACCGAAGGGTGAGCTGATTCTCACTAGCAAATTAGCTTTTGTAAACAGAAAAAGTAACAAGTTTCCTAGTATTTCGAGTTTCCAAATAATTGAGAAAAGCCTTACTTGGATTTTTCATCTGAAGAATCATCATCGGAAGACTCTGCATATCTTCGTTTTTTTGATTTCACATCGACTTCTTTGTCACTATCATCTGAGGAATGTTTTTGTTTTTTTGAAGTCTTTTTGTGGGTAGTTCTTTCATCCTCCGACGAAGAGGAACCACTCGAATCGTCTGAAGAAGAATCTGATTCGTACTTTTTTTTTCTGCTGGAACCCATTTTAATACATTATTTGTTATAGTTAAAAAATATTTTATCCAAGGTAAACGTAACGTATAAATTAACAGGAGAGGTTAAAATCATTCTTCTTTTTATTAATTTATGCCTTTTACTTTTAAGCTGAACGGATTGAAAAATTTTTTCCTTTATTTTAGGCCTTTTACTTTTGAGCTGAACGCTTTAAGTTAAGTTTTTTTAAAGTACCGTAATAATTTTTGAAACTTGTTTTATGATGAAGATAAATAAAATTATTAAATTTATTATATAACATTTTTATTATATAAAAGAACTTAAAATTATTATAATTCTGAAAATATCATCATGTCACTAAAATTAATTCATCTAATGCTCTGCTTCAGTGCACTTGGTTTAGCTTTAACTTTTTCAGCGTCCTTGGCTTTAGCAGCAGTCTTTGGAAAACATTTCCATAATCTCAATGTTTCATCTGCACCTGCTGATAAAACCGTACTGCCATCTGCAGACATGGCAAGGTGTAATACTCGTGAAGTATGACCAGTCAGTTCTGCTACCTTTGTCATTCCAGGATATTTCCAAATAATTATTTCATTGTGGGCAAATCCATGGCCAGAAATCAGTTCTTTATAGTTAGATGACCATAATAGAGCGCATACCTAAAAAAAAATCATTATTTAATAAAAGAATATTATCAAAATTAAAGAAAATAAGCTACCTGTGATTTGGTATCAATAGAATTAACACAGCTTCCTGTATTACAGTTCCACATCCGAATGTGTCTATCTGCAGTTCCTCCCCCACTAGCTAAAATATGTGGCTGCCATGGGCACCAAGCTAAAGCTTTTACAGCAGCCTGATGCGCTGTGAATACATGAAGAGGTGTGGAATGAGAATTATGTGATCCGCTAACCTAGAAGAAACAAGAAACGTAAAAATTGAACACAGCAAAGGAAACATTGGTGTTATATCAGCTGAAAAGTACGAGACCATAACATTTTGTTACTGTGCATGCAGATGAGAAAAAGACACATAACCTAAACTTATGACATTGACAGTACTGACAGAATCGACAAATAATTAAATGACAAAAATTTTTGGGTTTTTAAACATATTCTTTGAATTTGAATCTTTTCCAATATGAGAAGAGGAATAGGCGTTGGTGCTATTAAAAAGGAGAAACTCCATCAAGAAAAATACAGGGGCAAGGGAAATCAAATACAAGAAAACCAACTTGAACAAATGTCTAAGCAAATGGAAGTTTTTAAAACAAATTTGGAAGATTTTGCTACAAAACATAAAAACGAAATAAGAAAAAATCCTGAATTTAGAAAACAGTTTCAAGAAATGTGTTCCAGTATAGGAGTGGACCCTTTGTCATCTGGAAAAGGTTTCTGGTCAATTTTAGGAATTGGAGATTTTTACTATGAATTAGCTGTTCAAATTGTAGAAGTGTGCCTGGCTACAACTGCTAAAAATGGTGGACTAATTAGTTTGGATGAATTAAGGACAAAATTAATAAAAGCAAGAGGTCAAAGTAAGTCCCACCAAGAAATCAGTAAGGATGATTTGATTCGTGCAGCCAAGAAATTAAGGATATTTGGGAGTGGTTTTAATGTAATACCCATGGGTAAAGATAGATATATGGTGCAGTCTGTACCTGGAGAATTAAGTATGGATCATTCAATCATATTACAACAAGCTGAAAAAAACACTGCACATGTGTCAATCTCATATATTTGTAAAGAATTAAATTGGGAAAATGAGAGATGCCAGAAAGCTTTAGAACATATGGTGGACCAAGGATTGGCTTGGATTGATTCTCAAGATCCTCAAGAAATCCAGTATTACTTTCCTAGTCTTTACACTGCCTGTATAAACTCAAATGCTTAATTAAGAACAACTTAAATTTTATTTGTTTTTTTATCAATTGTTTTTTATTCACGTTGTCGGCACTATTGTTTTTTAAGTTTAAACATCACAAACAAGTTTATTGCATTAAAATTAAAGTAATAAATAATGCCAGTTAAGTTACTGTACATGCAAATATGTTGAAAATTATATCTATGAATTACCTATTACTTTTGTTGAATTATGATTATTCTAAGTACAAAGACATTATTAAACTTTACTTTTCTATGTATATCTTTCATTAGAATTTACACTTACAGATTGCCAAATGTTCAATACATTGTCATTTCCACCACTGGCTAAATATTTTCCATCAGGAGACCATTTTAGGCCACAAACTTCTTGAGTGTGACCAGAAATTGTTGAAACGATGTGTTCTCTTTGTCTAACATCATGGTGAAGTATTTGGCCACTACGACATCCGCTTGTCAAAACATAAGAATTCCATGCGAGAGATCCTACCCTGGCAGAGTGACCTTCCATGATTCTTAATTTTTTTGACCTTGAGCAATCCCATAACTCTACAGTTCCTGTTTAAAAATCATATGTAACAGATAATGCATATTATTGTTTAAATAAAGTACAGAATACATTTTATGTTTGATAACCAGCTTTATATAACTGTCACTAAGAATATATTGATAATAATTTCTAAATACATTTAATTTGCATTGGTTTTTATATTTTTTACACTAGCTTTATTTCTTATAGAATTTGTTTTGTAGGTACAAATTTTTATTGTTTCCTCTATCTAAAAATAAATAGCAATTCCTCAATAACAAATTTAAAATGTATGAAGCTAAATTTATAAACACCAAAACGTAACTTAAGAAAATAAGAAGTTGAAATATTAAATTTATACCTATATACTTTTTTAAAAATGTCAGTTACATAACTTAAGAACTTAATGAACCATAGAAAGTAGGCCAACTGTTGACTTAACAACTTAGGACCTTACAGTCAGCCAATAAGATAATTCTTAGTTCAGCATGTGATAACTGTAATCTTTTTTAATAAATGAATGGACAAATATCATTTGTAAACTATAAATTCTACTTTTTTATGGACATAAATTCTCATTGTTTAAGTTTGAATGTTTATATTATTGGGGATAAAATCTTTACCTAGGCTAAATCTCGCCCTTAAAAGGCACATGTAAATATGAAGGTACAAATAGTCATTTATATATATAAACATCAAGTCTAGAATTGAAATGAGACACAAAACTATTTTGCTATGGACAATTAATTCTGATTATTGCTCGAAAACAATAAACATTGTTGGTAAAATTGTTTTATTATATTTTTATATTAATGCTTTTAAAATAGTTAACATATGCTTTCTATATAACAGAATCATAATTCAAGAGTTTAATTTAGGGGTTTACACTTGTTTATTTCATAGGATTGTCTATAGTTTGATAATCTCTAAAATACAACACACATGCTCAACTTGATATGTTCTGGACATTTATAAATAAGACTATTTGTATATCTTACATTAAGTTTCCACAATTTTATGTTACAGTGGTTATAAATTATATTTAAATCTTTAGAATTCAGAAAAGCTAAATAAAAATTTAAGCAGTTGATACCTATAAGAATAATTAGTTAGATTAGTTGTTAATCCTTTCCTAATATGTGTGTGAACTCAGGAAGGGCTAATATCATCACTATTGTGCATTAAGATAATTAAACAAATGAATAAGTTAAGGATCCTCAAATAGCACTTACCCTCGGTAGTTCCTACAGCTAGACAATACCCATCTTGAATCCATGATAGGGAACAAACATAATCATTCCCTTCCAATTCTAAGAGCTGCTCAATATTTCCAGTAGCTAAAAATAATTATTGTTTAAAGCACTAATTACAAAATTAAACAACAAAAAAATATTACCAGCATTCCATAAATATACATGAGATCCTAATGCAGCAGCCAAGATATTGTGAGAACCCCAATCAATTAAATTCAGATAAAAATCATCTACAATATCAGGAGCATCCAAAATTCTGTCTGGGGCTTGAGGAATATATCTACTACAATTCTTTACAGATGCAGGAGTCTTAACTTGTGTATAAATTACCTTCATAGGATTCTGAAAGCCTTCAGGCGCGCTTGGAGCCTTATTTTTATAAGTAAGAATTTTTTGATTACTTATATCGGCTCCATAAAGGTTCTCAGACATAGCTTTCTGAAGTTCTTTATGAGTGGGACTTTCACTTTTACTACTTTCATCTTGTGTAAGCTTCAAATGTGCCAAATCCAAATTACTAGCACTTCTAGAGGGTATAAAACGATCCCCGCTAGGAGTCTTAGATCCCTTGTTAGGAGTCGGAGTCTTTGATGGTGTTTTACACTTTTGGAATTCGCCTTTGGCACCCTTGACAGGTGTCTTCGTAGAATTAAGAGACGATGAAGATTTTATTCTCGAAGAATTATTCGAACTGCTGTTCAAAGACCCAGATGATTCTTTTTTCTTCTGCCATCGGGGTACTGGCCCATTGACTGGTCCTTCCATATTTAATAAATTATTGACATCATTCCAAAACTTGAATTGGGACATTTCAGTAGAAATATAAATATGTAAGAACGATTTAGAATATTTCACTATACAATGAGACAAATGAAGATAAAAAGTAATTAGGATATTTATTTTGCTATTCACTCATAAACAACAAACGGCCAACGGTTATTAGAACTGCACAGAAGCACAGAACATAATAATTCAAATTTGAAATAACGTATTTTTTTGTCAGTTGTCAGTTTCTTCTTTATTTGTAAACGATGCCTACAACAACGGTTGAATATTTTTAGTAGATAGAGGCAGGTTATTCTAGGAGCGATGAGGAGTACCCCAACAGTTTCCTTGTTAGCTGAGACTTGCGAATTACCATTACATCGAAGGAGAATTTGGTTAGCTGAAAAATTCATTATTAAACATATTTCTCAGAATAAAAGCATTATCATGGAAAAATTATTAAATATCTATAGTCTTCAACATCAAATCATTAGCACCACGAACTTTCCAATATTGGAAGGACTGGATAGGGTATTAGTGTATCACAATAAAATTAGAAAATATGATAATCTACCATGCTTTACAATTGGGTACAGAGGGTGGTTCACAGAGGTATCCTGGGTCGATTTGGGGCTACAAAAAAAGAATTTAAACAATCAAAAGGAATTTAAGGAAATAATCAAAGAAAAATGGAACAAATATCATGTAGTTTTCACAGACGGTTCCAAAGATAAGCAAACAGAAAGAACAGGTTTTGGGGTTTATTGCGAAAATGAAGGAACGAAAATCAGCGTAAGAATAGCGGACGAGGCTAGTATCTGTACAGCAGAAATATTGGCTATACTAGTAGCAATCAAAAAAACAACAGAAATGGGCAGTGCTAATACACTCATACTATCTGATTCAAAAAGTGCGCTACAAAAAATAGCTCGAATGGGTTTAAATGGACAGTCAGAGTATCCAGAAATAATTGTCAGAGAATCATTGATGGAAGCTAAAGCAAATGGTTTAAACATCAAATTGGGATGGATACCGAGTCACACAAATATTATAGGGAACAATGAAGCAGATAGCTTAGCAAAACAAAGCCTGACTAAAAGTAATATTAACTTTAGGATGGTAGACTACAGAGAAATATTAGCTAAAATAAAGGCAAATAATAGAGAAGAATGGGAAGAAGAATGGACAGAATTATGTAAAATTAAAGGAAGGCATTACCATGGTATAGTAGGAAAGTTACCCCACAAGTCTTGGTTTAACGAGATCAAAGTAAGCAGAAACACAGCTACGACAGTAAATAGACTAAGGTTAGGACATTGTGCTACACCAGAACACCTCCATCGAATAGGAATCTATGACTCTCCAAACTGCAGTTGTGGTAAAATAGGTAGTATCCGACATATCCTGTTGGAATGCTCCAATAACCAACTTAGTTGTGATAGGTTATACGAACTAATGCTTAAAAATTGCATGAAAAGTGAAATGGCTTTATGTGTAGAAGATATGCTTAGAAATCCCTCCGCTTTTAGTGCTTCGCTTTTGTGTAAATTCCTGAAGGAATGCAGTATTATAATTTGAATTGTTTCAGAACTCTGGAAGAAGTGTTGTCTTAGAGACAGATGCGTGAGAGCGCAGCTTGTTCCATAAACAAATAACATTTACAAATGGTGCTGGGTAAATAATTCAGAAGAGTTAAGCCCAAATAAAGAAAAAAGAAGAAGAAGAAGATAGAGGCAGGGCCATTAAAATATAAAAAGAAGAAGTTTTCACCACTCAGTTTTAAAATGTTTTTTTTTTTAGTTTTATAAATAATAAATAGTTTTGCTACATAGTTCTAGCGGTATATATTTATTAAATAATAATGTTATATATATTCTCTCACTAACTTTATGCTTTACAAGTAAACATTAACGTTCTTTAGTAATACATTTGAATGCATATGAAAAATTACTTTAACAGAAGTATTTTTACAAAAAAACATGAATTCAGACGATTCATATTCAATACGAATAGTTACGTTAGACTCTTACATGAGTTCTCCAATTCAAGGACTTGACCCTATGTATTCGGAATTTAGGGGGGCTTCAATAAGCCAAGTACCTGTTTTACGATTATTTGGATCTATTCCCACAGGTAAAACATTTCATTAGGAAATCTTAGCGAACATGTTGATTTTAAATGCTCTCAATAATTTCTTTATCATCATATAAATCCATATCTATATAAATTTATCCATATATTATTTAGATCCATTAAACAAAACAAAAAAGTAATTTGTATACTAGTCGAACAATAGTTACATAGGTACTTATGGATGGCTTAAGTGCAAAACGTCGTAACCCACAAAATTTCAAAAAATCTCTTCGCGTCATTGGAGTCATATGTTTTAGCTGCGTCTTGTGAAAAACTATAGTAAGCAACAGTATAAAATGAAATTAATTTTACGCGCCAAAAAGTTGCTCTTCAAAATTACATCTAAAGTCTATTTGGTTTTTTTATTCCCTGTAAAATGTACTTTTTGGGGTTACGACGTTTTGCACTCAAGCCATCATTATTTGATATTGGCCAATACATGTTTTGGTAATAAGTAATAAGCATGATGAGGAGACGATTGTTTTTAAACTGTTCAAATAATTTTTTTATTTATTTATACAAGTTTATTAATAATGTAATTTCTGGAATATGAAACAGCAAGCGAACATTTGCATTGCACTGGTTAATATATGTTTAATAATTTCATTTTAATATAATGGTAATAATATTGCGTACGTCTTAGAATCAAATAATGATGTGATTACAGATATGTTTATACCTACCCAGCTCTAGTATTTTTATAAACTCATAATAATGAAAAAAAATAAATGTTTTACTTAGTTTAGAAAAAGTTTTTATGTTTGTAACATTCCTTATACTATGTGGTAGAAAGTTATATGTTTTTTTTTGGTAACAGTTTTAGATAATAATACATATTCTAATTTTTGGTTTTCAAACAAATAGGTATTCAGGTAGCTTATCAGTTTATTGTACTGGTTTTATTTAGTGGCATTGTCTCTAACAAGCCTTTTATAAAAAATATGACCTAGAGTTTATATTGCTTTTTGTACTTTTAATATATGGATAATTTTTAGTGGTGTCTGGTGCATAAAAAACATGCAAGTATCTCATCTACATTTCACATAAATTATTTTAGACATTCTAAAATATATGTAAAATAGATTTTATGGATGATTCATTAATTTTAATTATTAAATAGTGTGTGTGAACTGCACCACTTGAGCTGCCGCCCGCTCATTGTCTCCTTTGGTTCTAGTAGTCTTGATAGAAATAGAATTTATTCATCTTTGAGAATTATACACTAGATACATAATGTAAAATCCTATCAGACTAGTCAAACAAGTGTTAAGTAAAATACATTAAAAAATAAAATATATATATAATAGACAATTCATGTTAAGATTAGTTTAAAAGTTCAAAAAATCTTCTATACTATAAAATACATTATTTACAAGATCTTCTAATATGTTACTGAACTTATTGTAACACTTAATCCCAATATATTTTGGTGAATGCTGGCTTATTTGTAGTCGTGAAAAAGGTTGATGGATGTTAAATTTTAATCTAATATCATATGAGTGCAGGTATTTATTTTTTTTAATCTTTTATGTATAAAGTTAGTTGAAAAATAAAAAGGGAAGGTAGTGTTAAAATTTGCGTTTTCTTGAAAAGTTCTTTACATGATGTTGGTGTCATCTTATACATGGCTCTCAGAACCTTCTTTTGAGATACAAAAGCTCTTTCAAAGTATGGTGAAGAACCCAAGTAGAGTTGAATGAACCAAACCAAAATAGCATAGTTTTAAAGTATCAAAAGATAGTGTCTCCCTTAAATTTTTGATGATATAACAAGTACTTAATTTTCAAGTTACCATTTTTATATGAGCTTCCCAATTTAATTTGGGATCTAATATCATTCCTAAAAATTTTATGTCATCAACGCTTTGAATAGTTTTTCCGTCAACGTGCAAGTAGGGTTCGTAATCTGGTAATATGTTTTTGGGTAGAAATTGCATGAAGTTTGTTTTTGTTACATTTAATGCCAGACCGTTATCTTTACAATACTGGTTAAACTCACGAGATGCCTCGTTGCTACTTTGAGTGACCTGTTCAATTTGATCATCTGCCATTACAATATTGGTATCATCGGCATATTGAACTATTTGTTGAGTGCTTAAACAAAAATTACTTATATCACTTATAAAAACTATAAAAAGAAGTGGGCCCACTGTTAGAAAAGAAAGTTTCGCTGTTCACAAACCTGTTAATTAATCTTTTTGACAGGCATATGCTTATCAATACTACTAGAACAACTAAAGGTGGTGGTCCAAGCAGTGCACACACTATTTACTATTTAATAATTAAAATTAATAAGATTATCCATAAAATCTATTTTACGTATATTTTAGAATGTCTAAAATAGTTTGGGAGTTCTGCAGCTCTAGAGCACTTATGTACCAGCCACCCCTGATAATTTTATATATCTATTCTCAGGGGAAAAAATTTGTATACATATCCATGGTGTATTTCCATATTTATATATTCCTTATGATGGCACTCAAGATGTGAATAGTCAGATATACAGAATAGCAGCTAGTATTGACAAGGCAGTCAATATATCCCTCAATCAAGCTACTTCAAATACACAACATGTTTACAAGATAACTCTTGTACAAGGAATGTAAGTAATTACTTACTATTTATGTATACATTTACTTAAGATTTCACGTTTTAGACCTATGTATGGTTATCACAATAAAAAACACCAGTTTTTCAAAATTTATCTCTACAATCCTATACTTATACGAAAAGTCACTGCTCTATTAATGAATGAAACCACTTTAGGAACTTTATATCAACCCCATGAAGCACATTTGAATTTTACTTTACAGTTTATGATAGATTATAATTTACATGGTATGAGCAATATGATACTGTCAAAAATGAAGTATCGGCAGGATTCTAAAGAAAGTAATATTGATCCGGAATTACTGCTACCTCCGTCTGTCAGTAAAATGACAATTTGTTACTTAGAAGGTGTATAAATATTTTATTATTTTGCTAAAGCATAGAATACCATATTAATGCATAATTTCTAGGAGACTGCCTTGCAGAAGATATTTTAAATAGGGAAGAGGTGGCTTCTGGAAATATAGGAGCAAATCCAGGTATATCTGCTCTATGGGCTGACGAACAACAAAGGAGAAGAAATAAAGGGTTAGACTCACAGATAAATCATCTCTTAGAGTTAGAAAGAACTAATTTACCTCCAACTAATTCTCATTTAGTTTACAAACAAGCCTTATTGGATCGACTTGCAGTTTTTTCAAATGAAAAGAATGTGATAGATAAACTTAATTCTTCAGGTTATAAAGAATGTAGTTCTAAAGTTAATATTTTCACGAAAATATATTTATTTCAGTATATCCAGCTGAAACTCCTCCTAACTGTCATATCCAAAATGCGTCTTTAATAGATTCACAAACTGCTAACTCTAGTGACAGCTCTCTACTTCCTTCTAATTTAGATGAAACTCTTGGACCAGCAGAATTAAGTAGTATGAGCATAACATTTGATGAAGATGCTCAACAATTGTTACAAGTTTTGAATGATTTGGGTAAGTTTTCTTAGTACCCTGTATACTATAATCATCTCAAAGTACCTTTATTTTAAATTTATTATTTAGAGGAACAAGTGAATGAGAAAATTGAAGAAGATTCCATTTTAACTCAATTAACAAAAGATGATGAAGAGGAAAAAGAAATGGAAGAAAATGAATTGGATTTTAGCATATGGCTGGAAACTGCAACCACACCAACAAAAATTATACAGAAAAATGATGATGAAGAAATCAGTGATGATGATTTGTTGAATGTGACTTTAATTCCACAAATGGATGGTTGTTGTGATGAAATTGGTGAGGTAAAAATAAACTTTTTAAATCCAAATATCACTATTGTCATAGCAAAAAAATCAAAAATATTTTTCAATACATTTCAATACTGAGATAGATGCATAAAGAGTCGAGAGGCTCTGCCTTTAATGTTTGCTTTCTAGTAAAACCATGACATTACTAATTGTTTATTGCTATATTTTTGTTAATTTAAAAGCAAAAAATATGAGGAAAGTACTTTTACCTTGTCAATACATAGGCGAAACTTTTATAAAGAATAGTTTTTTTTTCATTTAGGCCTTCGTTTTTCGTCAAATGAGAGGTATATTTTTAAAAGAAGATTTTTATACAAAATTGTAGACGGTTGAAACCGAAATATTGACGTTTACATTTTTTTTCGACCATAAGGGCTAATGTAAATGATTTTTTTTTAATAATTATAAAAAAATACTTCCTACAAAGACCTAATTGAGCATTATAACAAAAAATAGGCATTTTTAACCAAATTAGATGTAATTTCACTAAATTAGATGTAATAATTTTCAACAAATTTCAAAACCTAGTGATGTTAGATTAGAAGTGGCAACAGGGCTTACACCGGCATGGAAATTTACGTTATGTAGTATAAGCTCGCGCAGTTATTCATTGATAAAACTACGTAAAATTCTTCTCTCTATTCCTTCTCTTACTTCTCACCTTTCGTCGCCTCGCCCCGTGTCTAGAAATAGAATGTATCCAGTGCGAACTATTGTTGGCACCATGAATATTATATTTTATCAATGACTGCTTATATCTCTGTTATCTCTGGTGGCAACCCTAACGCAGAAGTTTAGGTTCCGTTATGTGAGGTTTTGGTTTTGACCTTGACAATAAAATAAAAATGGGGTTTATAGGTATTCATTAATATTTTATTTCTAATATTTTCAAAACTGTATTCATTTAAACATTTAAAATAATTTAGTTACATACATTTAAACTACTTCTTTACGACCTGCAAACAATATAGTCTAAGAATCCGAAAGAAAGGTTAACCTTCACCCTTTGTAGTGCGAAATATGGGGATTCAAACTTATTTTCGCGTGCTGTTTTCGATCAGCTGATACCTCCTGGCCACAATACGTCACCATGACGTAGTATAAATCTGCATAATATCATACTATTTTTCTAGTATCATGTTATATATCACATATACTTTATCAAGGTTCTTTATCCATTTAACATTGTTAACATTTTTCGAATTTGAACTTATTGCCGTCTCAATTTCAGATGGGAGACCAAAAGTATTGTTTTAAAAGTATGCTATTATAAATTAAAAAAAAATGTTTAGTACAGATATATAAAACTGATCTAAATCAGGATCTGTCGTTATATAAAAAAATGCGAATCCGGATCTGCAAATAATCCTAGAAAAATTATGGAAAACTGGGACCCTTACAGATCAAAGGTACCGCTTGAGAGTCGCGCTAGTGTTACTGTGTTGTATTGTCACATAGCTGTCAGTGAATATGCTGAATGCTTTATTCCTTTAATAATTAAAAATGAGTGATACTGAAGAACGTTTTGACTGTACACACCTATAAATTGTTGCAACAGTCAGCAATAGCTGCAATAATTGATTACCAGTAAAGTCAAGTAAAAAGGTATGATGAAATATATGTAAAAAGTAATGGATTTGTATTCGTTCGTATTTAATCATTGCTACGATAAAATTAGCTTTATTAATTATAACATTGAAAGGAAAATTAATAATTTAGTTGAATGTTAAAATCTTTAATTTAAAAATATTTGAAAATAGGTACATTATTTTATAATGTGAGCGTAGATAAAGTACAGTGTGTAACACGTGGAAATGCTCTTATTATCTTACTCACTCTTACACAAATAAAGGTATGAGAACTAATTTGCCTTTTTTTAAGATGATCAAATAAGAGGACCTATATGTGTTTAGTTCCAATAAAAATGTTTTGTTTTTTATTTTATATTCGCTTTGTGCGAAGTCATGGTAGGAGAAGCAAAAGCGATTCAACCGCAAGCTGCGGATAATTCGAGCATTTGTACGATATTTTGTAATTTTGGCGTATATTTTTTTATGTATGTTCAGCGATAATTCTTTAACAGGGTGTCCGATTTCAATAATTCTTTTTTGTTAGTAAGGGTTACCTCATTGGTGGTCCCATATAAATTTGATCAAAATCTAAAAATTGGGTCCATGATAAAATCCTCAAACTCTTCATTTTTTATATTTGTTTAGTAATAATTCTTTACCACTTTGTCCGATTTCTATGATTCTATTTTTGTTTAGTAAGGGGGTACCTCAGGGGTGGTCCCACATAAATTTGGTTAAGATGTGGTGATGGATCTGCACGTTTTTAAAGTCAGTTTTTTTAAACTTTTAATTTCTAATACTTGTGCAATTTCTTTTTAGGAAACCAAAAACGCTTCACTGCTTCATAAAAAAGTTAACCAAGATGATATGTGTCAAGTAAATAAGTCCACTAAGCATTTAAAAAAAGTAGTTTTCATCAAGGTAGTTAAAATAGGACGAGACATGCCAGATTTGAACGAAATCATTTATCCCGCTGAAATGTTACTGCCCAAAAACAGTTTGTCAACACCGATTTCGAATGAGAAAAAAAAGACCGTAGTTCCGAAATTGACCAGTGCCGTACGCGTAAAAAAACCTGCGCGGGTCAATAATAGAATTAGCCTTGTGAAGCGGAAAAGATATAGAAAAATAATATATGGTCGATATTTGACGAGAAGGGAATTAAAAGAGTTAAAAGAAAGATTAAAGAAGAAATCATTGGAGGAAATAAGACTGTTTGAGTATAGAATAAATAAACTAAAGCGACAAGATCAATTGGCTGCTATGATGAGAAGGTTGCATAAGAAGGAAAATGAATTGTTACTGTTTTTGGAGAAAAATCATCAACCCAAATTTAGAGTTACAACCAAAGAAAAACTCAGATGTATGTATTATCTATATTAGTTATATGAGCCCATTTTACCGTGTATAATTCACAGAGCTAGGATAGATAGGGGTAGCGTCAGAGAAAGAAATTGTCGCATTCATAATGTGTAAATATATATTTTCAGTAGATACAGTATATTTACGGATTTATTATTGCCTTTCTCTAAATTAAAGTGCAATTCTGGAACCACCTGAAATTCTATTTTATTTTCTGCTGACTCACTATAACCTAGCTATTCACTTTAATAATAAATTTGGCTGGATCTTACTGTTTGATGCTGTCACAGATCAGTGAGTTTTTTCCAAATTATCCTAGTCTGTGTAAGCGTTCCCTCCGTCTTATCGGGTAGATTGTGGACTGTATTAACTAAGTGTTGAACCCTGTAGAAAATCGTGCTGCTTGATTAAAAGGTGTTGTGGAATTCATAAATTAAATTACTTTGCTTCTAATGATAACTGGTTAAACTTTAACTTCATTAGTCACATAACAAACAGTCAATTGATGAACATATTTTTACATAAAAAACTGAAAACAAAATATGCCGGTTTAACAGTTGCTCTTGGATAAATATTGATTTTAATTTTAGTACTGCATAGTATGCGCTGTTTAATTTTTTACAAACATTAGATATTTGGCTATCCCAACTCATATTGCTATCAATATGTATGCCCAAAAATTTTGTAATTAATTTATCTACTGATTGTGCGTCTGTGGCAATTGTTGTGTCATCTGCATATAAAATTATGTTTTCTGAGTTAATATAATTAGGCATATCATTTATGTAGCATAGAAAAATTAGAGGTCCTAAAATTGATCCCTGAGGCACACCCATATCAACACTTTCTAGTTCAGATTTACAATTTCCGAATTTGACATAGATCTGTTATTTATATAAGATGACAACCAAGACAAAAAGTTACCTCTAAAACCAAGCCCTTCCAATTTTTTATAACGACATCTAAGTTGATTGAATCAAACGCCTTTGATAAATCAAAGAAACGCGCACCCACAAACAACTTTTGATCGATAGAAGTATGTATGAAATTAAAAAGATCTATTGCTGCACTTTCAGTAGATTTTTCTGGAAGGAATCCGTTTTGATTTTTGCATATTATTTCATATTTTTTAAGAAATATTAGCATTTTTTTGTGGACACACTTTTCAAAGATTTTGCTTAAGATTGTAGGCACTGTAATAGGTCTATAATTATCAATTAATTTATTATCACCTTTTTTAAAGATAGGAGTTACATATCCTACTTTTAGATAATCTGGGAAAATACCTGGCTGAATAGACTGCCCAGACAACACACCAAATCCCAGAGATATCCACAGAATATATTTTGTGGATATTCAATATATCCAATATGGATATCCAACCAAATGTCCGTCTATATCCCAGGATATAGAAGATATTCGGATATTCAGCAACATATTTTATCTTTAGTAGAGGTTCATAAGTAACCAATGATTATTGAATAACGTCGAAAGAAAATAGCAGAGATATATATTTTCAACACTCAAAATATTTTCAACACTCTGCCTTTGATTTTGCCCACTAAGGAGAAAGTCATCCTTATTAGAACTCTTCAGCAATAAATGGAAATTCTCGACTCCAGTCTCGGGAGTCTGATTAGAACACAAATTTCGATCGAACTCAATTACGGTGGGTCGAGCATGGGTAGACGCGAAAGTGGTATCGCCATCTATACTTAGTAAGCAAAATCAAATAACATCTAGTGGATATCCACGATGGTTTGCGTTCGCGCCTAGACTTTGATATGGATGTCCATGGAATATTGAATACACCTTAAAAAAAATAATTTTAAATATCTGAACGGTACTATTAGCCACAATAGCGAGCACAATGGCGTAATTTTTTTAATAATTTGCTATATAATTACTATTATTTATGGACATTTGCATGTCTATAAATTACATATCATGGATATAAAATAGATATCCACCATGGACTGGATATTCAGTGGATATTGGGATGTGCAGTAGATATCCAAAGGATTGCTGCCTGGGTGATTGATTAAGTTTGCTAGAATTTGAGAGATGTGATGACTAATACGTTTTATTATCTTTGTGGAAATGCAGTCAATGCCCATAGAGTTAACATTTTTTAATGAGTGAATAACTTTAATTGTATCACGATGATCAACAGGAGATAAGTAAAAGGTCTGAGAGACACATGACGCAGTAAAACTTTTAAAATTCAAACCATTGAAATGAGACTGTAGTGTTTTTTTTGTGGAGGTGGCAAAATGCTCTGCAAAAACTTTAGCTATTTGTTTTGGTTCAATAATTGACAGTCCTCCTACTTCAATTTGTTTAATTTGAGAACCTTTTAATGTTTTACCATCTTGGTTATTTACCAGTTTTCATGTTTTTATTTTTGCTGAAAAGTTTTATTGTGCAATCCCTTTTGAAAATGAGATATTTTTGCTCCATTTATATTATTGACATATTGTCTCTTTGCTTTTTTGTATCTAATATGTATATTCACATCATTAGAATTTTTTACTAACCAAAATAAATTCCTTATATCAGCTCCCATCCTCAAAATATCTGGAGTTACCCAGTTATTTTTTTATTTGTCTTTACAGCTCTTGTGACAACCGGACAATTTACTTCTATACAGGGTGTCCTTTAAAATGTGTCCCAAAATTCTCAGGCAGATTCCTTAACCAAAAAATGGAAAAAAAGTTCCTATAGACCTATGTCCTAAAGTGCCCCCTAAGCAAGCAACAGCCTCTCGAAATCATTTTTTTTATTTTGATTTTTTGAATTTTCTTAAAAATGGAAACAAATAAAAGAACCAAATTTTGGCTGTTAAATAAGATCAATAATAGTGACCTTTTGACACCTTCAAAAAGAAATTATTTCGTCAGGGGTGTACTTGGGAATTTTTTGAAAATTTTGATTATTCATAACTTTTTTGTGTTTTTGGTAATGACTTATCCATATTTTTTTTTACATTCTACATTGAAAACTACGTCAAAAAGGAATACTTGTTTGATCTCGATTGGAGCAGCCGTTTCCGAGAAAACATCATCCAAAGATATTCGTCCACTTTAGCTTAATTTTCAATTTTCCTAAATTACCTCGGTGAATCTCGTAAATAAAAATAACTTTTTTAGCTCTCTAAATAATTGTAGTTCAAATGTCGTGGTGGGACTATTTTTATTTAATAATAAGAAACGGTTTAAAAAAATATTTATTCTAAAAAAACAAATCAAAAAAAATTAAAGCAGATGCTCAATGTGGCGACCATTGGTTTCCACACACAAGCGCAACCGTCGCATCATAGACTGTCTTACACGAAAAAATACTTCAGGATTATTCCTAAGAACTTCGCAATGATGAAAAACTCGTTCTTCCAATTCTTCAACTGTTTTAACAGGACTGAAATAAACCAATGATTTTAAATAACCCCAAACAAAAAAATCCATTGGATTTAGATCTGGTGAACGAGGTGGCCAGTTAACAGGACAACCTCTGCCAATTACTCTACCCTCAAATCTTTCGTTAAGGTGCTGTCTAGCTTCAAGGCTGTAATCCATCATGCATAAACCACATGTTATGTCTGATTTGAATCGGAATATTATCAAGAAGCTCATGTAAGTTATTTTCCAAAAAAAGCCTGTATGCTGCTCCATTTAACCTATTCGGCAAAACAAATGGTCCAATAAGGTAATTATCAATAACTCCAGCCCAGACGTTTATTGAAAATTTATCCTGGTGGTGACGTTCAACAACCGCGTGAGGGTTATCTTCAGCCCATTCATGCATATTTCGAAAATTTATTATACCATCTCTAGTGAAACCAGCTTCATCGGTAAATAGCACTTTATTAAGAAACATTGCATCTTGATTACATATTCCAAGAAACCATTCAGAAAAGATAACTCGCGGCTCATAATCAGTAGCTTTAAGTGCCTGAACTTTTTGAATGTGGTAAGGGTACAATTGTTGTTCACGCAAAACTTTCCATACCGTGTTACGTCCGACTCCCACTTCTGAAATTAAATGAGAGAATCTGTGTAGTGAATAGTTAAGAAAGAGAATCCATTGATTTGGGAAATCAGATTTTTTCTGCGATACGAAAAGTCGTGAAATGTAAGAGAAGCAATAACAAGTAAAAAAACTAGTTTTATACGATAAGGTACGGGGTAGCTAAAATAATAAATAAGTAATTACTTACCATTTGCTATTTTTCTGGTACTTGTCGATGGGGTTTCAGCTACCCTATCCAAAATTGCTTCTTCCAAAGCAGGAGTTCTCACATAATTTTGTCTTCCACTGTTACTAGAGTTTTTCTTAAATGTACCAGTTTCCCGAAGTCTATCGTCAATTCTAGAAAACGTCTTAGCGCATGGAAGATGCCTATTTGGAAAGCGCTCCTGATAAAGTCTGCGAGCTTCATTGGCATTTCCAGAAGCGAGTCCAAAACATAAGTGCATGTCCGTCATTTCGCCGAATGTGTAATCATTATTGTAGTTATTGTGAGCCATTTTAAACAAAATAATAACAATACAACGAATCGCACCAGAACACTTTTAGAAATAATGTTTAACTGAAGAAACATTTTTATCAGTGAGCGAAAAAAATTATCCATGAAACACAAAAACGCCAAAAAATACATATTTTTACTTTTTTATTCTAAACAGCTAAATACAAACCTTATGGTCTTCATAATAAATAAATGGGAACTAAATTTTTAAATTTTATTTAGAGAGCTAAAAATAGTATACAGGGTGATTGATTAGTGTGAGGAAGCTCTGTAGATCTGTTATAATAAAAGTAGGCAGCTTTAAGCTTCACATTTTAAAATTAGTTACGATGTGACAGGGTGTTTCACAAGGCCGTGCCAAATCAAAGTTATGTTTTTTAAATGGAACACCCTGTATATTTTTATATTTTTAAAATCTGCTCGATAATCTGATTTCAATGATACATCACACTTGTTATCTAATATGAATAGTAAAGGATCTACAGCTACTCAAAAATCACATTTTTTCAAATTCAGGTGGCTGTTGTAGCCAAACAGTTGGAAATCGAGGAAAACGGCTTACAGTCCCTATCCTAACTTTTTAAGGTCTATTCAGTGACATAAAATACATATTATTTGATACAGGGTGATCAAAAATCCAAAATCACATCCGATTTTTGATCACCCTGTATCAACTAATATTTTTTGCCACTGAATAGACCTTCAAAAGTAAGGATAGGGACATGTAAGCCGTGTTCCTCGATTTCCAACTTTTTGGCTACAACAGCCAAAATTGAAAATTAACCTAAACTGCACGAATATCTTTGGATGATGTTTTCTCGGAAACGGCTGCTCCAATCGAGATCAAACAAGTATTCCTTTTTGACGTAGTTTTCAATGTAGAATGTAAAAAAAAATATGGATAAGTCATTACCAAAAACACAAAAAAGTTATGAATAATCAAAATTTTCAAAAAATTCCCAAGTACACCCCTGACGAAATAATTTCTTTTTGAAGGTGTCAAAAGGTCACTATTATTGATCATATTTAACAGCCAAAATTTGGTTCTTTTATTTGTTTCCATTTTTAAGAAAATTCAAAAAATCAAAATAAAAAAAATGATTTCGAGAGGCTGTTGCTCGCTTAGGGGGCACTTTAGGACATAGGTCTATAGGAACTTTTTTTCCATTTTTTGGTTAAGGAATCTGCCTGAGAATTTTGGGACACATTTTAAAGGACACCCTGTATAGTAATTTAGAATATTTAAGAATGTTTCATAGGCAAGATTTATGCTATCAAAATATTCATACAGAGAATCAAAATTTTCAGAACTTATTTTTTGCTGCAGACTAAGTAAATTCGCCTCTGATAAGTCTCTAAAATGTATTTTTTCATTGATATCAGTTACATAACATTTTTCCTTTGTATAATATAATGACACGTCAATTGCTAGGTGATCTCCATGTAGAAAGGTAGTTTGTGAGAAAATAATCAATTTTAGTACGCGACGTTTTACCGTTTTTGTCAGTACAAATTCTAGTTGGTTCTCTATTTAAACAAGGCAAGTTAAAACACTCCATCAAATCAACTAATAAAACTTCTTTTCGTGAATCTTTTAAAAAATCAATATTGAAATCTCCACAAAACGTATCAAGATTACCTGTTAAATCGCGGTATATCATAGAATAAAGATTTTTTTACAAGTATCAAGACACCACCATGATCCTTATCAGTCCTATTAAAGAATATGGCCTGATGGTATCCATCAAAACAAAATATATTGATATTATCATCATGACATCGGGTCTCCGAAAGGCATAAGATATCTGGCGATTTTTGATTTATAATTAATTCAATCCGGTTAGTTTTATTTGTTAATGACTGTACATTTACATTTATTATCCTAAACTTAACATTCACATCATGATTGTTCTGAGAGAAAAATCCTCGATACTATCATTATCAACTAAAGTACTCATAAACTTTATGTTTACTACAATAACTATTGGTTTTTATTCTTATTTTATTAAAACATTATACTGAGATATCAGCTTAAGTGTAAAATCTGGCTCTCTCTCTCTCTCTCTCTCATGCCCCTCTGTCTATCCTAGCTATACTGTAAAATAGTTTCGGGATATATTGTGACACGTCAAGCGTCCCCTTCAATTCCAACCTAGTTTGTTGTTTCCCACTCCGATGCATTTTGGGAGGAGTTGTCGCAATATTTCCCGAAACAACTCTAAATAGACATAATATTATTTAATAATAATTTTCACAAGTTCTAAGCAATATAATCATGTTTCATCCGCATCATAAACCAGACAGGGACTTGTCATGTAGAATATTTTATAAAAATTATTTAATGATCAAATCTTGATAAATAAATTCCCAGGAAATCCCCAAACAAATCCCAATATTACCCCTACGAAATAGTGAAAAATTGAAAAAAATTCTGCCCACGGAGGATTCAAACCCTTTTATTCCTGTTCTACGCACTGAGCTCTTACCAATTGAGCTATGGCTAATATAGTCAATGATTTCCAAATTGTCAAGATGAATGTAAGATTTCTAATCCAACTTCGCGTTTCAGAAAATTTTTCAATTCTTCAACAAACTTGATAACGTACATTTAATAGATTTCTGAATCAAAGATGAATTCAAAGAAACCCTTTTCAATATACATATGTATACATAAGGTATTCAAAAAGCCCTTCTATATATTTTCTTTCTGATTAAAATTGTAGCGGAATTTATGTTACCAGTTTTATAAGATCGACAAAAAACACATTTAAATTTTTGTCATTTGGATTTTTCGTGATTTTTTTTAAACGCCCATTCTACGCTATTCCTGAAGTTAGCTCAATAAACCCTTAGTGATTCGGAATCTTCTCAAGGAGACCTACAAAATGACATATTACTGTATAAGCGAGATAGAGCTGTATGAAAATTTAAACTTCTTTCAAATAATGTCTCTGAGTTTACCGAATACCGAAGCAATATGCATTCTGTCGTGGACAGTGAAATTACGGTGGCCTTATTAGTAGAGTAGAATGGGATTTTTGGCTTTTACTTGTGTGATTTTTACAATGAAAATCAATAAACTTTGGAATTAAATATCTCGGCAACCGTTTGAACTAGAAAGATGCACTTTGCAAGTTTAATTTTTCTCAAAGAGCTCTACAAATTGGCACGAATTGTGATTTTGTTATTCCAGTCTCATTGGTTAAAAAATGAAAGGCCCAACAACATTACTATTTATTATTTTTACATCGGTCTTGTCACGATCTTTTTTATTATAGGTTATTGTAATAAGAATAATTATTATATTATGCATTACTTTTTTTATGAAATAAAGAACCTATTGAAAACAATAAAAAAACTTAATTTAAGACAGATAAATATACAAATAGACTCTTACCAAAACATACACCTGATCAGAAAAAAAAAAGAAGAAAATTACTGAAATAATGCTAGTGCTAAATACTTTTATAATGTTAAAGAAATCAAGCCTTATTCATTACCCTTATACAGTACGTAAAGTTTGCTTTCTTGACTCCAGTAGAACGAAATAGAAACGCAATAGTATTGATTAGAGAGAAATAGAATATGCAAACCACAATATACATGCAATAGAAAGGGCGTGGTTAAACCAATTTCCCTCTGTGTTTCACAGCCAATAAACAAAATTTAATACAATATTTTTGAGAGAAGAGATTTGACAACATGTGAATCATCTTGTTAGGATTATGTTGCAAATGAACTAAATGTAATCAAAACATATCTATCCGATCTCTTTGACTGCGTGGTATAATACATTTCTTACTTTTTTTAGCTTTGATGTCTATAAAAGAAATCGATCCTGTCAAAACGAGTAGAGTCAAAGTATTAAGTGATATAATTGTGAAGATAGCAAACTACGTCGAACCAACTTTATATTTAACAATGAAATGTCCGAAATCCAAGTGCTACATTTATAATTATTATAATAGTAACGTTTTCCCTATAGTTACAAAAATACCGCCAAGCATTAGCCGGCATCCTGATAAACCGAAATATAAGAATTTTATTAAGAGAGTTAACAAGCACTGTCTTACAATTACAAATGAACAAATAACCGCAACGAAGGAACAAAAAACTCCTGTTAAGGAAATCGAAGTCTATAATGAAGAGAACATTTATAAAGCCGAAGAAAATAACGATCCATTTATATTTTCCGATAAATATTTAACAAATATTAAAGATCCTGATATGCTAATTGATATTCGACGAAAAAGTGATGATGATATTTTAAAAATGGCTGAATATCTTAGAGATCATTTAAAAAAGCATATTCGATTTTTATCATCTCCTACTCTTAGACACGAAATAGAGTTTTCTTCTGAAAAAGAACGTAGTATTTCTTTAAGAAATATCACGTGTTTGAATACTAAGAAAGAAAATTTGAAACTGTTTTATGAAAATAATAATTATGAAACTGATTCTAACAAAAATGATTGCATAATAAATGGAAAACGTAATAACCTTACTTGCGAAAAAACTGGTAAATATAAACTTAATGAGAGTGATAAAAAATATTCGAAAAATAATATAAAAAATAATGGATCAGCGAAACATAATGATATGGATATTATAGAAAATAAACAGGATGATATTAGTAAGAAAACTAGACAAAATGCAGGTTAGTTTTTTTGAATTATACTCAGGGTGCGTCCGCTTTTTATTTGAAATACATGTAGGTATTAAAACGGGTAGTATAATAGGATTATGACTAAAAATAAAAGTCAATAATTTTTTGGTACAATTCTCAAATTTAAATATTGGGATTATTTAGGGTTTCCATACGTCCGGATTTACCCGGATATGTTTGGGTTTTTAAGATGTCCGGGGCAGTCCGATCGGAATTTGAAAAAGTGTCCGGAAACAACAAATAGTGGTCAACTTATTTTCAGCAATGTATAACCATTGGAAGTTTTTCAGATTTGCTAAAAATATGAGAATTCTTCTTTACTATTACTGCACACAATGCAAATGTTGAGCGAATATTTTCTTTAATTGCTGCCCAATTGACAAAAGATCGGAATAGGCTTACTCTTGAGTCTATAAAAGGTATAATAATGACTTAATTTTGACATGATCAGCATAGGGATTCTTATGTGTGAACTCATAGATATAGAACCAAGACAGACGTTGGCTTCCGCGGCAGAAACAATAATCTGATTGAACATTGATGCCAAGTTAACGGTGTTTTTAACAGTAGAAATGTAAATACATTAGCTTTAAATACTGTTTGACTTTAAATCATCGGAAGACATTTTATCATTGGCAACAGTGCATTTACTTTTGATGGTGTTTGTTGTATTTGTAGAACAAGTTGTAAATTTGTTTCATTCATAAAAGTACTTTGTGTTTGGTTGGTGGCAGCTATCTTTTTGTGAAAACTGTTTTTTTGTAAAAAAAAAACGGACTATTTACATGTAAATCTTTCGCTTCACAGGTAAGTTGATTTTTTGGTTATGTTTATAAATATGGATGTTGTTATAGATTTAAAACGTATTTAGGTACAGTAATTTATTTGTAAATTTATAGGTATGCTCATTTTTTAAAACAGGTATTTAGTTAAATAAATTTTACTGAGAAAATTTATATTTATTAAATATTTCCCTTTACGACTGATACCTACGCCTATGGATGTTTTCATTGCGGTTAGCAGGCGATGACGCGCTGTTGCCGTGTTAAGCCAAATTAATCAGTTCTTTCACTCCGGTTTAGAGATGGAATGATTTGGTTCTTGCCTTTACAACAAGTACAGTTTTATCAGTGACTAGTTAGGGATATGTACGAACTCGACACGTTACGTGTTGAATAGAGAGAGAGATATTACATAAGAACATGATGTAAAAAAAACAAGACATACCTTTTCCTACGAACATCAAAAATGTTGGCAACATTGTCAATAGAAGACCCACTAGGTAACTGTTAGCATTGAAGTATAAACTCGAGACAATGACCTATTTAATTTTAACTAACCTACCTTTAGATTGCAGTGACGTACGTCCATTTTAAATTTTAACACTTGAATTTTTAATAATATTTTGTGTGCCTTCAAGGAAATTCCAAATAAAAACCAGTTTTAATATTAATGTATTTCAAATACACCCTAATACGAATTTTCGGAAATTCTTTTTTACACGTATATTATTTTTTAATAATATTTTGTGTATCTTGAAGGAAATTCGAAATAAAAACCAGTTTTAATATTAATGTATTTCAAATACACCCTAATAAAAATTTTCGGAAATACTTTTTTAAACGTATATTATTTTTACAGTTAAAGAGCCCCTCAGAAGGTCAACTAGAATTAAAAATCTAATCTCATTGGATGGTACCGTAGATAGCGAATCGTCTTCTTCTTCTTCTTCTTCTGAAGAAGAAAAAGAACAGAAAGGGAGGAAACGTAGTTTGAGAACACCTAGCAGAGCATCTAGGTACAAAGCATTACCGATCACATTGGAGAAATCTCCAAAATCATTAAGTGATAAAGATACAATGCCAGGTAATAATTTGACATGAAATTAAATTATTTATGTTTCCTTCTTTTGGCGAAACAACATTTTATTTAAGTAACTAATTTAAGGAAGGTTATTTTTTTTATAAGCATTTAAATTTTTTCAGCTGTCAAAGATCTGGTGTCGTTTGCTGAAAAGTGAGTTTTTTTATAGCTTGGGTTGGCTTAGATTTCATTTGCATCATCCACATAGCAACAATAAACCCATTTTGTTACAGGGTGGACAAATTATATCCACTCGGAGCATAGCAGCTATTCTAGAAGATTTAGAAAAAATTCCAATTAACTATTATATCAGCTTCAAAGAACGGACAATTGTTCAAATAATCGAATGTTTTTGTTCGAATAGCATTTGATCGAAAACATTTTTATCAAATTTTATAAATATTGAAAAGGCAAAAGATCGAAATAGCAGATGATCGAAAAAGTATATATTAAAAAAAACTATTTAAAAAAAGAAATATTATTTAAAAGCATACTATGATGCATCCAGTCTTAGAAAATAAAGATATTACTTTTTAAAAAACTTACTGCCATATTTTTTCAAAATTATTAAATATACAAAATTGGAGACATGCTTAGCAGGTTCACTTATTGTGTATCAATATCTGCAGTCAAACCAGACCCAGCGCAGTTAGTAGTTGGATGCGCGACTATTTTAATGAAAGTCGGCGTACGTCCGAAAAAACTTCTCGCTTAGTTGTATACCACAGCGGGCAGGCGTTATATCAATAATTATAAGGTACAGCGTGAAGTGTGCCATTTTTTCGGAAAAGTAAAACCGTCTGTTCCGAGTCCATGGATGTTGGACTCGTTAAAGTTCTCTACCTCTAGCTTGGAACAGCAGGGGATTCGGTTACATTTCTGGTAATTGGATGTAGCGTGCTCACTAGCGTCTTAGTTGAAACCTCGTAGTTATAAATAGGCCGACTTTAAATTAATAATAAAACTAATTTCAAAAATCACCCTGTAAAGGCGAAATTATTTTATAAATGTACCTTCTTGGGAGCTTGGGAGCTATAATACAGAATTGGAACTTTTTATAAATCTAGTTTAGCTACTATGCTCACCCTGTATGAACATACACAAAAACATTCGTCGGTACACTGCCAAACGATCTGTATTTAGAATGGTTTTAAGAACAACGATTTTTTAAAATAGGCACCTTAAAATCCTCTATCATAAATTTATTGCAATTTAAAAGTCGTTTTTTTCAAAACCATTTGAATGTAGTATGCCGACGAATCCTTGAATATTCACGGTTCTCTCTAAAACTATTTATACATACAATTTACTAGGTTAAATATTAATTAATTTGATTTATTAAATATTTATTTTTAGAAAGAACCACGAATGTTCTGATCACCTTTATTTATAAAAGCATGTAAAAATTTTAAAATCAACTAAATATCATGTGAGTGGATAGCAAATTTGTAGCGGTGAATATTTTAGTTAAAAAAAAAGTAGAGGTATGCAAGGCTGCGCTGAAACGCAATCGATCTAGGCAAGAAATTGCGCAACCAGTATCAAAGCAATGTTTTTTTTTTTACAAAAATTATTGAAATCGAATTTCGTGTAGTGAATGATGTTTATGGTAACTCTATGCACCTGCGAATGTTATTCAGAGCTGTTGGTCCGATTCGATGCCGATTTGAAGAAAAAACAACCGCATTTGGCAAATAAAAAAGTGATTTTCCATCAGGACAACACAATGGTGTCATCTCAATGGAAAAATTCTATAAATTGTGTTACGAATTGGTTCCTTATCCACCATATTCTCAAGATGTTACCCTCTGAGTAAAAGGCTCGGTGTTAAGAGATTTTTGTCGAATAAGGAGGCCATTACTGCAACAGATGTCTATTTGGAGTATTTCGAGAAATCGTATTATTTGAAGGGCATCGAAAAATTGGAGAATCTTTGAACGACGTATATCGAGGTAAAAGCAGAAAAGTTTTGCAGTTATGTATTCTTGCCTAGGCTGATTACTTTTCAGCACGTCCTCTTATGTTTGAAATAGATCCATTTTTAGTGAAGGTTTTGTATATTTTTATATTTAAGGGATAATAGAACACTTTTAAAACGCATGTACTTTCGCACTTTCAATTGTTGGAAAACATTTCCATCTTTAGTAATTCAACATTTTCCTACATACAAGTAAAGTTCTCGTGAGTATGTAAATTCGTTGGAAAATCATTAAAAAGTGGAAAACTTACTTTCCTTAATCATGATTTTTCCTAAGAACTAGTTTACAGTTTGCAATTTTTCCTGCTGCAAGTAAACTTGCAAGAGAAAATGCTGCCTGTATTACACTTCGCATTTCATTGCAAAAAGTTAAAACTTAAGTCACTAAACATGTACATTAACTTTTTTTGGCCTTGTTTGACACTGCAGTCTTCTGGCTTATTAGGTTTTATTCCTTATTAGTTCATAGTAGCCATTATGTTACCTTGTACAAAGTCTTTGACCGAGTAAGTTCTCTATGCTCTTTGATCAATCTCTGGTTGTCCAAAAAATGCTTATTTCGCGATCCAATGTTTTGCAGTCGCCCAGTGCGTCTTTGGCTCTTTCAGGTTCCTTGTGGTATAGTCAACACAATGGGTCTGCATTGGACATGTCTATTTTGTTCAGGTGTCCCTTTACTTGAGCATACCCAATCCTGAGTCTTATTGTTTTCAACTGGTTCTTATCATATTCTCCTTTTCTTCTTGAACGAGGTCTTTGAATGAACGGTTTCTCTTGTGATTGTTTTGAAACAGTCTCCCAATAATTGTTGTGTTTTGAAACCTCATACTGTACTTTTTGGCAGTTCAAGGTTTATATCTGGTTCCAGGATTTTTTCTTACCATCTGTTTAAGTTCGTCCTTGATCCCTTGATGATTCGGAAAAGCGTCTAGAACCAGAGACAGCTTCTGTGCAGAAATAAACATTGATCCGCAGTGTTGCCAAGTTGTACGAAATTGTATGCATAATGTTAAATCGGTCGTCATAAGTGCTAGTAACTAAAAACATGAAATGTGCATACAAAATTTTATGCACAGTGAGATATCAATTATTTAAACATGAGATTACATTTTTGTAGCATAATAATGAACATTTTGTTCCTGAAAATTAGGCATATGGAGACTCATTTTCATTAATGAAAATAGTTTGTATTTATATATGGCTATTTAACTGGTAAAAATTCAATAGAACTTTCATAAAAAAAAATTTGGCAGCCTCGAATAACTTTCTGACTCTGTATGGCTGTAAGGGTCACCTGTCTGTCTCCTGGTTTTCGATAGCTTTCCTTTTATTTATTCTCGCATATGGCAAGATTATTCCGTTGGGATCTGGTGATCTCCATTCTATTTGGTATTAAAAACCTCGAATTAAGTGTTGAAGGAGTAACACTTGGTTATGTGATCTGTTGTCGTATCTAGCACGTTCCCTGTTACTAACCTTATGATATTTATGTAACCTCGTCTAGTGTTAAAATTTCTCTCAGAGTGTTCTCTAATCTGTAAGTCCCTAGAAGAATTACAAAGCTGCTGAAAGGGCGTTAGTGTTAATACGAGAATTAGAAAAGCTGCAATTTTACTTGCAAGCAAGCAAAAATGCATTTGTATAGTAGCTCTATGTATAACTATTAAATCATTCTCAGTACTACATCTGATATCTGTTAACAATTACATTTAAAAATAATTTCCTATTGCAGCACCAAAACGGAGACGCCTCCAATAAGTAAATTAAGTCAAAACCCAGTCTGCGATATGAAAGTCAAACGTCAATTGTTCGAAAAATCCGCCAATCCTCTGTTAAATAAAACCGTAGTCGAAGAAAAGTTAGTTTGTGGCTATTCGCCGACTACCGCCGGTGTAGAAAATATTTGCGACGCGACCAATATATTAACTTCAAACTTTGTCCACAATGAATCTATTTTGGAAGACGTTTCGAATTCCAGTACAATATTTAGTACAGATAGTGAACCTCGTGAACAAACGTGCCTTAATTCTGAAATTAGATCCAACGTTGACCTTACCATCGCCGAAAAATACGACGAGACTACCAATTATAAAGCTAAAGAAGGTTGTTCTAAATTCTTAACTCAAATATCTCAAAATTTGACTAGTAGTTCTAGTTCCGATTATCTAACACCTTATCAAGTACTAAATCTTAACAACACTACTACAAACATTCAGGTAACTGAAGAAATCGTAAAGGATATTTGTTCACAAGGAAGTTACAAAACTTTAGAAGAAAGTTTTAGAGAAAATTCACAGCTTATTACCATAGTTCCAAAGTTTTCAGCACCGACGAGGGAAGAAGTTTTAAGAACTTTAGACGCTCATAAAATTCCTCACGTTTCAAATCAATCGCCTTACTACAGTAACGTAGAGGATGTAACTGGAAGCGTGGAAGTAGGATTTAACACGTTAAAAATTAAAAGTAAAACTACAGCTCATTTGGCAGACTTTGAATCGCAGACTGATTCTTTAAATACGTTCAGAAAAGCTAGAGTAGAACAACTACCGTCCAATGTTAAATTAACCAAAACAAATATGGAAAATATGATGCTGAGTTATTGTAAAAATACGGATTGCATTATAACGCCCGTTAAAACACCGCCGGACTCAGAAACGATAAAAGCATGGCTAGCGCGAAAATATAAAAAGACTTGTACTCCAGAGCATAGAACTCAACGAATAAAAATACGCCTTCCGACAAGCCCCGGTGCAAAAAGCGATGACGAAACTCTTGATGTATCTTTAACCTTATCTCCTCTAACACCGAAGAGTTCGCAAGCCAATTCATCGAGATCTGCAAGCCCGATTTTCGGCGACGAATGTAAAAAGCGAAAAAAAGAAATACGTAAAAAAATTCTTTCGAAATCTTTAAGAAACTCCCTTTCCCTATCGCAAGAAAATTCAATAAATAATTCCGGTGAGATCTCGGGCGTTACGGTACAGCACAGTTATCTGAACAGATCGGTGCAAAATTTGCAAAACGCCAGGGCGATCGTTGAACACTTAAATCTAACCGTACTAGTCATGGAGCTTCATATTCGTACTAGGGCTGACTTAAAGCCCGATCCTGTTTACGACTCCATGAGGGCTATATTTTATTCCATATTGCACGATGTACCTGAACCTAACCTTAAAGGCAGAAACCGAAAGGGCGTGATAGCTATTAATTCCATACCTTCTAGTCCAGGGGCGAATAGCGTCCCTATTTTAAATGGTATTGGCATCGACTGTGATATTACTTACGTAGATTCCGAAGATAATTTAATTAAAGAGTTTCTCAAAGTTATAAATTACTGGGATCCTGATATTTACGCTGGATACGAGATAGAACTGTTATCTTGGGGTTATTTGATACAAAGAGGTTACGTACTAGGTATAAATATGAAACCTCTCTTAGGAAGAATAAGGCTAGAGCATAACAGACAAAGAGAAGATAGACAAAGAGATGACGATTCTTTAAACGAACTTAAACTACCCGGAAGAATCGTGTTAGACGTGTGGCGTCTCATGAAATACGAAATAGCTTTACAAAGTTACACTTTCGAGTCTGTATCGTATCACATTTTGCAAAAACGTTTACCTTATTATTCGTTTAAAGATTTATCTTTTTGGTGGGACCATAGAACCCAATTATACAGGCATAGAACGGCGAAATATTACATCACGAGGGTAGTAACGATTTTGGATCTGTTCGATAAGTTGGACTTTTTAGGAAGAACCAGCGAGTTGGCTAGGTAAGACAAATTCATTTTCCGATATTGTTTTTTTTTAATCTTTAATCTGTGACATCACGATATAAGCAACCAACATTGCTACTGTCGTCATAAAATTAGGAAATATATAAAATAAATTGGATAATTCTATGATTATCTACTTATATGATTTAAAAATAAGAAAACACGGAGAAACTGCTTTCTATTTCCACATGAGTGGAATAATAATAATAATTAGGGATAGAAGATAGAACGATACCGATATTGATATCGGTATATCGGCATATTGGCAATTGTTGCCGATTTTCGGTATCGTATCCGCAAGATAATTGCCGATATATCGGCAAAGAGTTTGTACTTTTACAGGTATTACACGTCTCTTTCGTTTTTAGATTTATCTGTCTGCATCTTCTTAAAATGTCTCCAAAAGATGCTCCTTTTACCTTTGTCATTACTTTTAATTTTGTTATTTTCCGCTTCTTTACTACTACCCAGTCCACAAAATAATCTGCAACCGTTTTCTTTCTACCAGCGCCCGTTTCCGCTTCCATTATATTTGAACTCTCCATTTAAATAGAATATTTTTATTTATTATTTATTTTATCTCCTCTAATTAACAGTCAAGTTTAAAACGCCGTGTTTTAAAGCACTACAGAACATAAGGGGCTTCCCCGAAATCCGAAATGTAACTCACTACCAGTGTTGGCAGAATATATTTTTGTTATGTACCAGAATTATCTAAAAAATGTACCAGATTGCATAAAAATGTACTTGATTCTGTAAAATTTACCAGACTTTCGAATGAATTGTGGTGTGGTTTCTTAGATAAAAGAAACAACAGATGATGCATTTCATTCATAAAGTATGTTTTGTTTAGTTCCAATCATCGGAAAGGAGAAAGAAGATATTTTATGCGGATCGAAAGAAGACAGACTGTAATCGAAAATCTCGTCTGGCAACGCTGCTGTTGTACGCAACTAAAAGTCTGTTAATACCAGTGGCGTATCTAATTAAAGATAAAATCATAACTAATTTAAAAAAAAAATAATGAAATACTATCCGATATGGTGTGCAATAAACTTTATAATGGTGTAAACTTTAAAACCGATTGGATTTGGTATAAGGGTATGAAGTTCAGTGGAATGTAGGTAAAAAGCTTAAAAACACTATTTTTTCCAAGAATAATACATTTATTACATATAAAGATGTTAAATAAAATAAAAACAAGATAAATAAATCAAGATTTATTTTAAACAATTTTATGAATTCAATTTTGGGGTTAAAATTTGAACAGTTTTACAAATTGGTAAATGAGAGATTTTTAAATCAAAATTTAGATTTTTAACACTACTAAATTTATAAAAGTTATTAAATCAATAAATTTACCATACTTATATACAAGGTGGGCATTTTAAATGGAACGCTTCTTATAGCGGATCTGGTAATAAGAATTTTGTAAAATCCGAAAACACGTAAAACTGTACAACAATAAACCTACAAAACTAGGCAGTAAACTAACTTACTTATTATCATCCATAAATGTGTGCGGCATAGATAAATTATCTTCTGGGTTCTTACTAGAGCTGTCAAAAATACTGATACTGGAATCAGAGCTGTAACAGAGTATTCAGAACTTTTAATGTAAAGGTAAGTATACATTTTGATTGGTAATAAGGTAGTTTATGAAAATAAACAAAGAGGCATGTAATATGAGTTTATAAAAAAGTTTGTCCTTGTAAAGCACCTACAAAATTTAAAGAACTTACAATATAAAAATTTCTTTGTAAGATAAACTACCAACTTTCATATTAAAGGATAAACACTTAAATGAACATTTCCGAATCATAATTAAGAAAGTTTTTAGTTACCTAAATCAGCTTTCTCGAAACAATGAACTTAGTTTTGGCAGTGCTCCAGGCTTGAGATATTTGCTTTTTGAAGAATATCATTAGGATCAAAATGCTCCGAGCATAACACTCTTTTTTTAGATACCTTCATTTTGTTCAAGTCCTACAAGTGATAGCCAAATATTTCTTGTATGCCTTTCAGTTGTGAATCTAAAAATCAAGCATAAGCATATTTATTAACCAACTTCAAAAAAGGAGGAGGCTATCAATTCGTCGCGAATTTTTTTTTACCACTATAGTCCAGACTAAAGTGTTTCTATTAATTACAATATTTTGCGAAATTAATAATGTTGAAAGATCAAAGAAAATAACAGTAATATAAAAGTAGATAATACATGTGATATTACGGCAAAAATCTTTAAATCTACACCACTGAACTATGCAATACATTATCACCTAACCTTACTTATGAAAAGATACTTCAGCACCCACATTTTCCAGTTTTTTGCTCAAAATGCACTCGCGAACCATGTTGTTAGCTATACACAAGCCGAAATTTTTCCAAAAAAGTCTAAAGATTAACAAAAACACCCAATGTGCAACAATTTACTGGATCGCAACGTCGCAAACTATCGATGGATAAAAGACTATGCATGACGTCCGTGACGTATAGTATGAATGAAACAAAGTTATTTTAAATTGCGGTGGTGTCACGTTTAACGCTTTTAAAATCCTTGCGTTTATTTGCAGGAATAATAATGGTGTTTGCCATAGTTTATCTTAGTATTTGCAAAGTTGTTATTTAGCAAACGTATAAATGTAAAAACGATAGGTACAAAAATCCCCTGCCTAATGGTGTAAAAATAAGTGCTGCTAAAATATCAAGTCTGCTGAAAGCAGTTAAACTAGATAATCTACTTTGTACACATTTTATACGTTTTTTGTTTTGTTACAAGTCATTTAGAGATTTACTATTAGAAATGTTTCGGGAAATATTGCAACATCTCGGCCCACAACGCGTCGGAGTTGGGAAACACTGCACTAGGTACGAAAATGAATTGGTGGGGACGCTTGATGTGTCGCAATATATCTCGAAACTATTCTAATTAATAAAACTTGTTGCTATTAGTGAGTTATAGGTAAAAACTATTTTTAAATATGAAAGGGATAAACTACACAGCCTGACAACAGCGCACAAGGAAACGCATGTCGGTTTATTTACGAAATAGCTACGCGCTACGTTTCTTTGCAATGTATGACCGGGTTTTAAATGTAAATAGAGGAGCTTTGTGTGGTTTGGTTCATTAAGGAATAAAAATTCTTAGAAAATGTACTAGATTTAGTACAATTGTACTAGACTGGCAACACTGCTCACTACCATTCACAAACGTTTCCTGGCAACGAAATTATAAAACGGGACTTCCCCGGTTTTTGCTTCGGTCGCGTATAAATAGAAGGCGTAATCGCAAACGTTTCCTCGCAGTGGAATTATAAAACGGAACTTCCCCGGTTTTGCTTCGGTCGCGTATAAATAGATGACGTTGTTTGCCGATACGATATATCGGTATATCGGCACGTAAATATCGGTATCGGCCGATATATCGTATCGTCAAAAAAAAGTGATATCGTTCTATCACTAATAATAATAAATCGTCTTTATTAATGAATTGTACAAAGAGGCGCAGTTTAGCTACAAGCTATTCTTACACTTAACCTAAAAGTAGAATATAAAAAGAAGCATAATGCTTTTAAGAAAATTAGATTTTAACTGATTTTATACGCATCAAAACAAGATGGATTATCATCTGTTAACAAATCAATATTTATGTCACCTATGCAAATATAGTAATCAACTGTAGGCAGAATTTTTGACAAAGTAGAGTCAATACTATCAATAAAAAGGGACACATTACCTTTAGGTGGTCGATATATAACTCCAATGCAAACGCGAAAACCGTTTATCGTAAATTTAATCCACATTTACTCACAGTTTAAGTCAGAGGAATTAAATTCAACTAATTGTAAACCAGTAATATAATTGTTTAAATAAAGACCAACACCACCACCTCTAGATTATCTATCAAGTCGGTAAAAATTGAATCCAGGAATTGAAATGGTGTTTGTATCAATATTTCAAACTCATTTACCAAATTCATCAAAATTTTTAACAAGAGAACGAACGTTCAAATTACAAAGTCTAAACATTTTAAACATAAAAATAAATAAAATTAGAATAGATAATTTTTTTTATAAAAAGTACTATTCTAGATAGCCTATCTTGTTCTTTAAAATTTCTACATGGAATTTAAAAGTTGGGCACTCGCGGTCACTATTTTGGTGTCCAGTGGCATGATTTGTGTTGTAATTACGGTTAGATAAATGACAATTCATGCAGAATTTTTCCTGTTTGGGACATTCTTCTTCTTTGTGTTCTTCAGAGCGGTGTCCACTTAAGTTGGAACAATATGGAAAACTTTTTTATTATTGGTTTTGTGAAAAAATTTGTTCCTGGTAAAAAGTTCTGTATGGTCCAAAACTTAAAATGCAACCATCAAATATAATTTTATTTAAGCCGTATACAAGGTTTGTCAAAATATATGAATTTTGCTAAAGAGTACCTTTATTTTGGACAAACCTCGTATACGACTAATAAAATTCTATATCTGATGGTTGTATTTTAGGTTTTAGACCATGCTCGACTTTTTATGAAGAATAACCTTTTTTCCTAATATTAATAATAAAGAAGTTTTTATATGCCGCCAACTTACGTATACGGAACGCATTGGAGACTGTGTTGTTAAAATTCTCCACAGCCATTTCAAGGTTTGTTATTGTTCTTATCGTCATTCTCATCTTTGGAATATTATTTAACATGCACAATAATTAAGGATCAATTTAATAAAGATAAATAATTCAAGTTATCTCGTGACAGTAGTAATATTGGTTGGCTAAATCGTGACGTCACACTAACCGTATCTATTCCAGGTTGTTCGGTATCCTCTTTTTCGAAGTACTATCTAGAGGAAGTCAATTTAGAGTGGAATCAATGATGCTGCGCCTCGCCAAACCTCTTAACTTTGTAGCCGTATCGCCCAATGTCCAACAGAGGGCGCATATGAAAGCTCCCGAATATATAGCGCTCGTTCTGGAACCGGAGTCCAAACTGTACGATGATCCTGTTATAGTTTTAGATTTTCAAAGTCTTTACCCTTCAATTATTATCGCTTATAACTATTGTTTTACCACTTGCGTTGGACGAGTCGAATCTTTAGGAAAAAGCGGCCCATTTGAATTTGGTGCTACTCAACTCATGGTTTCAAGGAATCAGCTCAAGAAACTGCTTGAAAGGTAAACTATATTCACGTATAATAGTTATTTCATAAATAATTAACATCGCCAATAAAAAATCAACACGCGCCGAGAAAGCATTTTCAGCTTGCCTTGTTTCTTGCTCTGAATTTGAAGATGGTGTTGTTTCTGATTTTTAGGAATCAATTGAATTTTTCGCCTTGCGGAGTTGGTTTCGTTAAAAAAGAAGTTCGTGACGGTATAATGCCCAGAATGTTGAGAGAAATCCTGGATACGAGGCTGATGGTGAAAAATTCTATGAAAGAGAATAAAAACGATAAAATTCTACAAAGGGTACTTCATAGCAGACAGTTGGGTTTAAAATTGATAGCCAATGTGACCTATGGGTATACGGCAGCGAATTTCAGTGGTAGAATGCCAGCTGTAGAACTTGGAGATAGTGTAGTCAGTAAAGGTAATAATTTACATTGACTGTTAATATTTTTATGTGACTAAATATTATTCATTATAGGACGAGAAACTTTACAACGAGCTATAGCGATGGTGGATAGCACTCCAGAATGGGGAGCCAGAGTGGTTTACGGAGATACCGATTCACTGTTCGTCTTAGTACCAGGTAGAACGAGAGAACGCGCTTTTGAAGTAGGAAAACAGATCGCCGAAGCCGTCACTAACGACAATCCGGACCCGATCAAATTGAAACTCGAAAAAGTTTACCAACCCTGTATATTACAAACGAAAAAGCGGTACGTTGGGTACATGTACGAGAGTCCTGATCAAAAAGATCCTGTTTACGAGGCCAAAGGTATCGAGACGGTTCGGAGAGATGGCTGTCCGGCAGTTAGTAAGGTATTTAAACTGAATCTATAACTATCAGTGTTGTTCCTGGGTGGATGATCGTGCTACAGTGGCACCTTTATAGAAGGTAATGGTAAAGGATATGTATTATATTATTCAGGTTGGGAACGGGCTGCTTTAGACTTTTCTAGCCTCTTTAGTCGCACTGTAGGGATCGAGGGTCTCAGGTGATGAGATGGAAGGAATGGTGCTGGGTTTCTGAGAGGATCTTTCTATGAGAAAACTCATTTAAGGCGGCAGTGTGGATTGAACTTACTTCGTTCCAAAGGCCAATTTTATATCATACTGAGACAATAATCAATCAAAAAGTGCTTTATTGTCTGAATTAAAAAAACTAATTGACAAAGCTGGTAAAAAAGAAAACATAAATACAAAAGATACAAAAAATATATATAAGATATAAGAATTTAAATTTTTTTTTTTTAAATGTTTAAAATCGAATTTTGCATATAAAAAGAAATAATACATTCAAAACCAAGAAGAAGAAAAAACAATATAAACCTAACGTACATTTAAAAAGTCAAAAAAGTTAAAAGATATTTGTCATCAGCCAGTTAAAAACCTTACAAAGCCTTAATGCTTTGGTCAAGTTTGAAACAGTTTAAAATAAAAATAAATGATTAGAAAACAAAATAAGAAAAGAAAAAATTTGTATATGTTTATACTCATATGAGCCATTAAAAAATTCCGCCAGCGTATAATAAACCTTCACAGACAGAAAACGTTTAGGTTGCCTCCTAAAATTCTTCTCAATACCTATCTGTCTTATTTTCATAGGCAAGCAGTTAAATATTTTTTTACCATTGTTTACCATTTTGATTTTTTTATAAGAGCAGATGATGGTATTGGGAGAGGCAGGAAAAAAGTCAATCTAGTGCTAGGCACAGAAGCTTCACTTATGCATAGTTATAAAATTTTACCAATGATAATTATCTTAGGTTTAATCAAATGCCTAGAAAGAAGACACAATACTTTGCCAGTTCTGTATCGCCGAAAAAGAAAACTACAATCTCTCAATATTTTTCAACATCCAGTTGCGTATCTTGCGAAGAACAAACTCAAGCGGGAATATGTCAAAACTGTTGTAACAAACCACAAGTGACTATGTTTACACTGATGGAAAAAATGAGAATGTGGGAAACCAATTATCAGAATACAGTCAAGGTAATAGTTAAATAGTTATAAGTTACAATGAGTTACAATAATAAATAAGTTACAATAAAGTACAATAATGGAAACCAACTATATAATAACAAGCACCTAGGTGAAAACACCTGTATGTTCTGACAAAAATTAAAATTTTATTTTAATTATATTTAATGAATTATAAAGGTAATAAAAAAACATTTTTTTTTAAATAAAAAATAAAACTTGAACAATTTATGCAAGAAACAGAAAAAAAACTATTTAAAAAAAATCCATGCATTAAGTCCGTTACTCTTGGAATATTCTGATACTTTGCGTTATTTTGGAAAATGTATATTTTGCTAACTTTACAGAATTTTTTATATTTGTTTAATAATTTTATATGAAGAGGTAGAGCGTTATAGAACTTTGCCCCTAGATAATTTACGCTGTTTTTAAAAAACTCACTATTTGGTTTTGGTACTTTAATGCACATATTCGATGCAGTTCTAGTGTTATGTCTATGTTCTAAAGGGTTTTTTAAAAATTCATTTTTTTGTATATAACAACACACTGCGTGAATATATAAACATCTAACATTGCTAATTTTTTCATTATATAAAGTTATGGTGGGACACAATCTATCTCTTTTATATATTAACTTCAAAATTTTGTTTTGAATAACATTTAACTAATTTAATGTAGTCCATACAGGCCTCCCCATACTAAGATTCCATACCGTAGTATAGTATCTAGTAGACTGTAGTATAATGTTATTAGTAGATCCTGGTTGAGAAATTGTTTTAAAAGATGAAATTTATAAATCAGAAATCTAATTTTTTTTGCTATATATATTATATGGTAGTTCCATTTTAAGTGCTGGTCTATAATTATACCTAAATATTTGGATGTTTCTGTTTCCTGTATGTCTAAATTTTGACATGTTAAGCTTCTAAATTGAGGTCGATCAGCCATTGTCTTTGAAAAATCAATGTAGTTTGTTTTGTTAACATTCAAAGATAATTTAAAAACATCCAGCCAGTTTTTGACATGTTCTATTCCAGCTATAGCACGTATTTTGACAGCTTCCCATTCTTTATCACTGAAGACTAGCACTGTATCATCAGCATATGATACAACTTTACCTTGAATGTCAATCTGAGTTAAGCTCTTAATGTATAAATTAAATAGTATAGGTCCCAGAACAGTCCCTTGAGGCACTCCGATTTGTATATTTTCTGTTGTCTGTGTGTCAAATAATTTTCAAAAACCTTCAACACGATGCCCCTCACTCCATTCTGTTCAAGAAAATTTAAGAGCTTCTGATGTGGCACCGTGTCAAATGCTTTTGCTAGATCTAGAAATATAGCTATACACTTGTTACCACTATTCATTTCATATCTTTTTCGCATATCGGTTTCAGAAACATTGATTTTTCAGTGACACAGGAAAATCCACATTACATTCAGGGATATTTGTGAACATATTAGTGCTAATAGTCGAAAATGCAGTAATTCGCCATTTCATTATCATTTTCAAATTCCTCATTATGTTGGTTAACAATCTGTAAATTGGTAATATTTTTTTTATGATTTTCATTAGTTGCTTCAGAGATTAATTGATAAGTTTTTTTCAGATCATTTTTGTTTTGGTTGTTATTATAGTCATTTTTAGTTTTTGATATTAGTTTGTTTAAATTATTTCTAAATGTTTTATAGTGAGTTTGTTTGTTAATAGTATACTTTTTTTGTAGATCTTTTTTAAGTTTATCCCTAGTTTTAATAGAATTAATTAAACCATTTGTTATCCATGGCTTTATTTTTTTATGGATTTTAATTTTAATATTTTGAGTGGCTTGACATGTTTCAATGATATTAAGATACGTGTCATAAAAAAGTTGTGTTGTAATTTCTGGATTATTTTCATTGCAAACACTTTCCCAGTTTACAGTTTCGAATTTTTGTTTTAATTTATCAGTATCGATTTTAGTTATAGTTTTATATGTATTGTAGGAACTTGTGTAGTTTTTGGCAGATTGTGAGATATTTATCATATTCGAATCATGATCAGTCATATCATAGCTGATTACATAAGAGTTCACCGATAGATTTTCAGTCTTAATATTGTTTTTTAAGAATATATGACCCAAGCCTGTTTTACTTTATGGCCTCGTAATAGTGTTTATGTAAGACATGAAACCATGGGAGTAAAAAGTTGCTTGGTAATCAGTAGTTACTTGATTGGTTACATTTAGGAGATCAATATTAATGTCCCCTATGAATATTTCAATATTTCTATTTAAGTGATTTGGTATGAAATTTTCTAAATCCCTTATACATGCTTGTGCAGAGGTTTGAGGAGACCTGTATACACTTGTAATGCCAATGGTCTGATGATTGACTTTTAGATTTATTTTAGTGACATAAATATCAGAATATTCCAGTTTAACTATATTTAAATCTGCATCTAGATTTGACCCGACCAAAATTACAACACCATCATTTCTGTTAATGTTACCATTGTTATAGTGGGTGGTGAAGCCATCTAGGTTAAATTGAGAAATAGATTCTAGTTGGAAACATTCAGTCAAAACTATTATATCACAATAATTAATTTTATAACTTTCTAGAAATACTAACAACTCATAAAAATTCTTTTTTAATACTCCTAATATTGAAATGTAAGACATTTAGGAGTTTTTCATTTAATACCATTTGATGATATTTCAAAGTGGGACAAGTCAAATCCAGTGCAGAATGGTTGTAGTCGTACTCAGTTTTATATTTTTCGTTTTACAGTTCTTACAGTGTATTTTATTCTTTGGACACAAGCTAGCTTCATGTTCTTCACTACATATGTGGCACACGATTGCATTCTTACAGTTTTCTTTTTTATATTAGAAATCTTGACATTTAAAACATCTGGGTATCTCCAAATCTTCATAAGCTGGAAGTCTTTTCCATCCTATACATATTTTTTTTCCTTTGTATCAATTGTTTGAATGCAGTTCCTGAACATTCACAGTATACAGTATTGAAGCCTTTTTTCGTTTTTCTGATATATGTGGTTTTTATTTCACCTGTTATGTCTTTCTGTTTCACAATGGACTTGTCAAATTCTTCCTTGGTCATATTCTCCGTAAAATTGCAGATTTTCATTCTGGGTCTTTTCATTTTTGTCAGATCTACATCATATGAATCTTTTAATTTATCTTAAACAGCTTTTTCTAGAATTTCAGCTTCTTTTTTTGTTTGACAGGAAAGTATAACGGAACCATTCTTTCCCATCTTTAATTGTTTCACTCCAACTTTTAAGTTAGTTAGGTTAATATTTGTTCCTAAATCTGTTTTTGTTTTGTTTCCACTCTGATATTTTCGGTTTAATAATAATTTTTGGAGGGTTAGGTTTTCGTTCATTGTCTTCTTTTTGTAACTTCACCATATCAGCATGAGAAATGGTAGGTACAATATTTAACTCTTTTTCTTCAAATTCTTTAATTTTCTCTTGAAGCATTTTTATTATTTATTATTTCATCTTTATCTACATTAGCCTTCTTTAGAAAATCAGTCAGTTCATAATTCCTACATTTTGCACAATGAAATTTCAAAATTCTAGTGCGTAGTGGTATACACCTAATTTCTGTGGTTGATAATTCATAACATTGGTTGCAGTATAATCTTCTGCATCCATCACATGTAGAGCATGGGGATATTTTTGTTCTTTTGTAGGCTGATGAATAATCTCACACTGTGAGCGTTTCATTGCCATTTTTCTTATTAAATCATTTTCTTATTTTATAAACTCAATGTGGGTACGGCACTGGATATTCTATTTGTATGATTGCTTAGAAGAAAGTATTGGTGTTTATCTTATTTCACCTAAACTTTTTTGTCATCTGATAAGGTTTGGTACTTTTTGCATTTTTTGTTTCCTTGGTAGATTTTATTTCGGTGAAATTGCAGAGATAATGCATTAATCTATGCAACTGTGACTCACCTAAACATTTACTACACTATAGTACTTTTACATTTTATTTAATTCACTAGTTGTTTTTTTTAACATTATATGGTTTATATCGGTAGAAATATAGATTTATTTGCGCAGTGAAACGAACACGCCTTCTCATCTTGAATGACTTGACTATAAATTAGTCTATTAGACAGGCGAGAATAGGTCATTGACAAATTCCATCGTGTAGGGAACAAATTGAGCTTCAATTTGGTATAAACATGTTTTAAATTCAATTTTTCTCGTTCACAGGCTTTGTATTTGCAAAAGTTCATGTACCCCATTATGTCTAACTTTTGTAACATTGAAAAACCCCACCCAGTATAATAATTTCTAAACTAATGTACAATCAATTAACGATACAAGTAAAGTGTACCTTTTAAGTAACATGTCAACTTTTTAGATTTGCCAAACCTGCACATCGTCAGTATGTGAAGTGAGATGTACATCATTAGATTGTCCAATTTACTATAAACGAGTCCAAAGTAGTCGAGACGAACAGCAAACGACATTTGTACGGCAGTTGTTATCCTCTAGCGATTTTGATTTTTAGGTTAAGTTAGATTGTAAGAGTTTGAATTCATTTTTATGTATTTTTAAGTGTTTTTTTGTGATAAAAATCCAAAAAGGAATTTTGCCAACTAGGTATATTTTGTTTGGTATTTAATTTTAAATTATTTTTGTTTTGTTTATGAATACAGAAAATATGTTCATTTTTTTAGAATTTTTGTCAATGACAGCTTTTAAATACACTTTTAATATTTTGTGTGGTACTTTTAGGTTTTAATATTAATTCCGTATCAGTATTTCGTTTTAAGCATCCATTTAGATTTGATATTTTAAAAAGTCGTTTTCAAACATACTTTTTTAAGTTTTTAAAATGCATTCATTGTCCAAAATTTGTTTATATTTAAGTGTTACCATTTTTTATTTTAAAACTTACATTATTATGTAGGTATATAATTTAGTTCTAAGAAAATGTTCTAATTTAATTTTGTTAAAGATACATTGTTAACTTTTATTAAAAAATACATTTTTTGCAGTTATTTTACTTTCATTCGTTATATTTGTTTGCTAACTTTAATTAAAAGTAATAAATTCCCGAAATACTGTTAAATAATGCAGTGGCGTAGACACGTAGCTGTAATTACACATTTCGGGAACATTTTGAGGTAAGTCACTGATTTTTAAAAATAGTTTTTCCGCAATCCCGAAAGTTTTCAAATTTTTTCCAACTTCATGCCTTTAATAACAGTAAGCAATTCTTTGTTTGTTGGGCCTTTTTTACGATCACTGGCAGGAATAGGAATATTTTTTTCAGACATAAACGCTAAAATTTGAGCTTTGTTACTGCTACTATTTGGTATTTTAAGGAATTGCCGTGAGTGGTAGGATGCGTTGTCCATAACGATTACTGACTGGTGGAATGTTAGGTAAGAGCTGTTCATTAAACCATTTTTCAATTAATTCTGGTGTCATATCTTCATGATAATCAGCTGCACAGTTTTTAGTTTGTTTAACAGATAATAATAAAGCATTAGGCACGAAACCGTCTTTGCTTCCAGCGTGTACTATTATAATACGTTTCCCTTTAGAACAAGGCTCATTCAAACAGCAATTTTTACTGCTGTCAACCTAACTGAAATTTACTACATCGTGACTGCCCAACCATGTTTTATCTAGATAAATTATGTGTCTATTAGAAGTTCTGTACTCTTTTATCTGACGCAAATAATCTTGTCGCTATTGAACTATCCTTGACGATTCGGTGATTGCCATCCGTTTATTCATTTTTTTGTGTTTAAAACCACATGCTGACAAAACTTGACGCCATGTTTCCAAACTGGTATAAGTGTATCCTGAAAAATCTGCTACCATTTGTTGTATTACTTCCAATGTTGAAACCCTGTTCTCCTTATATAAACTATAAATTGTCCTTCGCATAAAATCTTGGGTAGCTCTGTCAACTGATTTCAGTTTTTCTTTACATGTTTTTCGGTTTTGTGAATGATCCACAGCAACCCCTTTTGTGACTACCCGATAAATGGAAAATTTATTTACTTTAGTTAATTCAGCAATTCTTATTATGATCGCATTATCAGACTGCTGAATATTTTCCTTTTTTAAACATTCGAATATATTTAAAATAAGTTGTTGTGTTTGTATATCTAAAACCTTATTGTTAAAGTCATACCTGTCTTTAATCTCACTACATTGTGCAATTTCATTTTCTTCATTCGCCCACGGTCTAAAGAACGTCATATTTATATTTATTAAAATAAATTTAAATTAAACCAACCACACATACAAAACACACCGCACGACAGTACTCCACTGATATCGAAGACTGTCTTCCAGGAATATTTTCGAACACTCCTCCCCTTCGTAAACCTTCGGCCAATACAGTGCATTTAAGTTTACGATTCGATGTTTTCATTGGTTAACAATGAGATGATGGATTTTGACACATATATATCAAGTACACGTTGACTGACCGTTCCTTTAATATTTACCGCATTGTATAAGGGGAGTAAACATTATTTTTCGTTTCTAAATTTGGCATGAGTACCGTGCGTATATATTAAATATTGATGATTCCCCACATAACTGTGTTCTGCAATATTGGAAGGATTATACCTGTCTGGCACCTGATTAAAGAAATAACCTGTTGTTTATGATTACTCAATGCTACTTACCCACCTAGGTATGTATTTGAAGTAAAAATACAATTTTTCTTAACACTTAATAAATGTATTATTATTATTGCTATTATTAATATTATATAATTTATTTTAAATTAATTCGGATAATACCTGTAAAGGAAAAGAAAAACAACAGCATATTTTCTATTTTATTAATTTCAAAACAGTTAAAATTATAAATACAAAAATTTTTAATTCTAATTTTAAAATAATTAACGGTTAACTAATTTATCATAATATATATCATTAACAATGGGACATAGTACAACTGAAAATTATCTGATTAAAAATAAAACGATTAAACGAAATATGCTTGGAAAAAAAATTACCCGTTTTCGAAATGCAGGGTGTTCAAAAATTATTAATGGCTATAATATTTTTATTTTTCAGTATCATTTTACTGAATTCGGTAAACATTTTTGACACTTTCCAAAAACTTGTTTATACTATAATTTAAATTTTTTTAAATATATATATATAAATCATGCACTCTTGTTGGGAACTCGTCCTTTATTTTTTTTTTTTTGGTGTCATCGGCATCAACTGCTACGGTTATTAGCATCGTGTTCTGTATAGGCTTTGTTACTTTTTCCGAGCGCCCCTTTTTAGGACAGTACTGTTAATTAGTACCCAACAGTGAATGGTCGAGTGGGGAATCCTACCAAGGCATCAGAATTAATTATAAATAATTAAATTAAATGAAAAAATCCCGGCCAACGGTGGGATTCGAACCTGGGACCCTTGGATCCGCAGGCAGAGACTCTACCACTGAGCCACCCACCCCGTAACTCGTCCTTTATTAACAGTAAAATTGTTCAGTAATAAAAAATAAACCCAACTAATTCACAATACCTACTACCCGTAAACGCACTAATGCACAATAACAACCATTACCTAGAATATAGTCCAAACAATGAATCACGCATGGATGAAGGAATCACGAGTGAATAAAATTTCATCTAAAAGTTAAAAATATAGAAACCCATCGGTCTCCGTCATCCACAAAAATTTCAGCTCGACCCTCAAGTTCGCCCACTTCAAAACAAACGACTTTCGACTTATCCAAATTTACTAGCGCCATCTATTGGTAGTATCCATTTCACTCAAATGAAACTTCCATAAGGGATACTACTATTAGTTCTTTATACAATGATATGTTGAAATGATAACCATTGGTCTATCAACATTTGGACACAGTATACTGTGATTTGGGTCTCCTGATATGACAATCTTTATACTAACGACATAATTCATAATTGTCAAGCCATTGTCAATCGTGTGATTGACGTAATTTCTGAAATAAAAACGATTTAAAATATCTAACAATGCAAAGAAAACGTACCAAACTTTTAAGCGGGAATATTTCCTCCTCTGATGCGCCAATCGATACATTAGACAAAGCGACTAAAAGAGTTATAGCACCCTACGTGAAAGTCATTAGAAAAAGCGAGAGAGGTCGACGTGGAAAAGAGCAAGTCGTTCAAGAACCAGTGAAATTTAATTTTTACGTACAAAACAAGCCAAGCGTTTTACTAGAGGACCTCTCGTCTTTTTTATCGGATAGCGTAGATTTAGTGATACTGTTGCATGAGACGTCCGAGGTTTTGAAATCCACAACTAAAGCTAACGGTAACTAAATATTTTTAATAGTCCCAATTAATAATATTGTCTTTCTGCTCTAGTTTTCGACCTCTTGTTCTTCAGAACATAATCTCTTTAGAACAATTTAAAAATAGAAAATACGACAGTACAAAAAAGAAACTGTGATAACAAATAGTAACCATAAAATCAGACAGTATAATATATTATAAATTTATCTGTTTATGTCAAGTCACTGTCAAATGTGAAATTATTGATTTATTTTTCAAATAACTCCGATCGAAAATTAATCCAATATGGGTCGAAGACGTACCAACGTTTTGAACTCGGGTACTGTTTCTAGCGAATTTAATATTATTGATACAAACGACAAGGCAACCAGAAGAGTTATAGCACCCTACCTGAAAATAGTTAGAAAAAGCGATAAGACTCTAACGGAGAAACAACAAGAAACTTCTGAACATCGAAGATTTAATTTTTACATACAAAATAAACCGACCTTTTTATTGCAGGATTTCACTTCTTATTTAGCGGATTGTGTGGACTTAGTTTTACTATTACAAGAGACCTCTGATGTTTTGAAAAGCACAACTAACGCTACCGGTAAACTAAAAACTATTCGTTTATCTACTTGAGCGGCTGCTAGCTTCGGCTTTGGTCCATCTAGAATTCTCTTGACTTACGACTTTGGAACTATCCAATATAACATTACTCCACTCTGATTCAGACAACATCCATTTTATTAACCGACTTCAAAAAAGGAGGAGATTCTCAATTCGTCGGGATATTTTTTTTTATGTATGTTCAGCGATAATTCTTTAACACGGTGTCCGATTTCAATAATTCTTTTTTTGTTAGAAAGGGGGTACTTCAGGGGTGGTACCATATAAATTTGGTCAAAAAATAATAATTGAGTCCATGAGAAAATCCTCAAATTCTTCATTTTGTATGTATGTTTAGCGATAATTTTTACCACCGTGTCCGATTTCTATGATTCTTTTTCTGTTAGAAAGGGGATAGATACCTCAAGGGTGGTCCCATATAAATTTGGACAAAATCTAATAATTAGGTCCATTAGAAAATCCTCAATCTATTCTTTTTTTATGTATGTTTAGCGATAATTCTTTACTACCTTGTCCGATTTCTATGCCAATATAGCTACAAGTGACCAGAACGTGTTCGCAGAGCTTAAATTCTAATCAAAAGTGTTCTAAGTGTAATCGAAAATGCGTAAACGGTATTAAAGGCATTGTGTGTTGTGCGAAATTTCATTTTACACGTGCTTCAATTGAAGGAAACAAAATTGATTTGAATTTTAAATGTGAACAGTGTGATATGTCTGAAAATGAGTTTCTAGACGCCATCGGCTTGGAATTCACAGATAAGTTAGAACCGAAATTTTTATTGTATATAATTACTCAAAAAAATTTGATTATCCATGAATTACAAGACAAAATTTGTATTTTGAATAAGCAAATTGATTTAATATGTCAAATAAATGACTTATCATCCACAATAATAATAATAATCTCCCTAATTCACCCCCTTACGAGTGAATTTTAACCCCAAAAGCTGAGCTTGTGCGGGGAAAGGGACGGCTATTATTATTATTTTCCGTGGCGCTCCGGGGCGACTTAAAGATGATTGATGGTGCCATTTGACTTACAGGTGAGGAAAACCTCATCCACCATCATCGAGACGATAATGTATGGCGAATTTTTTTAATCTGCATGTCATATCAACAGAAATTGAATTTCTATTAATACGGCACACATCAAATCCTATACCGAACCATGCAATTTAATTAAAAATCCACATGGTCTGGTCTGGGATTCGAAGCCCAGCAGTCTCTGACACATAAACTTGCTTATAAATGAATATAAGCGCGTTAGACCGCTACACCACCGTACCCGATGCCGCTGCAAAAACTATACCTGTTGGTTAGGAGATAAGCAACGACAAAAACAGGGCCAGCTGTAAAAGCAATAGTGTTGATATTGAAAATCTTGTTCGAGCAAACAATCGTATGGGAATTCCGTCGGAGTTCCCCAAAAAAAGCAATACTATAAATTTCAAAACAAAGACGTCGCAACATTAATTTTAGAACAAGACACGCTGAATAAATCTCATTAAATCTTGAACCTTGCTTCTACAGTTACCACAATAAATTCCGCAACTGAAATAAATAGTGATGTAAAGAAAAATCCGACAAACGATTGGAAAAAGTTACCTATTCTAAAAAACGACCAAATAACCGACAAATTGTTGGAAATAATACTGACCTTTTCATCAAAAGCGTTCCAAGATTAGCAACTTTACATGTATGTAGAGTTGATAAAAATACAACGACCAAAGAACTGACAAAAATTATAAAACCTCATTTTCCTGAAATAATTTGTGAAAAACTCTATGTTAAATTTCCAAATAAATACACATCCTTTAAAGTAAGAATTTTTTAAGATAACTTTGAAGCCGCCATGAATCCGACTATTTGGCCTCAGGGGGCTTACATAAGTCGTTTTTTTTACCGGAAAAAGCAACAGACGAAAGAAGACTGACTTGCTTAACAAGCAACTACGCTATGTGTGACTATTCTCCTAAGGGGGTACAAGAATTTTATTCTACAAAACAATGTGAAACAATAAAAGTGACCACTAAGTGCATAATACCAGAAAATAAAATGTCATGCTTATCTCAAGGAGATTTTGGAGGCCAAGATTCGGTGAGTGTGTTCCATGTCAATATGCGGTGTATTGGAAATAGAACAGGTTGAAATTTTATTACACGATTATCCTTTTGATTTTTTTTTTAGTTTCAGAACATTGGCAAAATGAAAGTAATCTTACTCAGATCAATATTCCTGGCTATATACTAGAAATAAATTTAGAACAAAATGACTCAATCTTGATAAATATAATGAAAAGGGTATTTCAGAATTTTGTGGTATTACTCTATATCAATTGAAAATTAATATATTCAATATTCACAGTATAATGAAAATTTACTTTGAAAACCTCAGTTTTTATTATATTTCTGAATTTTTAAATCATGTTCGTTTCCATTCATTTCCCTGTTGACGATACATTCTCCCTGGGTCTTCTCCTTCACGATCCCCTAAAAATATTTTTGCATGTAGTAATGCATTTTAATTAAGACACTTTTATCTTTGTACCATTAGGTTTTAAGAGTTTCCGTATTTTATTGTTTTATATTATATATGTATGTTAGATGACTTTATTGTTGTTTGTAATTTTTAATCTTATGATTGATGTTTTTTTTTTGACTTGCTATAAATTTATGTAACACTAACTAACATAAATTTAATGGCATCTGCACGATTTTGAAGTCGGTTTTTTAAAATTACTTTTAATACTTATTGCATTTCAGGAGTAACCTTATACATGGTGGACCAGGCCTCGGAAGAAATTTACCAAAGTCAAAAAAACTTTCAAGGCGAACGACATAAAGTAAATTGGAAAATTCAAAAGGGTAGCATAGTTGCGGCGTATGTGGCATTTAAAAAGCAGCACCTTATGGTGGACGACATAATCGGCGATGACAGGTTTCCAGCAGGAGTGGGATATCAAGGTATATGCGTTTCGTTAGAAACACTTCACAGTTTGCAATTTTCCTTGCTGTCTGTATTACACCTGGCAATTTATTGCAAAAAGTTCGCCATATCACTATAAACACCTAAATAGTTACAACAACTTAGTTATGAAACTGGTTCGCAATATACCAGGCAAATTAGGGCGAACATATACCATTTAATAATAAAATACAACATTGATAATTCTTTAATATTCCCGGTGATCTAGTTTATGTAACACAAAACATGTCAAATGCAAGAAATGTAACAATTTTTAAACTAAACTGATTGGCAGCGCTAATTTCAGTAATTTTCCCCCAGATTTACAGCTGCAATACGTCTCGCGATAGTAAATCTTTACGAAAATATGACTGCGTTTGCTACATTAAGGCCAGTGAACGACAGGCCTCACGAGACCATTGATATTGGGCTCCATGAAAAAACATCATAAGACAATATAGTGTAATAGACCGTCAGATAGTGAATGATTTAGGTGCCCCATTTTCGCATACAAGTCACGAAGAGGTTTGAAAAGTATATCGATTTTGAGTAGAATGAAAGGAAATTTACGAATGGCCCCTGGGGATAACATGAAAAATTCGATTTTTCTTAACAGAAATAAAAGGTGTTTTTTGCTCATTTTTCCACGCAAGCCGTTTTCATTATATGATTAATTAATAGAACTAGGCTTCGGAAAACCAAAGCTTTAATGTTGCAAGTGGCTAAAGGGTTGAAATAAGGGCGTAATCTTGTAAAGAAAAATCGATATTTTAAGTGATTTTTCCACACAAGCCCGTTCTATTAATTAATCATATAGTGAAAACGGCTTGCGTGGAAAAATTAGCAAAAAACACCTTTTATTTCTGTTAAGGAAAATCGAATTTTCCATATGTTATCCCCCAGGGGCCACTCGTAAATTTCTTTTTATTCTACTCAAAATAGATGTACTTTTCAACCCTCTTCGAGGCTTGTATGCGAAAATAGGGCACCTAAATCAGTCACTATCTGACGGTCTATTATTGACCTGCGTTATTTTGTTCTTGCGCTATTTTGTCAACAATATTTTGACCTGTTCCTTTTTGTCATGGGCCCTAATATTGAGTTTTTCGAATAAAAAAAATATATTTCCTTAGGTGATATGGTAAAATCCGTACTGTGTGTTCCTATTGTAACTCCAGATGGCGACTGTTACGCGGTTATCGAATTATACAGAGATCTGACCAATCCGCCTTTCAACAAAGAAGACTTGAAAATCGCCGTAGTAGTATCAGGATGGGTGGGGGCTGCGATTCACCAAAATCACCTCAGGATAGCATTGCAAAGACAACAGGAACTTAACGATTACCTACTAGATTTGACGAAATGTTATTTTGCCGAGACAGTAGCCATTGAAAATATGATAACTGAAATTGTAGTAGGTTTATTTAACATAATTAATCACTATAAATATAAAATTTTATGATATTTCGCGTTTATATTCAAATATATTTTTCAGAAATTTGCAAAAGCAACTCTTGGTGCTGAAAGGGGAACCTTTTTTATAATAGACGAAGAAACGCAAGACCTCGTAGCAGAAGTTTTTGAGGAAGGTGTAGGCGTTGGGGAAGTAACGATGCATAGAAAAAATGTTAAAGTGAGATTGGCAAAAGACAGAAGTATAGCAGGACTGGTGGCGCGAACGGGAGCTACTGTTAATATCAGAGATGCCTATAACGACCCAAGATTTTTCACTGACGTTGAAGAAAAAACCGGTTTCATCACTAGGTCTATTTTATGTATGCCTATTGTAAGCGTAGAACATATATTAGGTAAGCTCTTCAAAAACTAAAAAAAGAACCAATTAAACCGTAAAATTAAACAAAAATTTTGTCAGGGATTCCATAAATGATAAAATTATTTTCTGATTCCTAAAATAATATTGCGAACATATTTTTTCGTAGGTGTAGTGCAAGTTGTAAATAAAATAAATGGTATATGTTTCACCCCAGCAGATGAAAATTTGTTCAAAACCTTTTCAGTATACTGCGCGCTGGCCCTACACTATACAAGATTGCGTCAAAAAATGTTTAAAACGGTAACAAACTTACACTATACCTAGTACAGCTGATACTACCACAATTAACATCTCTAAAGATCCTTTAATAAATAAATAAAGACTGAAAAAGTATTTTTAGGAAAAAATAAACGAATCGAATTTGAAATTGCTGAAGATTCAACTAAAGCCATGCCCACACGACATGGAGGCCTTTGTGGGAAAGCCGGCAATAAATGTCCCTTTCAATTTTACAGAGTAAGTTTAAAATGAAAGATTGTCATTGTGACTAAATTTTAAGGTGCCCATTCCTTACTCAATTTTAAGACAAATAATTCATATAAACATAAGGCTTATTATGATTTTTTTTTTGATTCTTTATTCAATACAAATGTCCACCAATTTGATACTAATTTTCGTTCTCTATGAAGGTACTATTATTAAGACAGAAAACTTATATAAACGTAAGTCTATTTTTTTTTACTTTTAATTAAACTTATTTTTTTTGTTTAAAAGACTTCTTTATGCTTATATAAACTTTATGTTCTAAAATTAAGTAACTTCTTAAAGTTTGACCACATACCGCACCTCCAGAAGAACAATGACGCAAGTAAAACATTTAAAAATGTTCAGTTAATATGTCAGACGTGACCAAAATTATAATTTTCATTCCAATGCGACAACGACTTAATTGTAGTTCGCACGGGTGTCGGTAGGGGGAAGATGCGTCATTGTTCCATTTACCTATGAGAAACTACGACGTAATTGTCAGTTGTGTATTGAGACTAGATTGAGATGCACGTGTTCCGTTTGTTTTAGTATACGTAAGTTTAAATTGAAAATTATCATTCAGTATAAAACGTAATATTTCACATATATATTATTCTCATTACTTATACTTCGCCAAGACAGTATTGCCTTAATTAGTAAAAGACCACATCTGCGTGGCGAAGAATGGTTCTTAAATTCAACTGGGCGAACATTAGTATCGCCGCAAATTTCGTAGAGTACAATCGTGTGTATTCAAGCTTTGTGATAATTCGATACAAACCCGCAAATTACATTCCCGAACATTCAAATACCAGCCCTGATACAGTCCACGACCCTTGCAGCTTAGGGTGGACGCGCCAAGAAGAGAAGTCTGCGTCAGGAAGCCAAGGAAATTAAAGGTAGGACCTGATTGGCGAAGTTTTAAATTTTCTTTCGCGCGTGACATACCGTTAGCTTAACCATAGCCTATTCACCGTTACTATAATGACGCAATTGTTACTTCTCATCTGTTTTAAGGATTTTTGGTCAAATTATAATGGCAAAACGACGAAAGTGTTACTATTAAACTTTCTATTACATGTATTTTTCTATAATTGTTATATTTCTCAATAGACTACCCTCTTGAAGCAAAGAGTTGGTGGATATGGTTTTTAATAAATTAATTTTGATATTAAATTGTGTCATAATTATTAAAAAAAAAAAAATATGTCTCTAGGCTGCTTATTTTTAGATAATAAATTAAAAAATAAATAAATTGTAATTTCTGAGGAATTGATTTTTTTTGCACTTGTGTCGTTGTTCTTCTGGAGATACGATTACTTGTATAATACAACATCAATAGAAATATGTAACAACACCGCTTTTCCAGAAGAACATGTGCAAATTTTGACCTTCTGAGTTAAATAATTTATGGTATGATTACAAAGGAAATTGCATTTCACCGGTGGAAGCACAAAAACTAGAATACATTTGTTTTCTCGAAATTCCTTTCGATTATTTCCAAACTGTTACTTAAGGTCTCAGTTGCAAGTTTCGTATTATTTTTTTCTACTTGCGTTTGTCCGAAGAAGCGATATATATCCACTCGTACAATTATCTATAATTGCATTTCAAGAGTTGTATTAAATCATTCATTATGTTGCGAAACAAAATAATATTTTGAATCTTGACGTGATAAAAGTGTTTTAGAAACGTAGGTAACCTTATAGGCTTAAAAATTAAATAATTCACCTTGGTTTGTTTTAGCTTTAAATGGTATATTGCCCCAGAAGAACATCCTGATATGCCACAATTGTTACTATTCATGATTACAGATGTCGTTGGAAGAGAGGATATTAACCAAAAGAGTTTGATGGAATTCATACTTTCTGTGAGAAAGTGTTATCGTAATAATTATTATCACAACTTTGAACACGCCTTTAATGTTACGCATTGTATGTATAACATTCTGAGAAGGAATAGATCAGCATTTACCGAGATCGAGGTAAAATTTCAATCAGATACAGACCCTCGATGTTTTCAACTGAAAGAATTGTAAGAACCGGAAATAACCGTTTTCTTTTTTAGATAAAATCGCTATTGATCGCAGCTTTGTGTCACGATTTAGACCATGGAGGGTTTACGAATAATTACCTTCAATTAACTGATGACACTTTGGCACAATTGTATGACGAATCAATTCTAGAAAACTATCACTATCGTATAGCCATGACTATTTTTAGTGTGAGTAAGCGAGAAAATAATTTATATAAATACAAATCAAATGTATTAAAAAAAAAAGAACTTAATTGCAACTCAAACGTGACGTAAAATGAAATAGATGTGACTATCTCCCTAGACCAAATATCAGCAACTATTTCTCTAGAGAAGTAGTCAATATTTGGTCTAGTGAAATAGTCGTCCCAAATATAACACGACCTTGATTAATATTTTGCTATTTTTGTTGTTGCTAAATTTCTCGAACATTTTACAATTTGATTCTACATAATTTTGGCATTAATAAGCAACTGATTAAAGCCCTCGAGCTAAAGGTCTCGGGCTCTAATTAGATTATTATTGCCAAAAATTATGTCTCATCAAATTGATATTAAAATATTCTAGAGATTTAGATTCAACAAAAATAGCCGATTATTATCAAGGTCTTGGTATATTACCCTTGACCATATCTCAGGTAGAAAGCCTGCGTGCAAGATTATGTGTCGCTTTACCTCACCATTAGTATGTTTTATTGATTTTATATTTTCATCTTGCCATATTCTTTTCGTCCCACCTTTGGAAAATATCCAGGTTTCATCCAAATATATAAACGAAGCTCCATTCTCTTTTAAACGAGTGTATTCTCTTAAAAAATGTATTCTTTTGTGAACAACATTATTTTTTTCACATAAAGCTTTTCTGTTATCTTTTTTCTTAAATTTGAAACCTATTTCCTTAAGCAACTTCCAAAGACTTGTTCTGCCAAATTCACCAATTTGTATTTCTCTTAAGTTAGCCATCAATGTGTCTAAGTTGACATGTTCCTTGTTCGCACGCATTTCATACACCATATCACGAATACGAAATTTTGTCCCACCAGATATATCCGACGTTTTCAGTTTTTTTGCGAGGTGTGTATTTTTTCTTTTTTTTTGCTCTCTCCGCTTTTGACGTTTTTCAAAACATATTTTAATTTTGAATCACTCACTACTGGCTTTAAAGGTCCTCCGTTATCTTTTTCCGCCGTAAAATACTTATGTAGATTACAAATTAAGTCATCTACACGTAACACGCGCTTCGGCATTTTCAGTTTCGACATACGTTCTCTTCGAAATCCAAAACTGAACTAAATAATTTAGCGCAATTAGTCCTATACCATCAGTACAAAAATAGAACATTTAATCTTAATTTTATACCTGGGAAGGGGACTTCCGGAAATTCCTGACCATAAAGCGTTTATTGTATTTGGGGAAAATGGTATTACCATAAACAATGTCCAAAACAAAATTATAAATATTTTAATTTTTTCGTGTATTACTTTAGTAATTTAATTTTAATAAACATAATTACATACTATATAAGTATTTAATAATTAAAATATATTCACCCTCTACCCACCGGAGGACTACGCTTATTTTACTCAACTACCTGATGCGAAATTATCCTGTAGACCGGCTCAGTCGTGCATCTGTTTCTTAATCCGATATGGGTGTAAATTCAATGAATGACCTATAGCACATTTTCCTAAAAATTTAAAATATTTTTTTAGGGAATAACCATTTTCAACAACTTAACTGCACAAGATTATGAAGTTATAAGCAAAGAAATGAAAGAAGCGATATTAGCAACCGACTTGGCGAGTTATTTCAAGTTTCGAGTAAAGTTAATTCAACTTATCAACGATAATTTATTGGATTTAACTCATTCGCGGCATCGAACCCTGGTCAAGGCAATCATGATGACAAGCAGCGATTTATCTGGCAACTGTAAATCGTTCGTTGTGGCGAAAACTGTCTGCGAGAATGTTTTAAGTAAGTTACAAATTATACTCTCCAACGAGCTATAAGATTTACCAATATTTTTTTTTTATTTAGAATCATATAAAATCATTTTTTGTAGAGGAATTCTATCATCAAGGGGACTTAGAAAAGAAAATGGGTCTAACGCCGCTTTCTCTAATGGACAGAGACAAGTCCCAAATGGTACCGGAAGATCAAGTGCAGTTTCTGTCAGTAATTGTATTACCTTGCGATGAGTTGCTGGCTAATATTTTTCCAAATACAATTGATCTTCACATTGAAGCATCGTAAGAACTTCTCTTTTAAATAATTGTTTTTGTCTAATTGCCAAAAAAGATGACATTTATTGCTACGGATATTTTTTAATCCTGAAAATTTTTCTTTACTTATCTTCCGGACTCAAATTAGTATATAGAGTGAGTCAAATTAAAGTTTATTGAAGTATACGGTGTAATAAATACAGAATAATACATAGTAATGAAAAATATTTTTACTTCCATTAAAATACTTTCCCTTTTAAAATTTCCTAATGATTATTTATTTTGATTCGTTATACATTAAAATTTGCAAATCAAAACCCAAAATCAATAAAAAGGAACCAAAAACTTTTTTATTTTATGAAATTTGTAATGAATAATTTTTTATACTATTTAGTGATAACAAAAAGAAAAATAACCCATGCCAGAGCTAAATTCTCCTTTTTAAATTAATTTGCAATTTAGCAGAGGCATTTCAATTTGCAAAGCATTACTTAAAATCAAAAAGAAACCAAAATCTTTATTATACTAAATTTGTAATGAATAAAAACATTTTTTGTACTACAGGGTGATAAAAAAAGTCATGTAGGCACATTTCTTTTTTTATATGACAGTTTGGAATTCATTTAGAGACATTTTGCAGTTATCACGGTGCTTTTAATTTTAGTCATCTTAATTTATATCGAACTTCTTAAAATTAAAATGCCAAATGAATTATTTTTTCTCCCGTTGAAAGCTACATTCCTAGCTCTGGCATGTTAAAAGTATGCTCGTAGAGAGCAGTTGGTAACCCTGGTGTGTTAAAAGTATGCTAACATTCGTAAAAGTGGCCAGAGTTGGCTTCCAAAGCAAAAAATTTGAATGTGAAATTTCAAAGATGCCGCTACTAAGTGTTTTTTTTTACTTCCCGTTTATCTCTGTACAGTTTTCTATGAATTTCAAGTTTGCAATCCATCTTAAATGAGTCGTTAAATTATCAGACATCCGTAAAACTGAAACAAACTTTAAAACTACATAAAAATTGACGTTTCCATGGTTACAAAAGTCAAAGTAACAATCTCATGCACCGTTGAGAACTGATTTCGAGCACTTAATACAAAAATAACTATTTTTGCTAACAATTTCTGTATTTTAGACTCTTGAAGAAGACATGGCAAGAGATAATAAGTCTAAAAGGACAAAAGAGCTGGCGTCAGGATGACTCGGTCGTAGATCAAACAGATTTCTTACAAATAAATTTATTTGAGTAAATACAACTGACAATAACTATACATACAATAATAATTATAGACTATTTTTTATACAAAAAAATTAAAGCACGGAATAATCAATATCCCAAAGTGTTTTTTTTTATACCCAAAAAAGGTCAGTTCACAGTAGTGTTTTTAACAGACTTATTAATAAAAAATTTATTTATTTTTCTAACACACCATTTTTCACTCGATATATTTATTACAAAAACATATCTGTAACTGAGAGTTGAATTATTGCATCCAACACAGTGCCGTAAAAAATGGTAAGCAAAAAAAAATTATATACATTTAACCACCAAACTCTAATTCTTACTTAGAAAAATATACAAATATATTCAGAACCTAATATCTATGAGAAATAATGCACATAATATAAAATCGAATTAAAGAGAAGGATGGAATAATATAGCTAGGCATTTATTACTTTATGTATTGCGGATTTTCCCGGGCACGTAGTTTCTGTCGATTTCAGGTTCCTGCAGAAACATATGCAGGCATCTTTCGTTTTGAGCCAGTGGATGTCCGGCAATTCTAAAACCATATAAAACATAAATTAATGTAAACATGAAAATTTGGACCCCATAACTACTACTACCCCTCAACATAAATAAGTGTGCAGTATTGCACATTGGGCCAAATAAATCCCACACACAATACACCATAGATACAAACTCACTAACTCCAGTCAACACAAAAGGATGTTGGTGTAATCATATCTAGAGACTTAAAATGGAAAACCCACATTGCTAATTTAGTGAAGAAAGTCAACAGTCTCATTCACATCCCCAACTAGCCATTCATAAAAGTGTATTTGTTGTGAAGTTCTCATCATCATCTATTGTATAGTCCAGGAGACAGTGACGATTTTCGGTATTTATTTTCCCAGTCAGCAAGCACGAATAGAGAATTGTAGGATTAGCAATTCTAAGCAAAATTCATATATATATTTAGAGGGGGGATCCGATGGGCTGAGGCCGAAAATGCGTCAAAACATACGAGAACAAGGCCCTTTTTTTCCATTGATAAAAATCGTTTTAGTAGTAAGAGATGTACTGAAGTTAAGTAAAAAAATAGTCTGATTAATCTGTATGGATAATATATTTGGCAAGTGCATAAAATACACTTTCAAACGAGTTATGTACACAATTATTTCTACGACCACAATTATTTAAAGAATGTTCCAGGTGTTTTGTATATTAAAGTGTATGCATAGGACACATAAATAAAATCTTATATCACAATGTTTCACCTAACCAGTTGGTTTATGTATAGAAATTAAACATAATAATTGAAGATATTACAGAAGAAAATAGGGAAATAAATTACATTTCCTTTTACACTTTTATATAATAATTGTTTTATTTAGAATTCACGAATCACTTATTACTACATTAATTATAATTATTGTTAGTTTCGTTATGTCAAATCATTTATACTAGAGGTGTGAGGAAAATACAGTGAACTGTGGAACGCCAATATCGTTGGATGCGCGTGGTAGAAATGGTCCTATAATACTGCTAAAACATAGCTAAATTTTCATGGAAACACTGTACTTTTGACATTTACGATACTCCGACGCATATGCATTATTGATGTAATCTCATGATTTTACAGTAATAGTTTTTGCAATTTTAGTGTAATTTTTAGGTTATTATGGTTATTCATTTTATTTGGTTCTGATCTTTTGCGCTTTTAGAGTATTTGTCTTTTATATAGTTTTTAATTTGAATTTTAATATTGTGGTCTATTTATATTTGATTGCTGCTTTTCGACTAGTGCTTTATTCTTTTTGTGTTAAAATAAGCTTTATAACCATTAATTACAAGCTTCTAGTTGATATCTACCTAATCGTCATCAGGTGCTTGCAACAATGGGAAAAAGTGTATGGTTTTTTTGGTGTAAAGTTAGACGCCTTCATTTTTCAGGTAAGTTATTTGTAGTTATTTTTTACTTAAAAGGATAGCAATACGTCCTGGTTCGGGGTATGACTTTTGGGTTTTAGCTATCTGAGCCAAATTGTCGGCTAAGTGTCCTCTTTTAGGGCACCCAGAACCGAAAACTATATAGGTATATAATGTTTTTTTTTTTTAATTATTTTTTAATATGTATGCAGCTTGGATGAGGGCTTTGGGAAAAGATCCTAAGACTGGACACTGACTGCTATAAATGCCGTTTTTAGAGCACATTTCATAGTAAGTGATTTCATTCTAGCAGCAATGAGGAAACGTTTAAAAAACATGCTGTACCAACTATTACTTTAAGACCTCGTCTCTTTAAGTTATTATTACTTCATTCTAATGCATATATTAAAATGGTTTTTAACTTATGTCCTTATGATTAAAAGATGTAGGTATTTTAGTTACGTTATAATAGAAATATATGATACTTTGTATTGACTGACCTACTGGCCACTGGTCATTCCACTTTTACTCCCTTTTTTCATAAATTATGAAATTATTTAAAAACAAATACATACCTAGCTATTTTCTGTAAATTACATTAAAATTTTAGTATTAATACTTTACTAATAAAACTTCAGTTAATTTATCTTATATATATATACACAACGGAAGAGTTAATTGGATTTTCTCCTTGTTGAGTTTCAAAAATAGTAATTTAACATGATTTAAAAACAAATACATGAAATGGGCAAAATAGACCTGCAAAGGCACTTTGTAAACAATCTCACTTGTATCGATGTGACGTAATGCGCGAATTCAATCTGGCTTACTTTTGTTAATAGATTGGCGTTCCATTTTAAATATACAGTTAACCGGGAATAGATTATTTGAATATACACGGACCGGGAAAACAAGTACGAAAAAAGTCACTGGCTCCTGGACTCGTACTGTATCGAAGGAAGTTTTATGAATGAAACAATATACGACCCTCCACAATTGCGGTCTACTCTACTTCCGCTGTTGTCAGACATTTTTTTTTTTTTTTGACAATTTAAAGACCTAACAGTAATTCAAGCAAACGCAATAACATTACTACAGTTAAAAACATCGCAAACTTGGCATCAATATTTTAATTTTATACAAATATTGCATTTCTGTCGAGGATCATCTGCGTTGACTTCAGAAATTGTGTAATCTCTATTTGCTTTTAAATGCCTAATTGAAGGAATATATGATTTTATTAAAAAACTAAAGGCCTTCATTATTTTATGTAAATAAGATTAAAAATTTTCGATTGCAAGAAAACTTACTTATTAATGAACACTTCTAGACCTTTTCTTCTATCTTCAATAAAATCTTCTTCAAAAATCCCATCATCTCCCCTAAATGGTAGTTGTCGCTTCCATGCTTTTCCAGGTAAAGGTGGCACAACAATTTTACTATCTCTTTCTAATTCATTCCTAAGCCATTCAAAATCACTGTATCGCCGTCTTACACTTGATTCTTTGACTTTAAACACTGGTAGATTTGTCTAAAATTAAATAAACAAAATAAAAAAGTTGACTTAAGTATTTATAGTTAAAAAGGTTGTTTTGAACTGGAAATCATTGTGACAATTTTGAGAATTTAAATTTAACTTGTTTAATAATAGGATTAAAATCAAAGAATATTTATTTAACAGAAACTTTAATGTGCAATTAAAAACATTTTTAAAATATCTTAATTATAGGAAGTATGATTTAAGGCAATTTGATAAATACAATTATCACTTGTATTTAATAATATTATTCAGCTGCTTTTAAACTAATTGATTTGTTAATTTAATCAAATCCTGAAAAACTAACCTAACTTTGAGTTTTTATTAAAACAGCAATCGTAATATATAGTGTGTTAAGAAAAGTCCACACCATATGAAAAACTTTATTGTTGATTTCACAGAAAATTTAATTGTAGATAAAAAATTGTGCAAGAACTAAAACCCAATATAACTAAAGTGATTAAGTTTAAATTTTCTGTACTATATATTAAAAAAATATGAGGTTGGCTCAATAATTTATAATCAATATTTAACAGCAAATATAAAACCCAGATAAAAAAACTATATTCATATAAATAAAAAATTAATTCAAACAAACTTATAATAAATATTTTCCATTAATAAAGACATCTCTGAAATCCTAAATTATAACTGAATTTCACATTATGTATGAATGTAGATTAATTACATTGTTATATTTTTACTTTCATGATTATCTTTTTATTTTGTTTTAACTTTTATATTCAAATAGTTTTAGTTTGCTTTCAAATATTCAATACAAAATAACAAGATCATGTGTACCTATCACGGTGGACTATAAAGGTGCACCAACTCTCATTTAAAAACAAATGAAAACGGTGTATTATCTAGCAAAAATCCGCTAGGGTCTATCCGGCGAGAAAGTAAACAAAAGGTAAAAGTAGGAGCTGCAATTTGAAAAGTGTTGACAAAATAAATCATGGTGAATTGTTGTGCTGTTTTTAATTATTGTGATTATGGGCGAGGGTCTTCAACTTAATAGGAGTTTTATAATGCCAAAAAAACAGTTATACAGAATATTGTGCAAATTATTTATTGGTGGTATGAAAATAAACATTAAACCCAGAAGTTCCATTTGTGACAAACATTTTAATGCAAATTATGTTATCCATGAAAAAGTGCTAAGAAATCTACTAGGAAACGTTATTTTTCAAGTAAATATGTTTAATGTCTACGTTTTAAATGATTGTAGGTTATGTAAATAGGTTATTCAACTTTGTCTTTTCTGTAATAAAAAGAATTATTAGCATAAAGTTTTACTATATAAATAATATTTCGTATTATTTATCCTGTCTCCTTGGTACTAATAATGTTATGACTTGGACCCTATAATAATGTTTTCATGATATAAATTTCATATACATAGGTATTTCTTTTGATATTTTTCTGACCCAGCCAATAAATAAAATCTTTTGACTTATTCCTTTTAGCCTGATTACAATGCTAGAAAGTTGTATATGGTTATATGAATCAAATAGATACTATGATAAATTTATTTTACTTGTAGCCTTTTTATTTTTAAGTGTTAAATATACATTTGTTTAATAATAATCATCCCCGAATGTGTTTTGTTCCAGTTCTTTAAATGTATTTACTAGGTTTTTATAGAAGTACTGATTTTAAATTAATAAAAATTTGAGTTGTAAGAAATATTTAAGATTTTTCTATTCTGTATTTTTATAGTAGTTAATTCCTTTAAGTAAATAAATATAGTTCGGGGTCGAAGATGTTGGTGATTTGTGTATTGAATAATTTGTACATACACTGGTTAATAATTTAAACAATGTTTTTTCTGATGTACCTAATAATTATTTAAGGTAATCTTGTAGTTGACGGGTCTAGAAATGCGTATATTCACACCACTCTGCACTGAAGTCTAGAATTTGACACAAATTTGAATTTTCTAAATATCACTATTGAAAGGTATTATTGACATTAAAAATAACGATCGTATTACTTGAAAATCTTCAGATTTTATTTTTTATTTTTATGGGATTTTTAATCGATGTAAAAATTGTTAAATAGATGATTAAAAGTAAAAGTTATTTCAATATGCTTATTCCGTGGTTCCAAATAATTAAATATAACCTTGCAACTATATGTTACGATTCCAACAATCAGAACTAGCTGGAACAAGAATGGTGGAGATAGGTGCATTTCCAGACCCTTCAGTTACAAGATTACCATTATTTAATATATAAAAAAAAACTACCTAAAAAATGCTGTTCCTGCTTTCATTACTTACGATGGGACGACTACTTCTCAAAGGAGACGAGAATGTGGAAAGTATTGCTGATACAGTTACCGAAGTTATCCACTGGGGATGAAGTGTTAATCTTTTAGGAATATAGGAAATATTTTTTTATACCTAACAACTTAATATTTATTTATTGATAAGTTATAGATACTATGTATTTGAAATTCAAAGTAATTATTATGACACAGCAGTGTTCTTTTATTGTATTTGGATTCTAACACAAATAAAAAATCTTATTAAATTTTTGTTAAAATTATTAATTTATTAATTTTACATTAGAAAGAAAATTAACAATACACACAAAATTATTTAAAATTAGAAATAAATACAATTTACACATTTCCCATTATTACACTTTTACATACTTAATTTATTCATTTATTATATTAACAATTTAAATTAATAATATAGTTCATTATTTAATTGGAACTCATTTTATAATTTTACTAATTATTTTTTATATTTATTTGTGGAAAATGATATATTAGATAAAAGCATAGAAAATGTTCTATTAGATAATACCAGTATTGAAAAAATAAGTAGGAAAAATTCTGGCCAGGGACATTACAAATACAAAAATTTACTATGAAAATAATTTTTTATAATATTAATCCTTAAAAGTAATGCAAATAAAGTAAATAAACCAAAAAGAAAAAATGTCTACCAAAATTAACAGATGTATACTTCAGGGTTAATTAAGACAGTGCCCCTCTGGAGGGACAAATACACTGAAAGGGTTAAATATTTACAAATTTTCACCAGTGTTTCATCACCTTTAACTTTGATAACTCATTAAAACATTGTATTTAAAAGTTCTTGAAAATCTTGTGGAGGGAACCCACTCTATATTTCTAGATTACCCATTTGCTTTAATTCTGGCACTGATCTTGTGGGTGCTGCACGCCTCTGCTTAAAAATAATTATAACCCTGTATACAAAAAAGCATCTTTATTAAATGAACAAGAAACTAAAAAAAAAAAAAAAAAAAAAAAAAAATAAGCATTAAAAACTACAAAAAGTGCATCATTTGAAAATCCATATTCAAGCTCCAGATTTGTAAAATTTTAAAAATTCCAAATACACACTTAACTAGTTTGATTATTTATTGAATAAGAGGTCTGTTCCAACTATGATCAGAAACAAATCACTGGGTAGTACACAATTTTGCGGTCTCAATAATCTACTGTGCAGAATCCTGTAACTCATTTCTGAGCATTGTTGGAAGGAATAGATCTAAAGTAAATCATAACCACTTAAAAACAAGTGCAACATTTAAACTCAAGCATAATTTTTAATTGCTATCAAAAATTTTAATTACTAAATATTTTGTTCTAGGTATATTAAAATTTAAAAGTTCTTACTCTTCATTATAATTATATTTTCCCTAGATACCTACATACCATCTAACATTTTACAAATTTGATGCCTAATTAAAGATTTCATCTAGAACTTTTTATCAAGAATATTGTTTTTGTAAAACAGTTTTCACATTTGTATAAATCTACATCTGTCACATTAGAATAACAAGATTGTATCTAGAAAGGCAGTTATTTTTTGGAAATCATAGTTGAAGTTTATATAGCCAATACCTTGTTCGATTTTCATTGTGTTTCTAACTCTAATTTAAGAGAAAATCCTATGTGCTAAAAAATGCAGAAAGAACCACCTACATTTTTTAGAATATTTGATAAAGCATAGTAGTAACTCCCAGTTAAAACTTTGTTTCTAGTATTTAGTTTAGGTAATGGAGAAAACACTTATAAGAGAAAATAATGGTTTTGTATACATGCTTTTGTTAATTCAGAATTTTTAAATGTTTTATGTTATAAATCTTTCTAGGGATCCTATACCAATGTTTTTATAATTTTCAATCAAAACTGTTTAAAAACAAAAAGTTAAATAATAAAAAAATACCCATTGTATTTAATACATTTTATGCTCTGAAACTCATTGTTCTTTTAATGGCAGATTTTTTCACCTCCAATAAAGTTACGCGTAAGTACAATCTATAGCCTAATCAGCAAGTAGTTACTTTCAACTTTATTCAGTGGCAAAAACATGGCTCTTAATTTTAATATAATTGGGGGATAATGAAGATCTAACTACTATAATGACACTTGCTAAAAACTGTATAAGTTCTATGTACATGCAGATAGAAACATGTGAATAGCTTTAGTGTTTTGATAACACACTGTAGAGTAACATTGATAATTAACAGATGAATGTATTGGTCACAAAAACAAATTATATTCTATCAATTGATAATTAACAGATGAATGTATTGGTCACAAAAACAAATTATATTCTATCAATTTTTCCAAAAAGTGCAGTTGCAACATTGTTATTCTGTGAGGAGATGTATTTAATACTGATATTAATAAAAATAATAATAATTGATATAGGTACTTACTGATCTTTGGAAACATATATACTCCAGTCCAGTGAGACTTCATTATTCTGGTATAATGCTATTTCACAGAAATGTTTGCAATTCCAATCACTATGTATGGATTTGATTATAGTAGGTATAAAACTAAATGTTTATTGAATATCTTTAATCTGGGCAATGAAAATCACAAAACTCACTTTAAAAATAATAAGCTTTAATCTGAGTACCATAGTTAAGGTCCACTTCTTCATTTTATAATCAGTAACCCACTGTATTGCTGTTTTTGCCAAAGCCAAAGGTAATATTTGAACTTTGAACACAAAACAAAATCAGCTGTTTTTTACATACACCCTATTTCACTTATTTAGCAGTAACTTGTAACTTAATTGGAGCATATTTATTAAATCTTGAACACTTTTTTTGTTCGTATAATCGCACACATCAGTGTATTTAGTAGTAGCTTGTATAAAAAAAAAAACACTTATAAGTAACCATCAATAACAATAAACTTATTTGTTGATCATTAATTTTTTCACCTTTACTTCTTCTGATAGTTTTGTCATTTTTCCTTTTATATAAACTCGCATTTTTACCACAGAAGAACTATTTTTATGATTGCACTTCTTCTGACAGATACAAATATTGCAGCAATTTTCCGCCGTAACGACACTAGCGGATTTTTGGACCTAACTACGCCAGGTTTTGGTATGTTTTTTTTTTTTTTCAGGGAGTTGAAACACCTTATAGTCCACCATGGTACCTATTTATATATCAAATATAGGTTATGAAATGCCTCTATCATCCTCTATTCTAAACAAATTACCTACATTTCTGCAGAAGCCTTACAAAATGACAGTAATGATCTGAGACATGTAGTATTTTTAAAAACTTGGAATCGCCCTAAACTACAATTCGCTATGAAGGTACCTAGTTATTACCAACACTAACCACATTCTATAATTTATAACATTAAGTTGACCATCTGAATAAAAAATGAAAGATCCTTAGGTCTTAATTAACAGAAATCATAAAATCAATTATCAGGCTCACATTATCCAATAAAAATTCTTTCCTGTCGGTAAATGAAACCTTATCATAAAGGGGAGTATACTTACTCTCATTTTAACCTCGTAATCTGTAAACCGTTTCTTGCCAACTCCAATTGTAGTAACAGGATTAACGACATCGATTTCTAGGAAATTAGCAGGAGCTGCATATGCATCGTCCAAAGTTTGCTTTTTTACATTTAATCTTCTTGTAGCTTCAACCGTTGCATCGGATTCCGCCATCATTCTGAACTAATATTGGAAGTATTCAACAATTACAATTAAAATAAGGTATAACTGAATCTTCCACTTAATAAGTATTAGTTTACTTACGAGTATATTATTTATTGAGAGAGCAGCAAATCAGGTTTTTTTTTGGATAATTAAGACTGTTATTTTTCAAAGAAAAAACTGACAAAAAACTAACACAGAAGTGACGGCTCCGTGCCGAAATCCGAAATGAAATGACAGATGACATTTATTTGACGTCTGATTTAACGGACATAGACACCAACCTTAAAATTTTTTTTATCACCAATCACCCACCGCCTCTCATATGCAGGGCTGCCAGGATGAAAATTACAAATCGTACTGAAACATTTTTTAAACGTACTAAATCTCAAAAAACGTACTGAATAACCAACTTTAAAAAAAGATTTATTTTATGAAAATGTACCAACACCTAAAAGGGCTGGAGTTTTAAATTCATTAACTATTAAACAACTTCTAATGAAAAATTTTAAAAATTCTACAATTTTACCCTTTAGAAACGAAGATATAAACAAATGAGCACAATATGACGAATAATAAGAAAGTGAAATAAAAATTATATTCTTGTGGTTTTACACTTATTTGATTTTATAATCTTTATTGTATAACAAAAAAAAACATCTTTACTATTTTACTATCCAAATTACAGCCAATTTGAAATAAATTATTTAAACTGTCAACTCTCATCCATCTTTGATAAAATACGTGTCTCTCTATTCGAAAAATGTCCAAATAGTATTGAATTGATTATTTTATTGATACATGCAGCGTTTGAGAATCCACATCGGACACCATGGAGGAAGGTCGGTCACATCCACAAAGCACATAGAGGTTCCACGTGAATGACCAAGGTCAAAACCGACAACTGACATTTTTTATGCTATTTGCTCCAAACTCTAGATGGGGCTACTGGTGAAATTATGATTTCTTACTCCATTTTTAAGCCTTATGGGAGAAAAACTTAACCAAAGACTCCAAAGATGTGACGTGTATTTATTTATGTTCTTGGTTAGTTTCATTTTTCCGTCTGATTTTAGTGATTTTTTGTTGGCTTTGGCTTTTGGTTTCTGTTTATAGTTTCGTCTTAGTTATTTGCAAAATTGTGATGTTTCGCTTTTTTATTTCCTACTGTGTTTTGCAATAATTTTGGTGCTACGTTGAAAACTTTGAGAAAAACTTCATTGATTCACCATATATTCACCATGCATCTGCATCATAAAAAGACAAACGGGGACAACAACTAATTGATAATCAATTTATCACTGGACTAGATTCCGAAATCATTTTTCACATAAGAGAGTAATACCACCATCTGTATTGGAAGGAAAATACCTATTTATCATTGAATGAATAGTTAAAAGGACTCACCTTTTAATACAATACCTATATTACATTTGTCCTCAGTTAAAAAGACATTTATAAAATATATAACTTTAGTGTTAATAAAATGTAATATCCTAGTCTCTACTTCACATTTAAATTATTGATAGGTACCTATTTTAAAGATTTGATTTGCTCCAAGTAAGTATTCGTTAAATATGTATTATTATTTGTATTTAATTTTATCTAATAATATTTATTTAAGTTATTAATAAACATATTTTAAGAATGTTCTATTTTATTATTTATTGATATATCTTATATTTATTTAATAAAAATATGCAGAACCAACTCTCCTTATAACCCCTTATAACAAATTAATTCTTCAAATTTGGTATAATCGACCTAAATTATTTTGTAAAATAAAAGTTTCGAACTTACTAGTTCCATACTTTATTTTATAAAATAATTTATGTGGAAATCATTTAAAATTTAATTTAAAACTACTACCTACTCCTAAAAATTACAATTTGAATTTACCGCCATCTGTCAATTGTCATTTTAGTTCCAGCTCCAAACACAAGGTGGCGCTAATTTGGTTTAAAAGTTTAACATTGGCGTGGGGTCTCTAGAAGATACATGCTTTGTGGTCACATCTGTCCCATTACATTTACGTATACTGAATCACGTGATCAAAGAGTTTTTACATCTTAGATGCATCCGATGTGGATTCTCAAACGCGGCATCAGATGCATCCGATGTGGATTCTCAAACGCGGCAAAAATATGTCACTTTATTCGAAAAATTTCCAAATAGTACTGAAAATAGTACTAAATTGACTATTTTTAACAAAATTGTACTAAAACTAACAACGTAACACGTACTAAAAAAATTGAAAAAGTACTGAATTCAGTACTTTTTCAGGCTGTCCTATCAAGGTAAATGCCCTGCCCCTTATTTGCCCTATGCAAATATAGATGTTCTGCGTGTGCAAATATCCGAACGCGACTAGGAAGCTTAGGGAATTACCGATTTTTATATTTCGTTTATTTTTCTCGCCAGGTGCTTGCGAAACAGCGTAATGTGAACGTGAACATAACCCTAAAGTTTAATTGGTTCTTTCCGTTTTAAAAATCATATTCTAAATATATGGTCCATTTCTTCGTATAACTTTAAATCATAAATTTATTAAATTAAATGAACGTCTATCAATTTTGAAAAATTATAATTATTTAACTTAAAAAAATGAAGAAACTTTTATTTTTTAATCATTTACTCGGAATTGCATATGCGGCGTTTGTTTTAAATAATTATTTACCTACTTGTGACTATGCCTTAAAGAAACATGACACCATCACCGTTGTTAGGTAAGTACTTTACAAAATATAAAATAATAAGAGCTTTTTATTGAATGGCTGTAGTACATATTGACAAAAATTTTTGATTAGATTTTTCAAAAATTTAAAAAAGAATTATATCTTATGTTATCGGCTCGGTAGCGCAGTATGTTCGAGCCGTCTGTATTTAATTACGAGCCTTTTAATGGTTTGATGAACACGGTTTCCGATCCTAGAGCAGACTATGTGAATTTTTAATTAATTTGCATGGTTCGTTGTAGGGTTTGATGGGTGCCGTATTAGCAGCAATTTAATTTCTGTTGATACGTCATCCAGAATACAAATCGCAGTGGGTTACCATTTCGTTGATGGTGGGTGAGGTTTTCTGGGTTTTCTTCACCTTTAAGTTAAATGGCACATCAGTTATCTTTGAGTTGCCCCGGAGCCCCACAGCAAATAATAGCTGATGGCATTTCCTCACACAATTTCAGTCAGCTTCAGGGGTTAAAATTCACTTGTATGTGGATGAATTTAGGGAGATTATTATTATAGTATCGCTAAAGATGCAAGGTCCATTAATGGGACCTTAACTATTTAATAATATTGTTTTTAAGGGTAATTAAATATTAGGCTTTAGAGTATTGTGACCAAGATTTTTGTATGTATTTCTTATCTACATTATTATTTTTAGTCATATTTTTGAAAGTCTATTTTTTTTTAAAATTATATTTGACTTAAGTAGTATGATATTTTTTATATGCATCCTTGCCTTAATTCTCATAGTGAATCACTCCACTTCTTTGTAAAAATCATATTTTGTGCCATTTGGTAACAACACAGAAACTGTTAACCGTATCTTTCAAATTAAATTGGTTCCTTAGTTATTTTAAAAGTAGAATACTAAGTATATTATTTCCTGCCAGAAGAATGCATAAATGCATGTAGATCTCATGTAAATTTACTGTTTGCACATGCATCTGTGATTTGTAACTTATTAACTATATGCAACAGCTTATTTTTCACCGCGAAGTGCGCCTGAAAAATATATGGAGTTTACTGAAAATTTGGAGAACCTATCAGAACAATATCTGGAACATAAACTCTGTATCCTGGGAGACTTTAACGTTCCGTACTGACAGTGGTTCAATGATAGATTGGCACAGGTCGCTGTACCTTTGGATGGAGTTCCTCCAAATCAAGTTGAATTCATACAAATTCTTTCATTTTTATGCTTTTATCATAATCTTCATCAAGTTAACAACAAAAATATACTCGTCTATACAGATAGCAGACAAGCTTTACTCACCCTGGACAGACCAGGAATGTATTCAGGGTTAGTACTAGAATGTCAAGAAGCTTTGTCCGAATTATTCAACAATGTGGTCATCTTAAGATGGATCAAAGGTCATGCCACATCGAAAGGTAACCATCTTGCTGATTCACTGGCCAAGAAGGCAGCCAACCAAATACTTTTTAGACCTGGCCCTTCTATTAGACTGACAACATCGGTAGTGATAAATCTAATTAAAGAACATTCCCTTGTGAAATTTAAGAAAAGATGGGATGAAACAAGAAGCTGCAGACTTGCCAGAGAACTTTTAAGTTATCCTGACAACACGACCGCGAACAAAATACTTGACTACGACTAGACAGAATCTGTGTCTGATTACAGGCATTCTGACTGGACATTGCCAATTATATCATGGGGCTGTCAGAATCCGCACTCTGCATGTCGTGCGAACAAGAAGATGAGACCGTCGAGCATATCCTCTACGATTGTCCGACGCTCTCATTTATTAGAACATTTGTATTTAGCTGGAATTGGCTAACACTGGCCGATATAAAAGAAGCACCTCTTGGCGACGTTGTCAACTATGTTAAATTTTTAGGCTGGCTCACAAGCCAGGAGGTGCCTATCTACTTAGGAGGATGCACAAGGGGTCTAGTGAGGCCTAAGTGCCGTGGGTTAACCCCATAGATATATAACCAAGACAGATAGGATTATTTACAAAATTTTTGAAGAATGAACGGTGGTGTCCGCGGTAGAAACTCAATAATCGGATTGAACATTGATGCCAAGTTTACGTGCTTTTAACTATAGATATATATAACCAATACAGATACAATTTCTGAAGTCAACGCGGATGATCCTCGACAGAAATGCAATATTTGGATAAAATTAAAATATTGATGCCAAGTTTGCGATGTTTTTAACTGTAGTAATGTTATTGCGTTTGCTTGAATTACTGTTAGGTCTTTAAATTGTCCAAAAAAAAATAATGTCTGACAACAGCGGAAGTAGAGTAGACCGCAATTGTGGAGGGTCGTATATTGTTTCATTCACAAAAATTCCTTCGATACAGTACTAGTCCAGGAACCAGTGAATTTTTTCGTACTTGTTTTCCCGGTCCGTGTATATTTAAATAATCTATTCCCGGTGAACTGTATATTTAAAATGGAACGCCAATCTATTAACAAAAGTAAGCCAGATTGAATTCGCGCATTACGTCACATCGATACAAGTGAGATTGTTTACAAAGTGCCTTTGCAGGCCTATTTTGTCCATTTCATGTATTTGTTTTTAAATCATGTTAAATTACTATTTTTGAAACTCAACAAGGAGAAAATCCAATTAACTCTTCCGTTGTGTATGTATATAAGATAAATTAACTGAAGTTTTATTAGTAAAGTATTAATACTTAAATTTTAATGTAATTTACAGAAAATAGCTAGGTATGTATTTGTTTTTAAATAATTTGATAATTTATGAAAAAAGGGAGTAAAAGTGGAATGACCAATGGCCAGTAGGTCAGTCAATACAAAGTATCATATATTTCTATTATAACATAACTAAAATACCTACATCTTTTAATCATAAGGACATAAGTTAAAAACCATTTTAATATATGCATTAGAATGAAGTAATAATAACTTAAAGAGACGAGGTCTTAAAGTAATAGCTGGTACAGCATGTTTTTTAAACGTTTCCTCATTGCTGCTAGAATGAAATCACTTACTATGAAATGTGCTCTAAAAACGGCATTTATAGCAGTCAGTGTTCAGTCTTAGGATCTCTTCCTAAAGCCCTCATCCAAGCTGCATACATATTAAAAAATAATTTAAAAAAAAAACATATTATATACCTATATAGTTTTCGGTTCTGGGTGCCCTAAAAGAGGACACTTAGCCGACAATTTGGCTCAGATAGCTAAAACCCAAAAGTCACACCCCGAACCAGGACGTATTGCTATCCTTTTAAGTAAAAAATAACTACAAATAACTTACCTGAAAAATGAAGGCGTCTAACTTTACACCAAAAAAACCATACACTTTTTCCCATTGTTGCAAGCACCCGATGACGATTAGGTAGATATCAACTAGAAGCATGTACTTAATGGTTATAAAGCTTATTTTAACACAAAAAGAATAAAGCACTAGTCGAAAAGCAGCAATCAAATATAAATAGACCACAATATTAAAATTCAAATTAAAAACTATATAAAAGACAAATACTCTAAAAGCGCAAAAGATCAGAACCAAATAAAATGAATAACCATAATAACCTAAAAATCACACTAAAATTGCAAAAACTATTACTGTAAAATCATGAGATTACATCAATAATGCATATGCGTCGGAGTATCGCAAATGTCAAAAGTACAGTGTTTCCATGAAAATTTAGCTATGTTTTTAGCAGTATTATATGACCATTTCTACCACGCGCATCCAACGATATTGGCGTTCCACAGTTCACTGTATTTTCCTCACACCTCTAGTATAAATAATTTAACATAACGAAACTAACAATAATTATAATTAATGTAGAGTAATAAGTGTTTCGTGAATTCTAAATAAAACAATTATTATATAAAAGTGTAAAAGGAAATGTAATTTATTTCCCTATTTTTTTCTGTAATATCTTCAATTATTATGTTTAATTTCTAGAAATAAACCAACTGGTTAGGTGAAACATTGTGATATAAGATTTTATTTATGTGTCCTATGCGTACACTTTAATATACAAAACACCTGGAACATTCTTTAAATAATTGTGGTCGTAGAAATAATTGTGTACATAACTCGTTTGAAAGTGTATTTTATGCACTTGCCAAATATATTATCCATACAGATTAATCAGACTATTTTTTTACTTAACTTCAGTACATCTCTTACTACTAAAACTATTTTTATCAATGGAAAAAAGGGCCGTGTTCTCGTATGTTTTGACGCATTTTCGGCCTCAGCCCATCGGATCCCCCCTCTAAATATATATGAATTTTGCTTAGAATTGCTAATCCTACAATTCTCTATTCGTGCTTGCTGACTGGGAAAATAAATACCGAAAATCGTCACTGTCTCCTGGACTATACAATAGATGATGATGAGAACTTCACAACAAATACACTTTTATGAATGGCAAGTTGGGGATGTGGTTAACCCACCCTCTACACTAGGGTGGAGTGATATCATATAAACAAAAAATTAATGTGTACATTTTTAGGTGGCCTGGGTGTGGAAAAGTTGCCTTTTAGTTCATTGAAAACACCTGAAAAAAAAAAATTGTAACGGCTTCAGGTTCCTTTTTTATAAAAAAAATCAAAAAATTTATAAAATAATACGTAATAGGCAAACATTTGAAATTTGAATTTTTAATTGGCTTAAGTGTGGAAAAGTTGCCTTTTAGTCCATCAAACATATCGTTCATTTGGAAGAAAAGGGTTACATCTCAAAAACTTAAATTTTGAGATTTCAATGAGAATTTATTTGAAATTGTCTCATGTTTTATAGGAAAAAAGGGAACAAGATAGATTAACAGAACCAGAGAGCAAATGTAACTCTCTAGTTTCTCTAGGCTTACAAAATTATTTAAATTTGCTCTTTTGTAAAATTATTGTTTTTGAGATATAACCCTCTTCTTCCAAATGAACGATATGTATCTGTAAAAAAATTTTGAAAAACTAAAATAAAAAAAATATTGCCTCTGCTTCGGTATTATTACTGATGGTATTCTAACACGTCATATAAAATTTCATGAAAAAATGCCAAACGGTTTAAGAGCAACGTCAAAAAAAATTCATTTAAATTTTTATCTTATATACCCTGTAACTATTTTTGGGTGCACTTTTGTATATAGGTAAGTACGGTTTAATCGACCTATTTTTGACCCAAGAATAAATGGTATAATTTATCTTTTTGAAACACCCTGTAAAGGTAGTTAATAAGTTAAGTGCATTGTACTGTCCATATACTATTTATTATTTCTTAATTACAGAAAAGATTGGACAGTATCTACCCCGAACTCAGTTATAATATTTAATTTATGTGAACCAGTGAATGATGGAATATGCAAAGGTCATTTGGCTTGTATTAAAAATAAAACTGATAGTTCAGTTAAATTATTAAATGGAAATTTTGAACGTAAATTTTTAAAAGGAAATTCTGAACACCGTAAGTAGTTTTTTATATAGGTAATACAGATACTTTATGACATAAAAAATATTAAATTATGATAATTTAAATATGCTTAATTTTTAGTTGAATTTGAATATTATTATTATGAATTTTGTTCATTTATTAAATTTAACATTACTTTATTAATGAATTTTATGTTTATTCTTCATAAATTTTTTGCCATAACACCATTTCATTTCTAAAAATAATAATTTAATCTTTATTTACTAGCTGATACTGATGAAGTTGTTCTTAGAAGTAATAATGCAAATTGTACATTGACTGTAAAATGGGATTGTAATCTGTCTAAACAGGTAATTATGATTATATTAACATAAAACCTTTTCACAACTTTTGTTAAATGTGTACATTAAAATATCATATAAACTTAAACATACAGTCTATGAAATAAATTCATTATTTCGTAAATATATTTAAACAAAACTAACCAAACTTGTAACATCATCTCTAACATTTATATGCCATACTGTATATGTTTTCTAATAGCATAAAATTACTTAAAATTATCACATTTCACCTAATCTACAAAGGATGGAAGAGACGAGAAATATTTTGCTGGCATTGCATAACAATACATGTTAAAACAGATTCAGCTGCATAGCTTATAGTGTTACATTCGTTTTTCAATACATGCAGTTAAACGACTATCCTTCTTATTTATCTGTAAAGTTCTTAGTACTATTCAAAACCAGATATCCATCCAGCTCCATATCTAGTTACACATGTAGGAAGGATTACAGTTACATTTATTATATAACTTATCATAAGATACTGAATTGTTTAACACTTCTAAAGCACGCTCTGCACTCACGCGTTATTAATTAAGTCGTACCGAGAATTCTCCCTGTGAACGTCGCGGATTAGATCGTTGTCTCTACACTCATGAATTAACTCATAATAACTTTAACTCTTTTGTAAATATCGTTTATTGAAAATAACTACAAACTATTTGTGTTTATAATTCATGTTTTTACGCACTCATAGAAGATGGACACTTCTATAGGTATGGGCCTGCTTGTTAATGTTTCAGAAATTAAAGTACTAATTCGTTGTTCTAGGAGGTAGGAAGTACTTATATTTAAAACACGTTTTTGGGTCGTAACTAAAAACTAAATCTGATCGGGAAACAAACTGGCGTGAAATACACGAATAGGATCTAATGCCTGGACGTAATGCATTTAGGAACAGGTAACTGTGCAGACAAGTCTGATTTTTTTTTAAATGATTTACTACTACCAGTTTGAACCTGAAATACAAACGTCTATTTTGAGTGTTGAAAAAAGACTTGTTGATACGGACTATCGCAGCAGAGAACATTTTTGTTAAATACATATGTGTTTACTTAATAATGCATTGAATACAGGCCTGAGGCACCAAAGCCATAACAGATTGTGTCGTTGATCTAAAGTCACTTAACTTGAGACTATTTAAGTTCAAAAGATGTCACCGAAAGATGAGTATGGTGATGAATAAGCTGTGCTCTAGGTACACTACAGTTATTTAATCTTCCGTATCTGCTACAGGATCTGTAAAACTTCAACTTAGACAAACGCAATATACGAGTACTTATTTTTAGGTGTTTTATCACCTCTATGTTGCTCGACACAATTTTGGTTAACCTTGTATATATACTTTTCAGAGATATGTTTTAGTAACAGGTTGTTTATTCATTCATAGCACTTTATGTTTTTCCCAGAATTCACGTAATGTTAGATAATAATTATGATGACGAAATAGATAAACACATAATAATAAAATATGTACCTACTTCAAAATATGTTGCATCAATAAATAATTAATGAATCATGCAAATTCTGAGTAAATTTAGTGTTTTAATATTTTGTTTGATACCTATCTGTCCGTTTATATATACATGGTGTCTTGTTATATTACTGTTTAGTTTTAAATAACTGCACAAAACTAAATAAAAATGGTGGGTTAAGGGGGGTTGAAATAAAAAAAATCATAAATCGAAAACGAAAAAAAAAAAAAATCATAAATCGAAAACGAAAAAAAAAATATGTTTAGTGTGACGGCCACGCCCCAGGCCCCCTCTTCTTTTGATTTGTTCTTCTTGTATTTTACTTTACTCTCTTTGAAATGTTATTATTTACCTCACAAGTTTTACTTTAAATTCTATACTTACTGTAATTTGGCCTTTTCCTCTAGTAGTAGAAGTGATCGTCTAGTTAATTAATTGATATTTTATGTACCCACGTTGTGATAATGTTAATTAAGGTAAACCAGAATTCGATGCAAAGTTTGGTGCAAATTGATAAATAAAACATACAAATTCATATTAAACTCTATTTATTTTTCATACTTTAAATGTGATGCAATAATTAGCAAAGTATATTACAATTGTTACTATTTACTGAGATCTCACTTGAGTCCCGTTCAAACGCAGACCATATTCATTTGCTATCAATATATATTTTATTTAGGTTGATGACCAACAGAGTTAATAAACGGCGTCAATTCGCCAGTTGATTAACTATATTATGGTTGTTTATATTCTGACTTAGGTTGCTGACAACGGAGTTAACGAACAGCGCCAATTCGCCAGTTGGTTAACTATTGAGTTGATGTTGATTTGATTCTATTGTAGATATATACAGGTTGCACCCTCTTAGGTAAATATTACGATGAGTATAGAGGTGATGACCACCGGAAGTAATAAACAGCGCCAATTCGCCAGTTGATTACCTTACTATGTTGATTTCACATATACTTTGTTTCAAACCTTGTAGAATGGGTTGCTTAGCGTATAGGTGTCCCCCCTTGAGCTAACGAACAGCGTATTCGCCAGTTGGTTAACTTACTATTAAAGTTTACCATCTTGGTTTGTACAATTTATCCAAGATAGCACAACCCTGTATATTTCTGAAATATTGATTTTTATAATTTCCATTGAAATACTTAATACAACCCTGTATATGTTTTAATATTGATTATTATAATTTCTATTGAAATAACTTAATACAACTCTGTATATTTCTTAATATTGATTTTTATTATTTCTATTAAAATACTCAAAATTTCACCCATCCAAAACAGATGTTATCCTATCTTTCGGGGTGTATGACCTTAAGGCCATGTGGTTTATTGATAATATTTTACAGCAAATGTCAAGCCTGCCCTTAAACGAAACCGGGGTGGTATCTCAAAGAAAGATACTAAATCTTTTGACTCACCATTGAAAATACAGACATTAGATTATGTACTAATTTCATCTAGCGTCGTGGAAGGCGTCGATTTAGGTACGTCGCAGCATTGAGCGTCGAGACGCTTGGCGTCGTGGTGGAAAGGAAGGTATTTAATACGGTACTGTATTGGGACAGATATACGGTAGAATTATGTAGGTGGTGCGGGACGTGATATTATGAAGGAAATAATTATGGACGGCAAAGCGTCGGAAATAAGGCGTGGGACGTTGAGCGTCGAAATGAGTGTACGGTAGGAAATACTTAGATGGTGAGGAATGTGACAGCGTTCGAGACGTAGGGAGTAGAATGGCAGGAAGTTGAGCGTCGAGACGTTGACACCGTCGGGGATAGGAGGTATTGTAGGATAGACGTCGTTTAGGAGGAGCGTTTAGGAAAGGTACAGATTATATAACTGGGTACAGATAATAAAATGTATGCTTGCACATCAAATGATAAAAATTGAATGCTCCCGAGCTCATTTTCGTCAGACTTTTTATACACAGTTTAATCGTTTCTGTGACGTCTCTATCGTTTTGTTTCTCATAGAAAAAACGAATGTAGGTGCAAAAGGGGGTGGGTTATTTATTACTTGCCTTGAAAGTTTTGTGTATCGAAATATTGTCGATATCGGTCTGAACATCGAAACTTAAGTGTTTTAATGATAATTACTTCGTAAACAGAAATACACTTTATGGTGTTTTCTTTCTCGAGGAATTCAGCCACGTGCATCTTTTACGGACGTGGTTATAGATATTATTTATTAGGTGTCGTAAATAAGATTTAATTATCTGGGAGATTTTTTTCGTTAAATGAAGCATTTTGAATTTAAAAGAATGGAACATTGTATTTAATAAATGGAATTAATAAATTATTAAGGTACCTGGGTGCGGTAGGTTACACATTAGCAAAAATCAATCAATCACACGCCTATTAAGAAATTGGTAATAAATAATGTTTCAATTGAGTCCAACTTTTTCAATATACATATACTGGTATACAGACGATATTTTTAAATAATTTCTCTGGTAGTATACTGAATAATTTTTTGAAAGCATTTTTCTAAAAATCTTAAAAATATATCGAAAACCCTAATATTTACATTTAGATATCAGAATATTTATAGAAAGTTGCGGTTGATAAATGACAAATTCAGATCGAATGATTGTACTGAAAATTACCGTTTGGATGCAGGTATCTAGTCTTCAGATCCAAGTTATTATTAGCTTAAATAGAAACTGAATTTCTATAATTAAAAGTTCATCAGGTTACCCTCGACAGATGGAACTGCCTTGAAAGGGAAATTTGTTATCCATAAATTAAACGCTGACTAATAGCACACTGTTTATTCTATGATTAGAAACAGAAACAAGCAACTTATTTACATAAGTACAATAGCGCTTTTCGTACTTTCGAAAACTGGCTTCATGTTCTGATTATGGTAAAAATATCGACCCGAAACTATTCATTTATTGAGAGCTTGAATATAACGTCTGTTTGAGTTGAGTGTACTGGCATAACGATTCGCGACAATGATTACCTATACATTGTTCGCGGATGAGAAGGAAAACGAAGTCAGTTTGACAATATGCTAATGTATTATCATCGGTCGACAGGTATAACTTATCTGCGAGAACGATGCCCAAGAATGGACACTTTTAACTGTACATGTTAGCACTTTGGAGTTCGAAGGTTAAGTGAGTGTTCGAGATGTCGACTCCGAGACATCTTCTATGTTGAACGATTAAAACTGGAGTGAGATGAGCTGCGAATTTTCAAGTCTATTTTTCTGTGAGTGGGCGTGGATTACTAGCGTTCTCTAGTCAGCTGTAATCTGTGAACCCCGAAACGTGAAGATCCGAAATAATCTCGGTGGGTGACTTTTTCACGATTACAATACTTCCCTCTAATTTATCGAGAAAAAATTATGATTGTTTTTGTTTGAAGTTCATCTTTACTCTATCTCAGAATAAAATGGCGGGAAATGTAGAACTGTTTTTATTTAAATGTTAACTCCGGTTCTCTTTCTCGTTAAAATAAGATTTTATTGCCTATAGAAACACTATTTCGGCTTCATAATGACAGTTAGA